TATATAACAGGAGGAGCAGATTTTCAATCATTTCTTGTAGTCTATAAGTTATGTATAACCAATAAATTGCAAAAGCCTAGGAAAGAAATACAAGAGCAGATGGGGTAGTAATAGTGTACTGTCGAGAGGTAACAAACCTGGGTGATGAAAGCTCCTATTACATTTTTCATGAGTCATATCTAGAGACTGCTGAAGTTGCGAGGAAACAGGAAAGAGGGAGGAATTCAACATATATCATTCTATTCTTTGTAACTTGGAATATTGCTGGATGGGAAATTAATATAAAACTGTGCGAATTATTTTGAAATGTCCTCCAAACATGAAAGGCGCTATATGAATGTAAATATTTATTTAATATTATGATGACAACAACAACAAAATTATATTTGTAAAGTGTCTTTCACGTCAGGAAGATGTCCCAAGGTGCTGAACAGTCAGGGATCAGGACCCGAGCGTGGTGGCAGGGTTGGGATGGGGGAGGGCAGAGGGGTAGGAGGGCGGCTGAAAGCATGGTCGAAAAGGAGGGTCTAGAGTTGTGCCTTGAAGGAGGCAAAGGAAGGAGCAAGCGAAGGGATTGTGGGATGGAGTTCCAAAGCGTGAGAGTAGAGAGGCTGAAAGCCCGGCCACCGATGATAGGGCGGGTCGTGCGGGAGACATGGAGCAGGTCAGAGCCCGCTGAACGAAGGGAGCGAACAGGTTGATAGGGGGTCAGCGGGTCAGACAGTTGAAATGGTTTCCAAGTTGCCTTCTGAGAAATGAGGGTCTCTGTATAGTGGGTAAGTAATAGGAATAGAAAGTAAATGCTGAAGGTGGATATTTTTTCACAAACTCTTAGCCTGAAAGATCAAATTTCCACTTTCAAATGTTAAAATTTGGGAATGTAATTGAAGACGTGTGTAAACTGCAAATGTTGATATATGGACTTGAAGCAGATATTGTAGCCCTAATTTAAGAATTGAATAAAAGAGCTTGGGTTACAGTTACATACTGAACTAGAATTAGCTACTGCGGAGAGAATCAAGGGTAAAATAGGGGATTGCTACAGAAAGGTATTAGTTAAGGAGACAACACAGAAAGTGATCAATGGTAAAAAGAAAATGATCAGTTGAGGAGCTATGTGTATAAATTTACATCTACGAGTGTAGCATGGTTCATTTCTCTGCTGTGGACCATTTTTAATCTAAGGTGTACTTTTTATCCATCCAAGCAGATTCACCTGCTGTTTAATGTTTATTCTAAATTTCGCTGAGACTTCTGCAACAAGGCATCTTTAAAATTTTCATGTTTTGCATGTTGAGCTTCATCCAGAGTTCTATCTGGGCATTTCGTTTTCTATTAGGATCTTCTTAATTATGTAAATCCACGTGTTTGTAATTTTCCTATGAAAGCTGTAACATTGTTTTCTCCTTTTTTGAAAAGAACATTATTAGGCATAAGTTGAGATAATTTTTTCTGTCGCTAGAAATTTCCTTCTAATTTCTGCCAGCAAACATTCTGTAGGATCAACCGTCCAGGCATCAATTGATAATAATTTAAACTTTAAGCAGCTGAACAGTTCATCTTTCAATAACTGTCGATTTTTCCTAATGTAATATTTCATTTCATTCCTCACCAATAATGGGAGAAGGGAGGGATCTAAAATAGTATTCATTTGTCAGCTTGGCTCAGTTGCTAGCACTCTCACTTCGAGTCAGATGTTTGTGAGTTCAAGACACATGTTAGGACTTGAAATACATATAGTCTAAGCTGACTCTCCAAAGCAATGCTGGGGGTGTTGCATTGTCGGAGGTGCCATCCTTAGGATCAGATGTTAAACCGAGGTCTTGTCTGCCTGTTCAGGTCAAAGTTCTCATGGCATGATTCGAAAAGAGAAGGGAGTTTCTCCTAGTGTCTGGTCAGCAATTCCCCAAATAAAACATTGGTCACTTACTCTAAGGCTGTGTGTGGGACATTGCTTTGCACATATTGGCTGTTGTGTTTGCCTTCAAAATATATATAATCACACCACTTTAAAGTATATCCTGTGAAGCGCTTTGAGAGGTCTTGATATGTTGCTGTATCAAATGCAAGGATTATTATTTACTACTAACCTAAACTGCATTAATTTTGGCTTGTAGTTTGGTAATATGAAGTTGTGAAATTTGCAGTGACAAATTGGAAATTCCAAGCTAGAAAAGTCAAATAAAAGGAAAGCATATGGGAAATGACTACTTTGGACTTTGGCAGCTCGCCATTAATGATTTATCAGTCAAAAATGTAACACAGTGATATTTGCAAACTAACCATTGCAGTTCACGCCACAAACTTGGTTTGTGTTTTCGATCTCGAATAGTAGAAATCAATTTTATGTTTTGGGCACTAAAGTGAAGGATAATTTGTCTGGATATCCATGTTTTGATTAACTACATTCCATAAAAACATTGTGAAATTTTTTATATGCACATTCTGATCTGTATCATTCATATGCGCAGTACTTACTATTTCTGGAGAAAAATAAACAGAAAATTGTTTCTGTTTAGAAAAATGACAAGCAATGAAATTGCACAGGAAAACAACAACAAAATTACATTTGTATAGCATCTTTCATGTCGGGAGGACGTCCCAAGGCGCTGGACAGGCAGAGTTACAGATCCGAGCTGAGGGTCGGGGTGAGGGAGAGTGGAGGGCAGAGGGGCAAGCAGGGAGATCAAAAGAACGGTCGAAGAGGTGGGTCTTGAAGGTGGCGAGGGAGGAGGTGAGATGGAGGGACTGCGGGATGGAGTTCCAGAGGGCGAGTGCAGAGTGGAGGAAGGTCCGCCCACCGATAGTGGGGTGAGCAAGGCGGGGACGTGAAGCAGGCCAGAGCCCACTTAGCGGAGGGAACAAACTAGGTAGGGAATTAGCAGGTCGGAGAGGTAGGAGGGAGCAAAACCCTGGAGGGCTTTGAGGTGAGGACCAGAATCTTGAACTGTATCCTCTGTGCGATGGGAAGCCAGTGGAGTTGGGCAAGGATGGGGGAGATAGGGTCACGGAGCCTGATGCGGGAGAGAACACGGGCTGCAGAGTTCTGGGTGATCTGCAGCCTGTGGAGGGAGGAGTTGGGGATGCAGTGAGTTTGCATGGTATCAAATGCAAACAGTTCATCACTATTTAGAAAAATGCAAAGTCAAAATTTCAAGCAAAGATGTTTCAGATGTGTAAACCCTGGCACTGAACACCACATTAAAAGGAATAACACGAACACAAATAATTGTTATTAGTATAAGACTTATGAAGTTTCAGTTTTGTTTCATGTGTAGTTTTCACCTCTACTAATGGTATGAAGGAAAGTTGTCAACACTGTTCCTAATTTTAGTTTCTCTGCTATCCCCCTAAGAGGGCAAACATATTAATATATTTACCTTCAGTAAAAATGCATCCACCAGGAAGTGCACCCTTGTGTTTGGAATATGAGACTGTATGACTTTTATTTATATCAAATTAATGTATTTCAATTCAATGCTATTACTTACCTTGTGTTTTTCATGTTTATTGGGTAAAATTTACAAATTCAACTGTGCTCGGAAAGTAAGCCTTGTATTTGATATACTGTAGTGCTTTTCACATCAAGAGGACATCTCACAGTGATTCACATGATATACTGTAAGGTGTAGTGACTGTATAATTTGTAGGCCAATTTACACACAGCAAAGTCTGGCAAATAGCCGTGAAGCAAATAATAATAATAATAATAATAATCCTTGCATTTGATATAGCGCTTTTCACGTCGAGAGGACGTCCCAAAGCGCTTCACAGAACACACTGTAAAGTGAATTGACTGTATATTTGTGGGCGAACGCGGCAGCCAATTGCGCACAGCAATGTCCCACAAACAGTCGTAGATTGAAAATGACCAATTTATTATTGGTTTTTTTTTTGGAGGAATTATTGACCAATTTTATTTGGTATAGGATATAGGATTTAATATTTAGTGAATTTACCCCGAAAGAGTTAAATGGTTTTGAACTTAAGAGAGTGAATTTTTTTTCACAGAGTGTGAGAGTGACACTGATCACTTCCGGGGAGTGAATGATGACGGTGTGTCTCTGGAAATACAGGAATTGAATGTCGAAACTGCAGCCAATCTGAATGAATCTCCCAAACCGCTCGTGTAGTGACTGTCTTGACCAGAAAGTGTACTGAGAGGGTGCAGTCACTCTGTGGCCGGTGAGGGGGCGCTGTGAGGGTGTGTGACCACAGAGGGCGCTGTGTGGGTGTAGTGAGTGGGTGTGACCACAGAGGGCGCTGTGAGGGCGCTGTGAGGGTGTGTGACCACAGAGGGCCCTGTGTGGGTGTAGTGAGTGGGTGTGACCACAGAGGGCGCTGTGTGGGTGTAGTGAGTGGGTGTGACCACAGAGGGCGCTGTGAGGGTGTGTGACCACAGAGGGCCCTGTGTGGGTGTAGTGAGTGGGTGTGACCACAGAGGGCGCTGTGAGGGTGTGTGACCACAGAGGGCGCTGTGAGGGTGCAGTGAGGGTGTGTGACCACAGAGGGCGCTGTGAGGGTGTGTGACCACAGAGGGCCCTGTGTGAGTGCAGTGAGTGGGTGTGACCACAGAGGGCGCTGTGAGGGTGTGTGACCACAGAGGGCCCTGTGTGAGTGCAGTGAGTGGGTGTGACCACAGAGGGCGCTGTGAGGGTGTGTGACCACAGAGGGCGCTGTGAGGGTGTGTGACCACAGAGGGCGCTGTGAGGGTGCAGTGAGTGGGTGTGACCACAGAGGGCGCTGTGAGGGTGTGTGACCACAGAGGGCGCTGTGAGGGCGCTGTGGGGGTGTGTGGCCACAGAGGGCGCTGTGAGGGTGCAGTGAGGGTGTGTGACCACAGAGGGCGCTGTGGGGGTGCAGTGAGGGTGTGTGACCACAGAGGGCGCTGTGGGGGTGCAGTGAGGGTGTGTGACCACAGAGGGCCCTGTGTGAGTGTAGTGAGTGGGTGTGACCACAGAGGGCGCTGTGAGGGTGTAGTGACTGTGTTGTGCTGAGGCGGGGACCGGGGTGGGTGTAGTGACTGTGTTGTGCTGAGGGAGGGTTGGGGTAATGGCGGAGTACTCGCGGGTGAAGAGCACGAAGCTGGTGCTGAAAGGAGTGAAAAGGTTTGCGGTTTGAACTGTTCATCAGAGGAGGAGCGGCCCGCGGGCCTGACCCGGCCCGGCCTCCAGCACAGACAGGACAGTCAGTGAGGGGAGGGGGGACTGTGTGTAGTTGGGGGGGACTGTGTGTAGTTGGGGGGGACTGTGTGTAGTTGGAGGGACTGTGTGTAGTTGGGGGGGACTGTGTGTAGTTGGGGGGGGACTGTGTGTAGTTGGAGGGACTGTGTGTAGTTGGGGGGACTGTGTGTAGTTGGGGGGGACTGTGTGTAGCTTTGGGGGGGACTGTGTAGTTGGGGGGGGACTGTGTGTAGTTGGGGGACTGTGTGTAGTTGGGGGGGACTGTGTGTAGTTGGGGGGGACTGTGTGTAGTTGGGGGGGACTGTGTGTAGTTGGGGGGACTGTGTGTAGTTGGAGGGACTGTGTGTAGTTGGGGGACTGTGTGTAGTTGTGGGGGACTGTGTGTAGTTGGGGGGGACTGTGTGTAGTTGGGGGGGACTGTGTGTAGTTGGGGGGACTGTGTGTAGTTGGGGGACTGTGTGTAGTTGGGGGGGACTGTGTGTAGTTGGGGGGGACTGTGTGTAGTTGGGGGGGACTGTGTGTAGTTGGGGGGACTGTGTGTAGTTGGGGGGGACTGTGTGTAGTTGGGGGGACTGTGTGTAGTTGGGGGGGACTGTGTGTAGTTGGGGGGACTGTGTGTAGTTGGGGGGACTGTGTGTAGTTGGGGGGACTGTGTGTAGTTGGGGGGACTGTGTGTAGTTGGGGGGACTGTGTGTAGTTGGGGGGGACTGTGTGTAGTTGGGGGGGGACTGTGTGTAGTTGGGGGGACTGTGTGTAGTTGGGGGGGACTGTGTGTAGTTGGAGGGACTGTGTGTAGTTGGAGGGACTGTGTGTAGTTGGAGGGACTGTGTGTAGTTGGAGGGACTGTGTGTAGTTGGAGGGGACTGTGTGTAGTTGGAGGGACTGTGTGTAGTTGGGAGGGACTGTGTGTAGTTGGGGGGGACTGTGTAGTTGGGGGACTGTGTGTAGTTGGGGGGACTGTGTAGTTCGGGGGACTGTGTGTAGTTGGGGGGGACTGGTGTAGTTTGGGGGGGGACTGTGTGTAGTTGGGGGACTGTGTGTAGTTGGGGGGACTGTGTGTAGTTGGAGGGACTGTGTGTAGTTGGGGGGGACTGTGTAGTTTGGGGGGGGACTGTGTGTAGTTGGGGGGGACTGTGTGTAGTTGGGGGACTGTGTGTAGTTGGGGGGACTGTGTGTAGTTGGGGGGGACTGTGTGTAGTTGGGGGGGACTGTGTGTAGTTGGGGGGACTGTGTGTAGTTGGGGGGACTGTGTGTAGTTGGGGGGGACTGTGTGTAGTTGGGGGGACTGTGTGTAGTTTGGGGGGGACTGGTGTAGTTGGGGGGGACTGTGTGTAGTTGGGGGACTGTGTGTAGTTGGGGGGACTGTGTGTAGTTGGGGGGACTGTGTGTAGTTGGGGGGACTGTGTGTAGTTGGAGGGACTGTGTGTAGTTGGGGGGGACTGTGTGTAGTTGGGGGGGACTGTGTGTAGTTGGGGGGGACTGTGTGTAGTTGGGGGGACTGTGTGTAGTTTTGGGGGAGGACTGTGTGTAGTTGGAGGGACTGTGTGTAGTTGGAGGGACTGTGTGTAGTTGGGGGGGGACTGTGTGTCGTTGGGGGGGACTGTGTGTAGTTGGAGGGACTGTGTGTAGTTGGGAGGGACTGTGTGTAGTTGGGGGGGACTGTGTAGTTGGGGGACTGTGTGTAGTTGGGGGGGACTGTGTAGTTGGGGGACTGTGTGTAGTTGGGGGGGACTGTGTAGTTTGGGGGGGGACTGTGTGTAGTTGGGGGACTGTGTGTAGTTGGGGGGACTGTGTGTAGTTGGAGGGACTGTGTGTAGTTGGGGGGGACTGTGTAGTTTGGGGGGGGACTGTGTGTAGTTGGGGGGGACTGTGTGTAGTTGGGGGACTGTGTGTAGTTGGAGGGACTGTGTGTAGTTGGGAGGGACTGTGTGTAGTTGGGGGGGACTGTGTAGTTGGGGGACTGTGTGTAGTTGGGGGGGACTGTGTGTAGTTGTGGGGGACTGTGTGTAGTTGTGGGGGACTGTGTGTAGTTGGGGGGACTGTGTGTAGTTGGGGGGACTGTGTGTAGTTGGGGGGGACTGTGTGTAGCTTTGGGGGGGACTGTGTGTAGTTGGGGGGGGACTGTGTGTAGCTTTGGGGGGGGACTGTGTGTAGCTTTGGGGGGGACTGTGTGTAGCTTTGGGGGGGACTGTGTGTAGTTGGGGGGGACTGTGTGTAGTTGGGGGGGACTGTGTAGTTTGGGGGGGGGACTGTGTGTAGTTGGGGGGACTGTGTGTAGTTGGGGGACTGTGTGTAGTTGGGGGGGACTGTGTTTAGTTTGGGAGGGACTGTGTGTAGTTGGGGGGGACTGTGTGTAGTTGGGGGGGACTGTGTGTAGTTGGGGGGGACTGTGTGTAGTTGGGGGGACTGTGTGTAGTTGGGGGGACTGTGTGTAGTTGGGGGACTGTGTGTAGTTGGGGGGACTGTGTGTAGTTGGAGGGGACTGTGTTTAGTTGGGAGGGACTGTGTGTAGTTGGGGGGGACTGTGTGTAGTTGGGGGGGACTGTGTGTAGTTGGGGGGGGACTGTGTGTAGTTGGGGGGGACTGTGTGTAGTTGGCGGGGACTGTGTGTAGTTGTGGGGGACTGTGTGTAGTTGGGGGACTGTGTGTAGTTGGGGGGGACTGTGTGTAGTTGGGGGGGACTGTGTGTAGTTGGGGGGTGTGTGTAGGTTTGGGGGGACTGTGTGTAGCTTGGGGGGGACTGTGTGTAGTTTGGGGGGGGACTGTGTGTAGCTTTGGGGGGGACTGTGTGTAGTTGGGGGGGACTGTGTGTAGCTTTGGGGGGGACTGTGTGTAGTTGGGGGGGACTGTGTGTAGTTGGGGGGGACTGTGTGTAGTTGGGGGGGGACTGTGTGTAGTTGGGGGGGACTGTGTGTAGTTGGGGGACTGTGTGTAGTTGGGGGGGACTGTGTGTAGTTGGGGGGGACTGTGTGTAGTTGGGGGGGACTGTGTGTAGTTTGTGGGGGACTGTGTATAGTTTGGGGGGGACTGTGTGTAGTTGGGGGGGGACTGTGTGTAGCTTTGGGGGGGACTGTGTGTAGCTTTGGGGGGGACTGTGTAGCTTTGGGGGGGACTGTGTGTAGTCTTTGGGAGGGGACTGTGTGTAGTTGGAGGGACTGTGTGTAGTTGGGGGGACTGTGTGTAGTTGGGGGGGACTGTGTGTAGTTGGGGGGACTGTGTGTAGTTGGGGGATTGTGTAGTTGGGGGGGACTGTGTGTAGTTTTGGGGGGAGGACTGTGTGTAGTTTTGGGGGAGGACTGTGTGTAGTTTTGGGGGGAGGACTGTGTGTAGTTTTGGGGGGAGGACTGTGTGTAGTTTGTGGATGTATAATAATAATAATAATCCTTGCATTTGAATTAGAGTCTAACGTCTTCGAGACGTCTCAAAGCGCTTCACAGAATATACTGTAAAGTGAATTGACTGTGTATTTTGTGTGTGAAACCCGGCAGCCAATTGTGCACAGCGGTGTCCCACAGACACTCCTGGATTGGGCGAAGAAATTATAATTTATTTATGTTTGAGGGGATTATTACCCCCGAAAAAGCGATCCGTCAATCGACCAACAACTAGGTTCCTATTTACTGCCAAGTAAACAGGCGTGGGGAGTAAGGAAACTTGCCTAAAGTTTCGTCCTGCCCGGGAGTCAAACCCGTCCTCTCGCTTGCAAGGCGAGTGCTCTACCCAATATGGTACAGGACTCCCAAGGCTTGGCTACGCTCTCTCCCTGCTCGCTGGACTATCCAGAACTCTGCCCCCCATGTTCTCTCCCATACTTGACTTCACAAGCCTATCGTCTTAGCTTCGCTGCACTGTGCACTCTCCTCCAACGGATCGGATTTAAGATCCTCGTTCTCACCTCTTAATCCCTACGGTGGCCTCGCTCCACCTCAGATCTCCTTCAGTCTATTGACAGAGTCACTCACTCCCTTCGCTCAGCTAACACTGGCCCTGCTTCATGCTTTCCATTTCATCCGCCCCACATTCTGTCATTTTTCCTTCGCTCCCTTGAATTTCATCTCTCCAACACACTCCCTCTCTCTCCTCATTCAAGGCCCGTCTCAAGACATTGCTCTTTAATCACTCTTTCGGTCATATTTCTCTTCCCCATCCCCTTCAGCCCCCAGGCCCAGTACACAGCCAGCAGTGTCGAACAGTTTTAGATGTCTTCCCAAACTGAAAGGCGCCATAGAAATGTAAATTGTAGTATTTTTTGGTGCGAGGCGATGGTGTTACTGTGACTGTGTTTAGCTTGGGGTGACTGTGTGCAGTTTGGTTTCAGTCAGTCCTGTCAACGGCATTCACTTACATTAGGGGGGCCCGTGGTGGTTGATTTTTTCTGGCCCGAGAATTATTTCCAACTTAAGGTTGTACAATAGTTTCTGCAGTTCTCACTCTTGTATTCCTTTCACCTTTCTGACCATAATTATTTTTATTTTAGCAAAAAGAAGAAAAATAAAGGCAAAAGGAAACGAGAAGCGGATGAGGAGGACGCAGTTGACATTGTTGGTAAGTGGCTTACAAATACATAATTGAACCACAATGTTTAAAAGCTTAGTGAAAGCTACAAGGAAACCCACTATAACATACAACAACAAATTACACTTGTATAGTGCCCTTCACGTCAGAAAGACGTCCCAGAGCGCTGGACAGTCAGGGGTTTGGACCTGAGGTTGGAGTTGGGGTCAGGAGGGATGGAGGGCAGGGGAGTTGGGAGTGGGAAGGTGGCCGAAGAGTAAGGACTTTAGACGGGACTTGACCTCCAGTGCCTTGGGACGTCCCCTATAAAGGCGCTATAGAAATTTAATTTTGTTATTGTTGAAAGAGGCAAGAGAGGGTGGCGGAGAGATTGCAAGATAGAGCTCCAGAGTGTGGGGGCTCCAGAGTGCGGGGACATGCTGAATGCTCGACTGGCAATGGTGGAATGGTGCAGGGGACCTGGAGGAAGCCGGTGTCCGCCGAGCGGAGGGAGCAGAGAGGCTGATATGGGGTTAGGAGGTCGGAGAGGTAGGGTGGAGCAAGACTGTGGAGGACTTTGAAGGTGAGAACGAGGGTTTTGCACTCGATTCTCTGAGGGATAGGGAGCCAATGAAGCCAGGCAAGAACGGGGCTGATTGGTTTGCGGAATAGTGTTCTCAGTTGATAGAATTAAATACCATTTATAACAGATCCAGGGAGAAAATGACCTCCAGTCCTCTTCTGGGTCAGCAGGTTGCCACTGATGATACTCCTGGAGCATGAACCAGCTGGCTTCCTGCACACGCACAGAGCATTTCAGTTGGTAAGCTGAGCGTTTCCATCATGAAATTGGTCACATCTGATCACACCGATTGTGCAGGATATTGGTTAGTTTGCACAGGAAGTTTACTCTTGTGAGATGGAAAATGCTCAGCTGACCAAATGGACTGCTCCATGCATTGTGCAGGAAGCCGGCTAATCCATAGAGACCACAGCGCACCTGCATTTTAGGGCACTCGCACTCTAGCGAGGCATTTTATGCTGGAGTCACCCTGTATTACGCATTGTGTTCTTGTCCAAGTCCTCTTTGGTACAGTACCTCTTACACAAAGTTACATGAATGATTTATCTGTATAGGAGGATGGTGGGCAGTCCAGGGTTTTGGATCAATCACAGGAACTGTGGCGATAGAGATGGGCAAAGGGACCTTCATCCATGCCCTTGACAATGGTCTTTTTTCTCTTGGAGCACCACATAAAGGTTTGTCACATGATTTGTAATTCTTTGTCTGTGATAGTTAATGCTTTTAAACCTAATGCTATTGTCTGAGAATTTCAAATAGAATCGTACTCGTCGGGAGTGGGTCATCTGATTCAGTCTGAGGACCTCCAAAGCACAAGTAATGACAGACCAGCCAATGGGTTCATAAGTCAACTGGCGAAGGGATTCTTGCAGCGATATCATGGCAAACTGAAGCCCTAACGGGTAGGGTGGTCCTCGCTGGAGAAGCAGTCAGATGCTTGCCAGTGGCCACTATGTGGTTTCAGCCTCGGCTCTCAGTAACCTGCAACCTAATACTTTGCAGAATTCGGTAAGCTAAGTGCATCCATCCAAACACACAGAAATTTCTATGCATAGGTGGCGTGCATATGTGGAACTCTGTCTGATTTGAATAGCCTTAAGCACGGTGATAGTTTTCCTCATGTGTCAGACACCAGGCTGACCAAACAAAATGGTTTGGATTTTGAATATGAGTTGGAAGAAAACTTAATTGGCAAATTTTAGTTAATGCAACTTAGTGATTTCTAGAATTAGCTACTCTTCTGGTCATTAATACTATTGAACTTTATATATGATATTAATACTATTGAATTTTATATTTCCATTATGATCTTATGATCATTTTTTAAATATAATTCTTTTCTGTGCAATTTCAGACGGATGGTTTGGTTTGAAAATGACTGCATTCGTAGTGAATCATTGTTTTAAAGATCATTTATCCTCTAAATTTGCTGCATGGCTAATCAATTTTTTTTAAGTTTAGTGAAACATTTGATTTATGATATTTTATAACAGATGATGAAGGCCCAGATCCTCCGGAGCAATTCACTGCAATTAAGTTGTCGGACAGCAGGTGAGAAATGCAATTGATAAGTGTTGTGAGGAGAGGATGTGGAAGGAATGATTGGATAAGGTAATCTTTTTAAGCCTAAAAAGGAGGCCTTAAAAGGATATGATGCTAAATTAGTTTTTTTTAAAAAAGGTAAACCTGCCACAATACCTTCAGGTAAGTCAAGGCAGCAAGATTAAAAAGGGACAGATTCTGGTGAAATTTTCATATTTGCACAATGACATTGATATGAATTCTATTTTTTATATTTTCTCAGGGTTATTAGAGGGAAAGCGAATGTTCTTTTTTTACTCTAGTATGAAGGTATTTGATGGCACTACTGTATGGTACATTAGGCAAATTTATGACAGGATGATGTTTAATGAACCAATTCGACAGAAGTTAGATAATAATTAGATTACTAGACTGGCACAATCTGTGACACAGTGGAAGAACTCTTGTTTTCATTTTTTTAAATATAATTCTCAATCTAAGCCATTTAAAAGCTTTGTTATATTTGACATTATTTCCAACAGAATAGCACTAAAGTCTGGCTATGGAAAATATCTGGGAATAAATTCCGATGCAGTAGTTATTGGACGATCAGATGCAATTGGGTCAAGAGAGCAGTGGGAGCCAGTTTTCCAGGAAGTAAGTTACTTATGGTTATTTGCTGTTTTTTTCATCGTGTCTATTCTTTGAGAGGAATAATCCTAAAAAGTATTTTGTCACATTTTCTTCAAGTATCCCAAACAGCAAAATTGCCAGTCAGTGGTGTTGGAGGAGAGATTTGTTGGCTGATCTGTGACTATCAAATCCGAAGTCTTTAAATTATTTATTTATTAAGATCAGTGATAGCTATATCCTGACTATGATCAGATAACTCAGCAGAGACGAGGATTCAAGCCTGTACCTACTGGCCTGTACGGACTATTGCTACATTGGATGGTGATGCCTTTACAACCAGCAACGCATAATTTTTGAAATACTTTCTGTTAACAACAACAAGATTACATTTGTATAGCGCCTTTCACTTCGGGAGGACATCCCAAGGCGCTGGACAGTGTACAGCATTTCAGCCCCGAGCTGGGATCGGGGCAAGAGGCGAGGGAAAGGGGGGTGACCAATGGCATGGTCGAAGAGGAGGGTTTTGAGGCGGGACTTGAAGGAGGTTAAGGAGGGGCCGAGGCAGAGTGACTGGGGGATGGAATTCCAGAGGTTGGGGGCAGAGTGGCTGAAGGCTCTCCCGTCAATGGTGGGCCGGGTGGGCGGGAGAGGTGGAGCAGGCCAGAGCCGGCTGAGCGGAGGGAGCGGGCAGGTTGGTAAGGGGTTAGGAGGTCGTAGAGGTAGGGTGGGGCGAGACCATGGAGGGCTTTGTAGGTGAAGACCAGGATCTTGAACTGGATCCTCTGAAGGATAGGGAGCCAATGGAGTCGGGTGAGAATGGGGGAGATGGGTGCGGGAGAGGACACAGGCTGCAGAGGTGATGACAGAACGAACAAGAGTTTCAGTGGCCTGAGGGGTGAGGTAGTAGTGGAGTCGGGTGATGTTATGGAGGTGAGGGAAGGCAGAGCGTGTCATGGCTTGGATGTGGGGAAGAAAAGACAATTGAGGGTCGAACAAGACACCGAGGTTCCTGACTGGCTTTGTGAGTTGTAGTGTGCAACCATGGAGGTTGATGTTGCCAGAGCCTGAGGTGCTGAGGCGCTGGCGAGAGCCAATCAGGAGGACCTCAGTCTTGTTCACATTCAACTGTAGGAAATTTGCCCTCATCCAGGACTTGATGTCTGACAGACAGTCTGTCAGGACAGCAGTGGTCCTGGAGTTGAGGGTGGAGGCAGAAAGATAGAGTTGGGTGTCATCCACATACATATGGAAGTTCTTTGTATAGGGTGCATCTCTGTTACATACTTTACCTTCTTTCAGGGAAAGTTGGCGTTGATGGCTTCAAACAGCCGCTTCATCTCCTGTAATGAAGAAGGTGACATTGTGGCAAAACAAAAAACCGCTGGAGAGGAAGAGATGATAAAGGTCAGTCACGTGGATTTATTTTGTATAAAATCTGGGAATGATGAGTTGATGTTGTTTCACTTGCTCATGCCAAGAGATGAAAGCTTTCTTTTTTTTACTAAATTCACAAGTGCCATATGACCATTCTGAAGTACTCAGCAAGCTAGTGAAATGCTGTAGATAGCCCATTTTTATCTGGAGGATTGTTGGCTAGGACACTAAGAGCAACTCCCTTCTCTTTTCAAACAATGCCAACGTTCACCTTGAAACTCGTGGAGTCCTGTAGCTCAGTGGTTAGAGCATTTGCCTCTCCAGATTATATAACTAGTAAATGGATGAAGTCTATTTGTCTCTACAAACACCACAATTAAGTGAACTTTTAGTTACAGAATTTGGAAAATATTGCACACATTTGAAGCTTTAAATAAATTATTTGAAGACTTTGGATTTGATAGTCACAGATCAGCCAACAAATCTCCCCTCCAACACACACCCAGCCAGACTCGCCTTCCCGGCAGGGCGAAGCTGGCTAGTTTCCTTACTCCACACGCCTCTGTTTCCTTAGTAGTAAGTAGGAACCTGGTTGTTAGTCGATTGACGGATCGCTTTTCCGGGGGTAATAATTCCTTCACAAAAAAATTGGTCACTCAACCCACGACTGTTTGTGGGACACTGCTGTGTGCAATTGGCTGCCGTGTTTTGCCTACAAAATATGTAGTGAATTCACTTTACAGTGTATTCTGTGAAGCGCTTTGAAACATCCCAAAGACTAGATAAGGTGCTATATCAAATGCAAGGATTATTATTATTATTAAAGGCAGATGGGAGCTCAGTTTAACATCTCATTTGAAGGATGCATCTCTGACAATGGAGTGCTTCCCAGCACTGCATTGGAGTGTCTCAAACTCCATCATAGGACTTGAAACCACAATCTTCTGACTCAGAGAGTGCTACCAACTGAGATAGACTGATATCTCATACAAAGTAGCAAGTTGTAGCTGCAGCTCCTATGTATATTTTACCTTGTATCAGTAACCAACACATTTATTTTAAAACAGATCCGTTCCTCTGCTGAAATTGAAAGAAAGAAGAAAGATGAACTTATAGAGGAAGACAAGGGCAATGTGAAGCAGTGTGAAATCAACTATGTGTATGTACAAGACTGGTGCTTAACTTCTGACTATCAGAATAAGATCTAACAATTCAAGATTATTTGAAATAAGAATTACAACGGTTGTCAATGGCTGCAGTATATCATCATATCATCATCTGGTTGTGGGCTCACATGTCCAGCTGGCATGAGTATCTTTCTATTGTCGGTGACTAGTTTCTAATAGAAATTACTTTGTGCAGTTTTTGGTAGTTTCTGGTGGGGAGAAGTTGACAGTAGAAAACTGCCCCAATTTTAGGCTGATAAGGCAGTCTTTCTCAGCTTCTTACACTACTCGGAGCTTCAACCTGCAAGAATATTGCAATAGAGAGCTGATATTCAAAAATTAGAGTTGTGACATCCTAAAGAAACTCTTAAACCTCATCTAAACTAGAAAGAAACTGACTTGCACAAACTTGACCCAAAGAATCAAAAATTAAAGGAAAGTTCTCTTACTACCTTTCTAACTGTCTGCAATGTTTCACTGATTGAAGAGGACAGGTTCACTGAGCTCCATCTACAAATTTTATACTGTGACAATAGAAGTTTTTGACACCAAAGTGCTTTATAACACTTTGGGGCATTAGCAAAGTGACAGAAAATACAGCTCTATTTTCATGGTTCTATTGGTGGCTTTAATTTGATTTTTGATTCTATAGTTCTTAATGAATTTAAGCAATAAATCACCACTGACAAGAAACAAAATGAATTATTAAATGACTAATGTATACTTTATAGTTTCATTCTGGTCTGATCCTTTGTGGATTCTGTACTCTCTTAATGTTGTTGAACATTGTCATCTATTCTTATTCCTGTTGGTTTCTCTGCCTATATTTTCTGCCCCTTTCACTTTATAAAGTGAAGCTAACTAATTTTAAGGGCAATGATGATTTATGTATTATATAACCAGTAAATGGATTGAAGTCTTATTTGTCTCTACAAACATCAATATTAGGTGAACTCTTAGTTACAGAATTTGTAAAGTATTGCATACATTTGAAGCTTTAATATAATCCAAGATTGTAAAACTGTTTGGAAAAAGTAGTTCGGATAGGCATTCTTGAATTATATTAAAGCTTCAAATGTATGCAATATTTTCCAAATTCTGCAACTAAAAGTTCACCTAATCATGGTGTTTGTAGAGACAAATAGACTTCGGCATTACCTCACCCCTCACGCTGCTGAAACCCTGGTTCACGCCTTTGTCACCTCAAGGCTGGACTATGGGAACTCTCTCCTCGCCGGCCTTCCCGCCACCTCCCTCCACAAGCTGCAGGTCATTCAGAACTCTGCAGCTCGTGTACTGTCCCGCACCAGGCTTCGCGACCACATCACTCCCCTCGCTCGCCTCCACTGCCTTCCCATCCCCCAGAGGATCGAATTCAAGATCCTCATCCTAACCTACAAGGCCATTCACGGCCTTGCTCCCTCCTACCTCTCCAACCTACTATCCCCTACCTACCTGCCCGTACCCTCCGTTCCTCTGGCTCCGGTCTGCTCCACATCCCCCGCCCAACCCCTACCATCGGTGGTCGGGCCTTCAGCCTCTCAGCCCGAGGCTCTGGAACTCCATCCCCAAGTGCCTTCGCCGCCTCCTCCCTTTCCTCCTTCAAGGCCGGTCTCAAAACCTTTCTCTTTGACCGTGCCTTCAGCTCCCCTCTCGACTCTCTTCCCCCTCCTCGCTCCTCCTTCCCTCCGCTCACCCTGACCATTTCCCCCCTCCTTGCTCCCTCCCCTCGACCATTTCCCCCCTGCTCGGGTCATGACCCAACTATGCAGCGCCTTGGGACGTCCTCCTGACGTGAAAGGCGCTTTATAAATGTAATCTTGTTGTTGTTGTTGTTGTTGTTGTTCATCCATTTACTAGTTTTATAATCATAAATCAATCCATTACTAGTTATGTAATGCATAAATCATCATTGCCCTTAAACTGTGATTTTTAAATTTAAAAAGCCTTCCTAGCTAACGTAAATTTGGGGGTTGTTTTATGTTGAATTATTATACCGTAGGCATGTTTTACAGATTAATTTTTGAATTTTCATGTAATATATTCTTCTGTTGCAGAAAAAAGTTCCAGAGTTTTCAAGATCGGAAACTGAGAGTAAACGAGGAGGACAGTAAAATGCTGAAAAAAGCCAGGGAAGATGGTACTTTCCATGAGGCTTTACTAGATAGGTAGGTACGAATAAGGTTTTAAGAGCATACAGGCACTGCGCTTTATAGGATATCCTGTGAAGCGCTTCAGGACTTCCTCCTGACATGAACGACTATACCAAATATAAGGATTATTGTTATTTACATTCTAGAAATTCTTCATGAGTTTTTTTTCAAACATGTAACTTCTGTTTTTTGGTTTGCAGGAGAGCCAAGATGAAAGCTGATAGATACTGCAAATGAAGTGAATTAATATGTTTTTTGTTTAATTGAATCTTTTAAGGATTTATTTTTCTGTGGTGCTTGGTGAGCAGATATTGCTGCAGAGCCAGCAACATTCAGTGTTTGTATATATGTAACTTAAAACAACCCATTTTTTTAAAAAAAGTTCTGAGGACTTTTGGTGTGCTTGCATATACAATTAATGTTGTTTTTAATTTCTGCTGTATAAATAGATTTTATATTCAGGTGCAACATATTACTTGAATGAATATGACATTCTGTAATGGAGATACTTAGAGGAATAGGGAAGAAAAAGTAACAGCTGACTTCTGGCCCCAATGCTAAATCCACACAAACGCCTTCCTGTGTAGTTGTATGTAAAATATCTGCAAGTGGTTTCACTGTTGACGATCTTATTTCATACTGGATTTACATAAAGTGAAATCCTCTGTGTCCTACATCTTATCTAATGTAACTTTAAAATGCAAAATAAAATCCTCTGCATGTGAGAAACCTGAGTTGATATCAACTTTCTACAATACAGCCCCCCCCCCTCTGGTCACATTGCCCCCCCCCCTCTGGTCACATTGCCCCCCCCACCCTCTGGTCACATTGCTACCACCCCCTCTGGTCACATTGCCCCCCCCTCCCTCTGGTCACATTGCCCCCCCCTCCCTCTGGTCACATTGCCCCCCCCCTCTGGTCACATTGCCCCCCCTCCTCTGGTCACATTGCTCCCCCCCCCCTCTGGTCGCATTGCCCCCCCCCCCCCCTCTGGTCACATCCCCCTCTGGTCACATGCCCCCCCTGGTCACATGCCCCCCCTGGTCACATGCCCCCCCTGGTCACATGCCCCCTCTGGTCACATGCCCCCTCTGGTCACATGCCCCCTCTGGTCACATGGCCCCCTCTGGTCACATGCCCCCTCTGGTCACATGCCCCCCTCTGGTCACATGCCCCCCCTCTGGTCACATGCCCCCCTGGTCGCATGCCCCCCCCCCCTCTGGTCACATGCCCCCCCTCTGGTCACATGCCCCCTCTGGTCACATGCCCCCCCTGGTCACATGCCCCCTCTGGTCACATGCCCCCCTCTGGTCACATGCCCCCCTGGTCACATGCCCCCCTCTGGTCACATGCCCCCCCTGGTCACATGCCCCCTCTGGTCACATGCCCCCCCCCCTCTGGTCACATGCCCCCCCTGGTCACATGCCCCCCTCTGGTCACATGCCCCCCCCCCCCTCTGGTCACATGCCCCCCCCCCCTGGTCACATGCCCCCTCTGGTCACATGCCCCCCCCCCTCTGGTCACATGACTGACTGAGCGCTATCACCTGATTCCACTAAAACTGGAACAACGGCGTCACGCGCTCAAGTCACGTGCCGCTCGCTGGGCGGCACAGCCCATGTGTACGGGGGGTGAGGGGGGGGGAGGGAGTGCTTCTCATTCACAACTTCTAATTTCCTGGCCTGGGTTTTGCCGCCCGGACCTGTGGTTCCTCGGCCGTCACACAGTACACGTCAGCGCCGCTGTCGCTGCTGGAAACCGAGTCCTTCGCTCAGTGGTGGCGGCAGCAGAGAGTGCTGACCCCCCCCCACGCGGTGCGCGCGCAGTGACGGCTCCCGGGCCCCTGTGGCAGAGTGCGCCTGCGCGGGGCCGCCGCCGCCGCCAGTGACAGTCAGTGACAGCGAAGATGGCGCCGCTCCTCCTCCTCCTCCTCCCGGCGCTCTCCTCTGTGGCTCAGGACCTACCGCCCGTGAGTGACTCCGCTTCCCAACACGTCTCTCCCACAATCGCCGCCCCCACCACCGCCCCCACCACCAGGCGTCGGCGGCATCAACAACAATAACAGCAGCAGCGACAGTCCTGGCGTTTGACAGAGCGCGTCTCCTCGACGTCTCCCGAAGCGCTTCGCAGAGCGCAGACCGCGAAGTGTAGTGACTGTGTGTAGTGACCGTGCGTCGGTGGGCGGCGCGCGCGGCAGCCAATCCCCCCCCCCCCCCCCGGTTATTTGGAGGGCGGTGGGAGCCGGAGCCCTGTTACCCCCTCGTTAATCATGGGGGGTGGTCTGGGGGAAGGTCCAGGGGGGGGGGTCTGGGCGGAGGGGGTGGGGGCCGAGGGCCGGGGAGTGGGGGGGAAGCGGTCGAAGGGCGAGACCGGCGGAAAAGGAACGGCGCCGCCGCGACGGCTGTTGGAGACCTCAACAACAACAACAACAAGATTCCATTTATAGAGCGCCTTTCACGTCAGGAGGACGTCCCAAGGCGCTGTACAGTTGGGTCATGACCCGAGCATTGGGGAAATGGTCAGGGTGAGGGGAGGGAAGGGAGGGAGCGAGGAGGGGGGAAATGGTCAGGGGAGGGGAGGGAAGGGAGGGAGCGAGGAGGGGGTAGAGAGTCGAGAGGGGAGCTGAAGGCACAGTCAAAGAGAAAGGTCTTGAGACCGGCCTTGAAGGAGGAAAGGGAGGAAGCGGCGAATGGGGGATAGAGTTCCAGAGCCTCGGGGCTGAGAGGCTGAAGGCCCGACCACCGATGGTAGGGCGGTTGGGGCGGGGGATGTGGAGCAGACCGGAGCCAGAGGAACGGAGGGTACGGGCAGGTAGGTAGGGGGATAGTAGGTTGGAGAGGTAGGAGGGAGCAAGGCCGTGAATGGCCTTGTAGGTTAGGATGAGGATCTTGAATTCGATCCTCTGGGGGATGGGAAGCCAGTGGAGGCGAGCGAGGGTGGGAGTGATGTGGTCCTGGTGCGGGACAGTACACGAGCTGCAGAGTTCTGAATGACCTGCAGTGTGGAGGGAGGTGGCGGGAAGGCCGGCGAGGAGAGAGTTCCCATAGTCCAGCCTTGAGGTGATAAAGGCGTGGACCAGGGTTTCAGCAGCGTGAGGGGTGAGGTAGTGCCATAGTCTGGCGATGTTCCGGAGGTGATGGAAGGCGGTGCCAGTTGTGTGGTCGGTGAGGGTTGAAGGTCAGAGGGAGAGGAGTTCAGAGGACTCCAAGGCAGCGGTTAGGGATTGTGGGGGTAACTTCTTCCAGGGGCGGTAGAAGATGGTGGTGGGTCTGGTGGAGGTGGTGAAGGAGATGAAGTAGTGGTCAGAGATGGCCTTGTCGGTAATAGTGACATCCGAGACACTGAGGCCCCGGGTGATCACCAAATCGAGTGGGTGACTGTGAGTGGGGGAGTTTATGTGTAAGGAGAGGTTGAGTGAGGACCTCAGCTCTCGCGCCCGCGGCCTTGCGAACCGCTCCCGCTGCCTCCCTCCCGGGTCCGCCCCGCAGCGTTTTTTCGAGTCTCTTTTTGTCGTCGTCGTTGTTGTTTTTTTGCCTTCGGCCGGAGGAGTGGCATTTGTGTGCGTGTGTGTGGTTTTTTTTTTCAAAAACCGGTAAACGCGTTAGGAAATTGGACAGGGCTTCGCCTCTCGAACTTTTTTTTCTGGGGTCGGTTTGACCCGGCAGCGGCGCCGGTCCGTTGGCGTCGGGCCCTTCGCCTCAGGCAGCCGTCCCGAGGCGCCGGACGGTCGGTGTTCACGGACCCGATCGGGGAGGTGGGAGGGGGGAAGGAGGGTGGCTCGAGGCTCAAAAAAAAAAGGCGCAATTTAACTCTTTTTTCGAATTGTGTCTTTTTCTTGTGCGAGTGACAAAAAAAAAGACGTGTCGGCTTATTGCTTTTTGTCGGGTCAGCCGGGCGTCCCGCACACGCGGGAAACCCACCACCGTGCCTAGGAATACCCAAACCAAACTGAGAGCTCTACGCATCCCAAGATATTTGTTGGAATGCGCACTCGTTCCCAGGAGGGGTGCATCCTGTCGCTCAGTGGTTATAGCGCTCGCCTTGCATGTGAGGGACCTGGGCTCGATTCCTGGGAGGGCAAAACCATGGGCAAGTTTCCTTACTCCACACGCCTGATAATCCTCAAGAATAAAAGAATAAATTGGTCACTTCAATCCATGACTGTTTGTGGGACACCGCTGTGCGCAATTGGCTGCCGCGTTTCGCCCACAAATATACAATCAATTCGCTTTACAGTCTATTCGGTGAAGCGCTTTGAGATGTCGAGAAAACATGAAAAACGCTGTATTAAATGCAAGGATTATTATTATATTACTTGTACTGGATAGGTGGAGTTAGTGTACTCTGATCAGATGAGACGTTTAGACATCATCAGTGAATGAATTCTAAATCTATTTGCTTGAAAATGCCAATTTTCAACGAGTGTGTTGAGGAAAATGCTCCAAAATAAGGAACTGAGAATTTCTGATACTAAAATCGGGAGCGACCTTTGGTACACTTAATTACTTAAATGTCAGCCTTTCTGTTCCTAAAAGCCAGGAAATATCAGAATATCTGGCGGCCTCGGCACAACCCCCTATTGCTGCTAATGTGTAATAGAGAGTGAACCTCTTTAATGTTCATATGTTTCTTTTCTTTACACAGTATTCTGAAGAATGCAGAAAAGGCACTTACCCTCCACATGGCCCAACGTAAGAAGTAAAATATTGTAGATGGCAATGAATTGAAAGCACAGGTTGTATAAAGGAAACTTTTAACTGTAGTATAATCTGGTTCAGTGCCTTAATGTGTATTTTTATGACCTGGGAACTGGAGTAAGGAGGTTGTACCAAGAATATAATTGTTTTTAACAGCTTCACAAAGGCTCTACCAGAAAACTTTAATCTACTCTTACAAAATGCTGCATGAACTGTTCAAAATGTTATGCAAAATGTTTGTAGGGGCTCTTAGTTTTACTTTTTGGCAATATATTACAGTTCAATTATATTTATAACAGTAAGGCTTAATGTGGTTTTTACATGTTTGCCATTCACAGTCTGCTCTGTACAAAAAAGATCCAGCACAATGACATAACCAAGAATTTAATAATAATGTATCACTTTATAGGTCCACCTTGTGACGTATGTCGTCATTTGCCATAATTTTTACTACTCAGATCACTTTCTAACTTAATTATTAAATAATAATAATCCTTATATTTTGCACCTTTTATATCAGGAAAACATCTCAGTACTCTTCAAATGATAATCCATGAAATCTAGTGACTGTGTATTTTGTAGGCGAATAAGGCACCTAATTTGTACACAGCAATATCCATAAACAGCCATGAAGTGAATGAGCAATTTTATTTGGGGGATTGTCACTGAGATAAATTCCCTTCTCTTTTCGAATAATGCTATGGTATCTTTAATATCCACCTAAACAGGCACATGGGACCTTGGTTTAACACCTTCATTTAAAGGAAGAATAAGAATGTACAACTGCTCTTTTGTTCAGTCAGCAAAAGTGACAGCTGAACTGTGTGACGTTCATGTAATGACCTCTGCTTCTCAGCATAGTGAGAATAAACGCTTCTGCTTCAATGTAATACTGTACATAAATTAGTGTTAATGTCCTGATTTCTTGCATACACAGATTTAAAGGAAAAATTCCTTGGTACACAATAAATCTTGATTCTGCACCACATAAAAGGTGGAACCAGCTGATCAGTGACAAGAAAGTAGAGGTATGTGATCAATCTCTTGTGTGGGCATATCTTCTGTAGAAACCAATGATTTTTTTATATCGTTGAACCATTTTAAGAATGGTGATTGACACTCGTGGTTCAGTGCTCAGTCACAGCCTGGCTCAGTTTATAAAACTCTTACCTTTGAGTCAGAATGTTATGGATTCAAGTCCCAAGATTGTGGTGTCGGCTTCTACTCCGTTACACTGCTGGAGGAGCTCTACAATTTCGATATGTGTCAGTCAACCTTCGGATAAAGCATAAAACCCTAGATCCTCCCTAAGGCCTGTTCAGGTGGACGATAAAGATTCTATGGCACTATTTGAAGAGAAGTGAGTTGTTCCCAGTGTGCTCAAATTGTCTGCCATGTTCGCTACAAATATACAGTCACTACACTTAACAGTAAAATCCTTTGCTGACAATACAAGGCACTATATCAAATGCAAGGAATATTATTCTTTTGTTCATGATACTGACGTAATGTCATTTCCTATAGTTGTACTAAATCAGAAGTTTGTAAACAAGAATGCAGCTAGATAATTATGGCTCCTTTTTTATACATTTCTGAAAACTGATATGAGGTGTAATGCAGATGTTATTCAACGTTGTGAATAAAAAGACTGATAATTTGTTCTCCTTAAACATTTAGAAAATAGCTTACTTTAACATGCTTCAACTTCTATGTTCCAGTTGAGTACTTAATGCACAAATGTCAGAAGCACAAATTTGCACAAGTGTTATGAGGAAGAAGGCAACTGAAGCATATTGTTATGGCAAGATGCTAAGCTTATTGACGTATTTTAGAAAGGGTATGTACAGCTGGAAGAAAATTAAATCTGGGTCCGATTTAATCTTTGAGCACCTCATTTCTTATCTGTTACTGTCACTCAGTTTCATTCTGCTGTGTCTTACTTCCAACAATTTTTTACATCATGTTTTGAAACAGGAAATATTTGTAAACCAATGTTTGAAAAAATATTGAAAACACTATATTCAGAATTCTTCGGGCAGGGGGAAAGCAGGGTGACCGAAGGCACGGTCGAAGAGGATGGCCTTGAGACGGGTCTTGAAAGAGGCAAGGGATGGGACGAGGCGGTGGGAATGCGGGATGGAGTTCCACAAGTTGGGGGCAGAGAGGCTGAAGGCCTGCCCGCCAATGATGGGATGGGCGAGGCGGAGACGTGGAGGAGGGTAGAGTGGTCCACAGTGTCAAAGGCAGTAGAGAGGTCAAGCAGGCAGAGGGAGTCCTGGTCGCAGATGGACAGAATGTCCTTTGTCACTTTGACCAGGGCTGTTTCTGTGCTGTGGGCGGCACAAAAACCCGATTGGAGGGGTTTGTGGAGGGTGTGCGGGAGAAGAAGGAGCGAAGCTGGGAACCAATGACTTGTTCCAGGACCTTGGAAAGGAAAGAGAGGTTGGAGATGGGATGGCAATTTCAGAGAGGGATGAGTTGAAGGAGGGTTTTTTAAGGATAGGAGTGTTGACTGACATTGTTACAGGAGTAGGAATAGTGCCAGTGGACAGGGAGAGGTTTATGATGTCGGTGAGTAGGGGGAGCAAGGAGATGGAGCTGAGAGATAAGAGGGGTAGGGATGGGTTCGAGGGAGCAGGTGGTCGGTTTCATGTAGGTTTTAGTGATGGTGAGAGAGGAACGGGAGACAGATTCAAAGGTACTTAAAGAGACGAGCAAGGTTTCCTTCTCCAGATTTGATCATCCAGGAATCCGTAATGGCAACGTAGGGTCAGGATAGGATCCGACTCCTCTCTAATGTTTTTTTCTTCCCTCAGTCAAATAGTTTGCTGATATCTAATGTCTAAACTCATACATAAAGAAAAGCTCTCTGGGCAACGTATAGGGCACCAGGCACTTACAGAAATATGCTCCCAACACAAGTGAATATTTTCAGGGAGAGAGGAAGACTACACAAGACTTGTTTTTAATTTGATATTAGATGGTGTTCAATTAAATTTTACATTTACATTAAAAACAACACTTCTAAAGCATATGTTTTATTGATTGATTTCAGGTGACAAATTTAATCCAGGCAATCAAGAATTTAGCAAACGACTTCTTCCCGAGTGGCAAACTGATTGAGCTCGTGGACAAACATCTGGTAAGAATGCAATTCAGTTTATTTCTAATTTACTTCTAAACATGGCCAGGCACTGTCTTGCATATGGTTGTATTTTGTCCTGTCTATTGTCCTCAAAAGTTTGAAACCCAAGTGGTTACTTGCCTTCATTGCTCTGTATTTATGCCTTAGGTAAAGAATTCTATAAACTACTGCATAAAGTGGAGCAGGATGAATCTGAGGCACTTTGTATGCCTCAGATTCATCCTGGCCCATTTTATGCAGTAGTTTATAGAATTGTATGTTCTATAACCTAGACGTTTCATTGTTAAGATGATATTCGATAGTACTTATAACACGATTGAGAGACTATGTTGCAAAAATGCTGATTTTGTTGCTAAAACCTCCATGTTAACTGTAATGTTGACTTTCAATAAAGTAGTGCTGAATGTGCTTTGGGTGGCTATACATCATGTGTTCATTTTTTCTACTGACTAGATTTCATATTGTATGAGCTGCATGGTGTTATGTTACATTACTGCCTTGCAGCAGAGCTATATTTCTGAAGCGAGAGATGGAACAAGATAAGAAAGTAAGAAGTTGGTATTGGTATCTTTTCCTGTTCTTGGGCTAAACTCTCTGTGCTTGTTTGAGAGTACCAATTCAAGAATTAATTCTGGCAGTGTGTCCCTCAATAACATTTTTAGAAATCCTTGTAACATTGTTTCACACCCTTTTCCTCTTCTTCCAGGCTCCGCTGGTAGACACACTTCCTTTTCCATTTAATGAAGAAATAAAGGGAATCGCAGATGTTTCTGGACTGCCCTTGGGTATTGCAATTATTGTTATAATATGTGTCAAATGTTTATTACTTATTAGTCAGCTGTTTGTCGCTCGATTTTGATGTGGGACAGTGCGGTGGGTATTCTGGAAAGATTAGATAAAATGGACCGTAGGGCCTTCTTCATCTGAATCATCCTTATTATAGTGATCTTATCATAATAATTGATTCATTGGTGGGGTTGTCTCTACTTATCAGTATCAGAGCTCACTGGCTGTTGGGACAATTCATGATGCTCAACACTGGTAAATTGGATCCCAAACTAAATGAATTTTCCTTAAGAGCTTTATGTTGTATTTTTGGTTGCAATAAAGTACTTCCGAATGATAAACAACAATTTGTGGGGAGTGGGAGGGTAACCTCTCAGTAAGAATTCTATTTATTAATTCTCCTAGACAGCTATCCTGCATATATAATCTAAAAGTGTTGGGTTGTAAAATAGCTGTGAAACCAATCATCATGAAACATCCTTTTGTGGTGGCTGTTAAGAGATAACATCTGTAACACGTAGTGTTGGGTTAATGGGCATAGTGTTATAAACATCTGCATCTGATTGCTAATCAGACTTTTAAAAGTTAAGGAAATCCTCCCAAAGGCCTTATAAGATAAAGGCAATGTCTGGTGCAATACTGCGCCGAATAGACTCAAATACTGCAGGTTTAAACCCTGGTCTGTGTTAAACTGATGTTTGGCATCCTCTAAGGAGCCCACAACATAAAGTTACTAATTGCATCTAAATTGCTGATCTTGCCATAAGGAAGCCTAGAATCAACAACAACAAGATTACATTTGTATGGTGCCTTTTACGTCAGGACCCAAGCAGGGGGGAAATGGTCAGGGTGAGGGGAGGGAAAGGAGGGAGCGAGGAGGGGGTAGAGAGTCGCTTAAGACGCTTTATAAAGTTGTGTAACAGGAGCTTTACTCAACACCCTACTTGAGAGTACTTGGTGCTGATGCTGACTGGCCCAGGTGTGAAATATTTGACTTCCAACACAGGAATTCTTCACTTCAGTTGTAACATTTGTGAAACGGCTTCAATAAATTTCTAGGCTGGAGAATGTTGTGACTGCTTTTCTTAACATAGTAAGTCTGTTTAAAGTAATGCATATAGCAGGTTTGAGTGCTCTTATTTCTTAACCATTGCAGTTTCTTGTTTAAATTACAGGGGAAGTTATGTTCTTCAATGTCTTCTATGAAATATTCACAGTGTGTACATCACTTGTAGCTGAAGATACAACTGGTATGTTTGCAATTATGAAGTCTCTTAACTGGGTGTCCTGGTAAATATTTATGGTGAGAGCAGGAAGAAATATGGGGAAAGAAAACTAAAACGGCCCTTTAGTTAAAATATTGCAAAATTAAAAAAAACTTAAAAATTAAAATTTAAAAGCATTCAGAGGAAGATGGATCAGAAATAATCGTCAGCTTTTACTTTTTGTCTAATAATATAGGTCACTTTACAATCATCGAATATTACAGCACAGAACCATCCCCTTGTGCCTGTGCTGACTCTTTGAAAGAGCTACCCAACTATCCCACTCTTACCCCTTAGCCTTGCAATTTTTCCCTTATCAATTCCCTTTTGAAATCTACTGTTAAATCTGTTTCCCCCACCCCCTTTCAGGCAGTGCATTCCAGGTTGTAACAACTCGCTGGGAAAAAACATATATAACATAAGTCACTTTTTAATATAATGTGGGTCTTTCTATAATATAAAACAATATGGGTCACTTTTTAATGCATCATAATATACGAATCTTTGAGGTAAGCTATGCTGAGTTCTCTAATTCCATGACTAATGTTGTTATAATAATAATCCTTGCATTTGATATAGCGCTTTTCACGTCGGGAGGACGTCCCAAAGCGCTTCACAGAACACACTGTAAAGTGAATTGACTGTATATTTGTGGGCGAACGCGGCAGCCAATTGCGCACAGCAATGTCCCACAAACAGTCGTAGATTGAAAATGACCAATTTATTATTGTTTTTGGTTTTGGAGGGATTATTATTAGGCGTGTGGAGTAAGGAAACTTGCCTAAGGTTTCGCCCTGCCTGGAATTGAACTCAGGTCTCTCGCTTGCAAAGCGAGTGCTCTAACCACTGAGCTACAGGACTCCAATGTTGTTGAGACAACATGGTACATGAATTGAACACAATTATGTTTATTTCCAGGCAAGTTATACCACGCTAGAAATCTGGATTTTGGATTGTTTCTTGGGTAAGTACAAGATCCATGCAAAACGAGTTGGTTTATTGGTAGTGATTAAAATATGGTCATGTCGTATTATCATATTTCAGATAGTTTAAAAAGCATTTTTGATTTTGATATTACCTTCATAAATGTCACTGCGAGGCAACTGTCAGGAATGGTTTCTATCCCAGCAGTAATCAGCATAAACATCTACATTTAGTAAAAGTGCTCTTCTGTAATTTTGTGAAAGAATGAATCTTTTTGTGTAGGAACTCCAACTGTAGTGTATTTTTACAGTGTTGCATTGTGATTTTTATATGAAAACTACAATTGTAGCCTGTTTAGTTAGGCTCTTTAAACAAATGTATCCTCAAACAAGCACTGTAAAGGGGCACGATTGCTGATCAGCACTTCAGCAGTCGTTGTGCCTGAGTGCAAAGGGATGAAACCCCAGCAGCCAGCCAGGCAGGCACACAGAGTGTCAAATTGACTGACATTCAGATCATCATCACCGAAACCACTCATTTCAGCAGTGACCTGATGACATGGAAGTCAACAATTTTTAACTTTCCTATGACAGTGCACATGGTGCTTGTATTTTTTTTAGGGTGTGGGGGACAGGGTTAAGTAAATGTTGAGGATCATATAAGCAAACCCACTTTATACTGAAGATCTTTATACTTGTATAACTGTAATTGCAGAAAATGCCTAAGTGAATCTTCAAAAATGTGAGACATGAAGATGCTTATTTTGAAAGATTGAAACCCCCAGTTTAAGATGTTGTTAAAAAGGCTCCCGAACATTGAATCCTTGATTATCTCCCATAACAGAAGAGGCCTGACTGTGGATACTTGAGATTGGTGGATAATCAATGTTCACCTTTTGTAAGTGGTGCTGAGCTAATGCAGGGAGGGAAGGACAATAATCAAATACATTGTGAAAGCATTAACCCAATAGTTTGAGGAGATGTAATAATTTCCTCATCTGTTATAACTCCAACAAAAAGGACTTTTGTGAGTAAATTGTCCTTCCATTTTCTTCTTTTGCAGTTGGGATATAAAAAAACATAGTTGGGAGATTCCAGAATATCTTCGACCTTTAACAGTTAATCTAGATTTCCAGAGGAACAACAAAACCATATTTAAATCCACTAATTTTGCTGGATATGTTGGAATGTTGACTGGCATGAGGCCTGTAAGTACTAAACAATTCTGAGATGGTGTGGGACTATGCATTTGCATATATATTATATTTTGCATATAATACTGTATATTGTATTTTCATAATAATAATACTTGTATTTGCCATGTCGGGAGGACATCCCCAAATGCCTCACAGGATATACTGTAAAGTATAGTGACCGTATTTAGAACCGACAGAATAAATTAGATGCATTTGTTTGAGGATAAGCATCTAAAAATATTGTTTTGCCTGACCTGCTGAGTATTCCCAGCGACTTCTGGTTTTGTTTTTAAAAATATTGTTCCTATGCAACCTGCTTTAGCCCTACCTTCCTGCCTTTAAAGCCCACCTTAAGATCTATCTTTTCGAACAAACTGGCAATTATTTTTCTCTCCCCTCTCTCCTCGTTCCCAGTGAGTTTGGTGAAGCGCTTTGAGACATCCTACTGATCTGGAAGGTGCTATATAAGTCTAAATTGTTCTTGTAGCACCATAGCTTGACCACCATAGCAGTATTTTACTTTGTGATACTTCAGTGTTGTAACAAATAACAGTGTTGTAGCACTGGTCCCCTCCCTTCTGTTTGGCGTCTGACCCATTCACTGGAAATTACTCTGAGACGTTATCCTACACGAAGGTCAATATATCAAGGCAAGTTGTTTTTGTTGTAACATAAGTATCTGTTTATTTGCAGGGGATATTCACACTCACAATGAATGAGCGTTTCAACATTGATGGAGGATATATTGGTAAATAGCTCATCTATTCAATCGCGGTGTATTTGAAATATTGTGCAAGTGGAACTCCTTTAATTTGATTCAGAACAAACAATATTAAGTTGAAACACCCTAACCCAATTTTCTATTTCTACCCCTTTTTGTCTAGTTTATATAGGAACTTTGTATGTCAACATAGAAAGATTGAAGTTTTTAAAATGTCAATATGTTCAGATTTTGGAGTATAAGAACTTTGGGGGGGAGTGAAAAGCATCACTGGAGCTCATGGCTGAATTGTAGGAGAATTAAAATAACTTTTTTTAATCATCATCGGTCAAAAACAACCAAAGCTGATTCAGTGGATTGTTTGAGCCTGTCTAACGTGACTTTGAAACGCATAGTCTTTATTATTGGTAAAAAAAAATTAAATAAGTTATTCTTTAGGTATCATTGAATGGATCCTGGGTAAAAGAGATGGCTTCTGGATGAGTTTTCTTACTCGGTCGGTGCTGGAGAATGCTACCAGGTATAGAATACTGTTCTGAAATAATAATCCTTACATTGATTTAGCACCGTATCATGTTGTGTGTATTTGCGAGCAAATATTTTGTGTGTAAGAGGGCAACCATTTCACACACTGAATTCAGAATCCCAGTGTTCCTGTATCACTAACCCCTTTGAAAATGGAGTAAGTGTTATTTTGAGGATACTTCATTTTCACTTTGTAGAACTTTCACTGGGAATTGGAATTGATCCCTTTCAGGGCAAAATTCACTGAAAATGTGTTCATGTACAATGTATCCCAATCTGCTTTTGTTGATATGAAATTGTTGAGATTGAGATATTAAGTCTGTAATATATTAATCCTTGAATTTGATATAGTAACTTATCAAATGAATTGTAGGAGAATTAAAAAAACTTTTTTTAGTCATCAGTCAAAAACAACCAAAGCTGATTCCAGACATCTCAAAGCTCTTCAAAGGATTTTTATTTTGAAGTGCAGTGACTATTTGTAGGTGATGACCGGTAGAAAAATTTGCCAAAAATTATGGGGAGTTTGACAAATTTTGCTGAAAATTACAGAGAAATTTGATAGATTTTGTGGAAAGTTCCATAAGGTTGATTGGTGCTATCGAGAGACACATTTTGTGAAACAACCCGAATTAAAAATATAGGCATACATTTTGTGAAGATGTATTTTCACAAAGAAATTTAACTTTGAATAGTACAGCAATTACTATGAATTCGCCACAGTTTAGGTCGGGCGGCAGGCACAGTCGATTTCCCGCTTGCGACGCTTCCGCCATCACAATACTCCCCACCCCACACATACGCCACCCACAGTAATGGTGTGGAGAAAACACCGTGCAGAGTCCCAGGGCCGAGCTCACTGTACAGGTGTGTAGTGAGGCCGAGCTCACTGTACAGGTGTGTAGTGAGGCCGAGCTCACTGTACAGGTGTGTAGTGGGGCCGAGCTCACTGTGTACAGGTGTGTAGTGGGGCCGAGCTCACTGTACAGGTGTGTAGTGGGGCCGCGCTCACTGTGTACAGGTGTGTAGTGGGGCCGAGCTCACTGTGTACAGGTGTGTAGTGAGGCCGAGCTCACTGTACAGGTGTGTAGTGGGGCCGAGCTCACTGTACAGGTGTGTAGTGGGGCCGAGCTCACTGTACAGGTGTGTAGTGGGGCCGAGCTCACTGTGTACAGGTGTGTAGTGAGGCCGAGCTCACTGTACAGGTGTGTAGTGAGGCCGAGCTCACTGTACAGGTGTGTAGTGAGGCCGAGCTCACTGTACAGGTGTGTAGTGGGGCCGAGCTCACTGTGTACAGGTGTGTAGTGGGGCCGAGCTCACTGTACAGGTGTGTAGTGAGGCCGAGCTCACTGTACAGGTGTGTAGTGGGGCCGAGCTCACTGTACAGGTGTGTAGTGGGGCCGAGCTCACTGTACAGGTGTGTAGTGGGGCCGAGCTCACTGTGTACAGGTGTGTAGCAAAGGGGATGTTTGTAGCAAAGGAAGCGGACGCACTTTTCTATAGGCCCAGGTGACGAGGCATGATGGCAATTTCCTTTAAGCCTGCATCGGTAGTTGTGAAAATTGTTTCACTCTTTGTATCACGTTGAGACATTTTGACGTGATAAAGTCAAATGCAAGGATTATTATGATACAAACGTTTCACATATCTACCTGTCTTCATTTTAAGCCAGAAATTGTGAACCTGAAGACTTGAATTTGATAACCATAGGGTCACCAAATGTTAATGTTTTATCTTGTAGTTACGCACAAGCCAAGGACCAACTCACTAATACAAAAATGCTGGCACCAGCGTACTTCATACTCGGAGGCAACCGGTCAGGGGAAGGCTGTGTTATCACACGCTCGAGAAAAGCTTGTCTGGATGTCTGGGAGTAAGTTTTATCAAAGTAGAGTCTTGAGTTTCGACTGTCCTTCACCGTCTTATATGAAGTGGAACATCGATTATCATTAAATGTGTTTGTGCTGGAGTTTAATCCTCAGTTAATTTTTCCTCACCTCCTAGGCTTGATCTTAAACATGGCAGCTGGTATGTACTGGAAACTAACTATGATCGTTGGAAGGACCCGCTGTTCCTGGATAATCGCAGAACTCCTGCCATGAAGTGCCTGAACGAAACAACGCAAAAGGTAACTTACTTTTCTAGTGTGCAGCAGCAATCTGAACTTTAATCCCGAGGTGTTACGGAGGTGAGGGAAGTGAGCAACCATGGAGGTTGATGATGCCAGAGCCTGAGGTGCTGAGGCGCTGGCGTGAGCCAATCAGGAGGGCCTCAGTCTTGTTCACATTCAACTGTAGGAAATTTGCCCTCATCCAGGACTTGACACCCCTGCTCGGGTCCCAACCCAACTGTCCAGCGCCTCGGGACGTCCTCCTGAAGTGAAAGGCGCTCTATAAATGCAATCTTCTTCTTGTTGTTGATGTCCGTAAGCAAGTTGCCTGAAGGCAATACTATAGAAAAGGGCACAATAACTGGGTTCTCTTGTATCAGTTATATGAGGGCTTGAAAAGTTGGGACTATTTTTCTGTAGCAGAGAATATTGAAGAACAATCTATAGAGATCTTCAAAAGAATTAACAGTCATTGTCGAGTAAATAAAGAGAACCTATTTCCACTGATCAACAAGTCCAGAACAAGAGGAAACAATTTGAGGATTTTCGGCAGGAAATTGGAATTAGAAATATTTTTGTACAGGGGGGTCTTAGAATGACTTACATTGAAGTTGAATGTATTTAGGCATTAAGAGCAATTTGGATAAATACTAAAAGTAAAAGAGAATTGTTGGCCCAGATACTGGCAGACACTCCCTTCTCTATTCAAATAGAATCGTAGAATCGTACAGCACAAAAAGAGGCCATTCGGCCCATCGAGTTAGTGCCAGCTCTTTGAATAGAGCAATTAATGTCAATCCCACTCCCCAGCCCTTTCCCCATAACCCTGCAAACCCGTCCTCCTCAAATACCCATCCACCGCGTTTTTAAAAGTAGTTATCGAATCGGCCTCGACCAGCCTTTCAGGCAATGCGTTCCAGATTTGAACAACTCGCTGCGTGAAAAAATTTCTTCTCACCTCCCCTCTGCTTCTTTTAGAGACGATTTTAAATCTGTGATCTCGAGTCACCGACACACCCATCAATGGAAACATTTTTTCCCTTTCTAACCTATCAAATCCCCTCATGATTTTGAAGACCTCTATTAGGTCTCCTCGTAACCTTCTCTGCTCCAATAAGAATAATCCTAGTCTCTCCAACCTTTTCTCATAATGAAGATCCCTCATTCCTGGTACCATCCTTGTAAATCTCCTCTGCACCCTTTCCAATGCTCTAAGATCCTTCCTATAGTGTGGTGCCCAGAACTGGGCGCAGTATTCTAACTAAGGCCTAACCAGTGTTTTATATATGTTAATCATAACCTCCTGACTCTTGTACTCTATGCCCCTATTTATAAAGCCTAGAATCCCATTTGCCCTCTTTACAGCTTTACACCTATCCTGCCACCTTCAAGGATTCATTTACCTGCACCCCCAGGTCTCTCTGTTCTTTCACCCCCCTTAAGATTGTATTACCAGCCTATATTGCCTCCCCTCATTCTTTCTACCAAAATGCATTACTTCGCATTTCTCTACATTGAAATTCATCTGCCACGTGTCTGCCCATTTTACCATTCTGCCTATGTCTTCCTGCAGTTGGTTACTATCCTTCTCACTGTTTACTACCCTACCTAACTTTGTGTCGTCCGCAAACTTGGAAAGGGTACTTGCTATACCCAAGTCCAGATCATTTATGTATATTAAGAAGAGCAGTGGTCCTAATACCGATCCCTGGGGGACGTCACTGTACACTTCCCTCCAGTCAGAAAAGCAGCCGTTCACCACAACTCTCTGCTTTCTGTCTCCCAGCCAGTTCTGGATCCATGCTGCCACTCTCCGTTTTATACCTTGGACTTCTATCTTTCTTACAAGTCTTTCATGTGGCACTATGTCAAATGCCTTTGAAAGTCCATATAAACTACATCAACTGCACTACCTTTATCCACCATCTCCGTTACCTCATCGAAAAATTCTATTAGATTTGTTAGACAAGATTTGCCGTTAACAAATCTGTGCTGGATGTCCCTGATTAACCCATATTCTTCTAAGTGAAGATTTATTCTGTCCCGGATTATAGTCTCCAGGAGTTTCCCCACTACTGATGTTAGGCTGACTGGCCTGTAGTTCCCAGGTTTGTCCTTCTGTCCCTTTTTGTACGAGTAGTTCCATGGGATCTTTAACGTCCACCTGAGCAGGCAGATGGGACCTCAGTGTAATGTCTCATCCAAAGGACGGACCCTCCAACAAGGCAGTGACTTCCCCTATCACTGCATTGGAATGTCTGGATAGATTATGAGCTCAAATCTAATGTGGAGATGTTTTTGCATGTTGCTTTATGTGTATTTGTTTTTCCAGAAAATTTCCTTACCAGCCATTTATGATGTTTTGTCAACAAAGCCTGTTCTGAACAAGGTGAGTTAGAATGACTGCCAACGTTTTAAAGCTTCTCTCTTCTCTCCTCCCCTGAAAAAATAATTGCAGCGCTTGGTAATCAATGATCAATTACTTGCTAGTACACAAGGCAGTTTGCACTATCATTCTCGGCTTCATGAAAGCAGCAGTGCGATGGTGTATTCCTGACTCCCTTCCTTCAGCTCACTTTAAAAATGCCTAGTTTGTAATGTCTTGACCATTGAAATCACTCGTTACGTTCACCTTGGGAGAACGTCTCAAAGCGCTTGACAAATCCGGCTAATTTATCTTCCAAGTGATTTTATTTTGGAAAGCACATGTAAAAGAACTATTAAGTTAAATTGCAAGAAAGACATGAGAGCACGATACCCAATTGCCTATTTACAACCTCAGTTGATTCAGATGAGGGTCTGATAACCAGCAGCTCAGGGATGAGAGCGATTCCTATGTTTCCATTTGGAGGCCATCTGTAACCTTGGCAACTCCCCTCACACTTACATGACACAATCTCAATACAATACACAATCTCAAATTTCCACCATCAGTGTTTTTCTTGTTAATTTATCTGTTTCTCATCCAAAACATAATCCATCACTGATACATAACTGTACCCATAATTTCATGCTTGAACTTCCCCTGACAGAAGTCCCACGGAGGTGTAATATCATTTCCCCTATCCCTTCCTTCAGCCAATTCCCCTCATTTTTTTAAAAAACGCAAACTATGTAATGAATCAAATTTCCATAACCAGGAAGAAAGGTTTGGATCTAATCTTAATACCCCATCGACTGGGATTTTCCAAAGTAGTCCTCCCAGTAGTGAGGAGGCGAGGGAGAGACCCTGATATTTCTCTTCAGGTGCTTCTCAATCACTGGAGGCCAGGTAAACATTTGTACAATTATGAAAAAAGGATGTGATTTAGTTAATTTAGTAGTGAGTTTTAGATGGTGATTAAGATCCTGTTTTGCATTTCGCAGTTGACCACGTATACTACGCTGATGGAAGTGTCGTCAGGCACATTTGAAGCCTATCTACGTGACTGTCCAGACCCCTGCATACCGTGGTAGAACTGACACCTAATGTAGCAAGGAATTTCACTGGCCTGTCTCCAAATAATAGCCAGTTGAGCTGCAAACTCATATTACTGGAATACCATGTCACATTCCTAATGGCCTTGAAATACAGAATGCAATACAATACAAAATTACATTTATATAGCGCTTTTTACATTGGAAGGACGTCCCAAGGCACTGATGTAATAAGACGCACTGGAAGCCTGTTATAATGCGGTATTTGAGGTCTTGTTTGCGTGCACAAAGCAGAAAATGATGGGGGTAACCTGATATCCAGAAGTTAAACTTTTTTTAAACAGATGAAGCTGAAATGGCTGATGTCTGGATAATTGGATAACTATCAACATCACTTCCAGTTGAGTATTGAACGGTGTAACCGTAATATAAAGCTAATTTGTGCTATAATGAAACACATAATGGAGCTGCTTTGTATGTCTGATCAGAATCTCTTACACTTTTAATGTTCTGACATTCAAACGTGTGAATTTCATTGGTTCAGTATCTAAACTTTTCAAAATCTTTAACTGATATTTTATCTTTTAATCTGGTACAATGCACTTAAGGATGGTGTCGCCATTTAATCTCACCAGTGGAAGTAATTTGTTTGTATTTATATTGAGGTGTTAATAACTTTTATTAACTTTTGAATTTAATGTTCTCTTCGTCATTGGACAATAAAATTGCAAAGGGGAGATAAAGTAGCCCAGCGTAAAAGCACATTTAAATCTAATATATTAATTTGCACATTGATTCATGGGGTGGTTGTTCTAACACAGTGTTCTGCTGTATGTATAATATTGCTCCTGTTGGTCAAATCAGACATTAAACCAATCCTGAAACCACATACAGTATATCATTTGGTTCATTTTTGTGGTAGCATGTTCAAAATCTGATGGCGTATTTCTGTTTTATTTGATTTGACGTTACTAATTTAGAGCAACAATGTGACGCTTTGGGGCATTTTTGGCTTCTCTTTAAAAGAATACTGCATTTGTTTTATTTGGTGTTAACTTGTTTAATTTGAAGTCTGGGAATAAATTGTTCAATTTCATTTTAAAGTTTATCTTGCACCCAACCTGTGGAATGTAATACGTTTACTGTTATATTACCATGTAAAAGGTTTCACTTTAGAGAAGTTGTAAATGTAAAATATTGCAATAAATTTGGAATTTATAACCATTTACAATCTGCTGCTTCACAGGAAAGCAACAACAACTTGGACTTGTGGAGTCCTGTAGCCTTGTAAGCGAGACACTTGGGTTCAATTCCAGGCAGAGGGCGAAACCTTGGGCAAGTTTCCTTACTCCACACGCCTAATAATAATCCCTCCAAAAACAAAACAATAATTACTTGGCCATTTTCAATCCACGACTGTTTGTGGGACACTGCTGTGCGCAATTGGCTGCCGCGTTTGCCCACAAATATACAGTCAATTTGGTTAAAGAATATGCTGTGAAGCACTTTGAGGCGTCTAGAAGACGTGGAAAGCGCTATATCAAATGCGAGAGTATTATTATTACTTAAATAGCACCCTCCACCCAGGGTCGAGTCTCAGAGTGCTTAACATTAGCGGAGCTGAACTCCAGGGTGAGGGTGGGGGGAAGGGCCATAAGCACGGTCAGAGAGGAAGGTTTTTCTGGCGGGACTTGAAAAAGGGGATAGAAGGGACAAGGCAAAGGGATTGAGGGAGAGTTCCAGAGTTTCAGGGCATCAAGAACCAGGTAATGCCTCCTGCTTTTTCTGGCACTGAAACCTGGTCAATCGTTTGCAGTAAAACACTATTCCAATGCCCCATGGTCTGTTATTGCATCGCATGCTCCTTAACACAAGAGGGCACTGTCAATTTGCTGTCTGTGACTTCACTGTCTTTCAGTTACATTACACCTCAAATCCAGTCGGCAATAAGAGTAATCAGATCAATCTGAACAATTTCATCACACACAGTTGTAAAGACATGGATTGCTTTGGCTCAAAAGGCTTCACAGGTCAATGAGGATGATCAAAAGACGGGCACTTGGGTAGTAATATCGTATTTGATAGATCGCCTTTCACACCAGGAGGACGTTTCAGAGCGCTTCATGTGATGATAATAATCTTTGCATTTGATATAGCGCCTTATCGTATCTTCGAGACGTCCCAAAGCGCTTCACAGAATATAATGGAAAATATTTTGTAGGCGAAACGTGGCAGCCAGTTGCGCACAATAATAGGGACTATTTTGTAGGTATGTATATTTTGCAAATGCAGCAGCCGATTTGCACACAGCAGTGTCCCACAAACAGCCATGAAGTGAATTGCTACTAATATATTTTTGAAGAGTTCCGTAGGATTTTTAACATCCACTTGAACGGACAGACAGGATTTCAGTTTAACGTTTCACGTTTCATCTGAAGGACAGCACTCCAGTACATTGGAATGCTGCCCCAGCACTCCAGTAGATTATCAGCCTAGACTGTTAGTTCAAAGTCTATGATCTTTAAAAAGTTTGATGTTCTCCTGACGTGAAAGGGGATTAAAATGAGTAAACTTGTGGACTAAGTTCAATGAGCTAAATAGCCTACTCTTTTCCTGTTCTTTCCAATTTCCTCCCAATGTGAAGGTGTTATATAAACACAGTTTGTTGTTTTCCAACGTTCCTACACTTTGTTAGTCTTATCAGAACAAAGCTTCCTTTCCAAAAAAGCAATATTTTTGGCCAAAAAGTGTTGAGTAGTTAACTCATATAATGGGAGAATGTTAATAACACAGCAAATGAGCTGTGGGTTCATAGGATTCTGGAAATCACAATTTTTTTTATTTGTTGCCATCAAGCACTGCTGGGGTCAGGGAGGCAGAGAAGACCTGGTTATGGTTGTGGCCAGGCAATGTACGACTTGAGTCTTAGTGCAGTACTGCATTGGAATGACCCCTGTTAGATGGTACGCAGGACACAAACACTTGAGTGTAAATCTCTTCATTGTACAAGTAACAAAATGCTCACTTTTACGTAGCACATAATTCTGTGCTTTGTAAAAGTGTAAAATAGTCCTCATTCACAATTGCAAGGATTATTAATGTAATATCTAATCCTCATGGTTTTAGAGACTTGAGTTTTTTTTTCAGTTCGAGTTCTATGAGTCATACTGGTTTCTCCTCTGCTACCAAATCCATGTCTTTTGGAAGGTAAGATCCAAACACTGAATGGTTTCACCAAAGATCCATGCTAAATTCAGAATTAACTTGTTTGGGCTTAAAAACAACTTCTTGAAATGTACCTTCAAGTTTATTATAGTAAATAGTAACTTCATATCAACTGGAGACCTTTAATAAATTATGTATTACTCGCATATTGTTTTCTATCTTTGTAAATAAAATTCCATTATGTATAAATTTCACATGAGGACATCTTAAAGCATCTCAAGGAGCTAACTAGGAGCCTGATGTGGGTGGGGGAAAGCTGAGGTGGATTGGGGTGGGGGGGAAAGGAAAGATGATCAAAAGCACAGTTGAAAAGGTAGGTTTTAAGGGGGGCTTTCAAGTGGAATGGCAGGAGATGAGGAAGAGGGATTCTAGACGCAGTTCCATAGAGGGGATGGAATGGTTAAAAAGGTTGCCCACCAATGATGGGGCAGATTGGGTGAGGGACATGAAGCAGGCTGGCGTTCACTGAGAGAAAAGTAGCCAGATCAGTGGAGTTATAGCAGGACACAGTGGTAGGCTGGGGCAAGCCCACACAGATAGTAATGTGAGGGCAAAGATCTTATATTTGACCTGTTGGGAAATGGGGAGCCGGTGGAGCAGAGTGAGCATGTGAGTGATGAGCTGGCAGAGCCTGGTGCAGGAGAGGACACAGGCTGAGGATTCAGGTGGGCAATTTATCGCAATGCACTGAAGTCAGACATGTTTGCTCAGAGAGCCCCAAATCTGCTCATTAGAGATTGGTTTGCATCACACTTTTTATCAATGTGCTGGCAATAATTATACCATCGTGTATAGTATTTTTCACCTGACGGATACTATAGGCAAACAGACTAAAACCTTTATGTGAGTACGGTTAGTTATCACTCATTCCTGGGATCAGATGTCAGCCTTGCAGGGTTTGAGGTGGGGGGAATATGGAAGGTGACAATGGGAAGTAGTCTCACACCCACAGTGGGGTTATCACGTGACCACTGCAAAGACAAACCTTTGAGATATGTGTTTTCTCTCGGTGTTTTCATTACCTTGGCCTGCATTTGACAGATGGACCATTAGACCTAAGGGAGAACAATCCACCCTTTATATATAACGTAATCCCCATTTTAAACCCTATCTTTCAAAGAGCAATTTGATTCATTCCCTACAATACATAGCGAAAAACGAACTTATATCTGCAGTCAAGTTTCAACCGTCCATCTCTGTTTGTTTCTTGGATTCAATAATAAGCTGTCCAGCTGCACATCACCGTAACAAGTACAGAGTTACATTTGGGATAACCACGTTTTTACTTTATATTGACTTGCCAGATTTAAATATATCAAAAAATAATTGCATACTGTAATTCTCTACCACCCATTCAGTATATTTTGATATTGTATCTTTTTTAATTCTTCTCTATTGCTACATTTGATGTAGACGCACATACAGTATATTGGGTTCTTTTCGACGGCGAACTACAAAAGCATCCATCGTATCCTATAAATGGTCTCAATCTATCACTTTCCAATTGTCTGAAACATTGGTAATGTTACTAGTAATAATAATCCTTGCACCTGATATAGCACCTTATCACGTCTTTGAGACGTCTCAAAGCACTTCGCAGAATACACCATAAAGTGAATTGACTGTATTTTGTGGGCGAATCTCGGCAGGTAAATTGCGCACAGCAGTCGTGGATTGATTAATTAAATTATTATTATTTTAAATTTTATTTTAATGATGCAGATGCAGAGGTTGAAAATGCAAAATTCACACTAGGATCCGAATAGGAATTTTAAATATTGAAACCTGCCAATAGCCAGATGTGCATCGGGCTGACCTCCAGCTCCTCCACACTGTCTACACCAGCTCCACACTGGCCTCCAGCTCCTCCACACTGTCTACACCAGCTCCACACTGGCCTCCAGCTCCTCCACACTGTCTACACCAGCTCCACACTGGCCTCCAGCTCCTCCAGACTGTCTACACCAGCTCCACACTAACCTCCATCACCACACTGACATGATGGATGCTTTTGTAGTTCACCACCTAAAATAACCCAATATACTACATCAATGCAGTTGACCTATAGGAGCTCAACAGTGACGAACAGGAGCTCCACTTTGACCTGATTTTCTGGCCATATTAGAGCAGAGTTCTCTCAAGTCACCATAATGCACATCCAGTGATTGTTAGAATTAATTTTTAACCTGTTAAAAATACCCCATTTTCAACCCTGTTACGAAGTTGTATGTACACAACAGTGTCGTGAGACTGGAACACAAGTTACGAATAGTTGTTAAAAAGAGAAGTTGGAATTGCAACATTGAAAATATCCAAATTAACATCATGATGTATAACTTTAAATAGCTGGAGTAGAATTGGATGTTTGTGTTTGGCAACGTGAGCAATATCAGAGCTGGGAATGTAATACTTTACACTGGCAACCAATGTCAGCCTGAAGCACTCCCAAAATAGCTGTGGCACAGCTAGATGCCTAGTTAAACACCCTGACATTGCCATCTTTCATTCATCGCTATCCTTTGAACTTCTCTTGTACCAGGAACCATATTTCCATTTGCAGTAATGTGACCAGCAAAACCAGCTGACATGACTTAGTGCAGGTCACAAGGGCCCACAGGCTAAGTTTAACAAAACCATTAAACATGTGAAGGCAAGAAACCCCACTGGAAAACGAGAGGCAACTTAAAAATTGAACAACATTGCACTGGTGCCAGTCCATTGATACCAATAAAGCTCTTAAAGTGCTATTCAAATTCCTCAAACTGATAAACATTAATTTAATTTCACATCAGGAGGAAGCAATTAAATCAGGAATAAAATAACCTATCAACAAAGATCATAGGCTATGCAAATTATCTTGCCAACTACTCAACAATTAATTTAATTGAATCAAACCAATGTCCTCCTTATTCCTTTCACCTGAGACTCTTGTCTCCTATTTAGTCCTCTCCCTCTTGCCTGCCTTAGCTCGTTGGTATATTTACTTCTGAGGTATTGATTTTACTGCATTCCTCTCCTCAATGTGGGTTTAATACTAACCTGCTGTTTGCTTTTATGTAATTTTTCCATTCCTTTACATTGCAGTGGAAAAGAACTTGGATTTGTCATGCAGTTTATGTTGTTTATCTTTGTGGTGCAAGACTTGAGTTGGTTTAGTGAGTACAGAACTAGAGTATGAATACAAGTTTAGAATTAGCCAGCCTGAAGACTGCATGGAGGAGATGCCCTAACAAAATTCACTATTGCTGTGGATTAACTCCTTTTAATGAGGAGACTTAGGAATTTCCTGACAGATTTAATTGTATGAATACTCTAACATTTAATTAATTCATTTGAAAATTTTAAAGTAATATCTATTTAGAATCTTTCTGGACTTGATTTTAAACCGGTGAGGTGGAGGAGTGTGGTGCGGTGTAGGGTAGAGGAAGGACTTGAGTCAATGTTGATGTATTTTTTAGGTAATAATAATTATCCTTGCATTTGATATAGTGCCTTATCCCATCTTTGAAGCATCCCAAAGTGCTTCACAGAATGCACAGTAAATATATTTGACTGAATATTTTATGGGTCAAACACAGCAGCCAATTGTGAACAGCAGTATCCCACAAACAGTTGCAGATTGAGTGACCAAATTATTATTTTATTTAATTTTTATTACCCCCAGAAAAGCGATCAGCCAATCGACTGACAAACGGGTTCTTAATAACTGCTAGGTAAACAGAAGTGTGTGCAATAAGGAAACTTGCCCAACATTTTACCCTGCTGGGAATCAAACCCGGGTCCTTTCACTTATGAGACGAATGCTGTAATCATGAAGCTACAGGACTCCACAAGATTTGTACTCTCTCTCTTGCTGTCATATTCACTTCCTTTACTAAAGTAACTGGCTTCATTTGAATTTTCATTTATGTAAGACTTTTAAAAATATATATATTTTAGTACTTTTTGCAAATCCTATCTGCACATTGAAAACTGGATTAAACTTGATTGCTTATTTGACTCTGATCTCTTATCTGAATTTTAGTTGGAAACTTTCAAGCATTTTATTTTTTCACTCCAGAGCAGTGTTGGGAGAGTGCTACATGGTGTTAGATGTTTAAAAAGCTAAGGTCCCATCTGCTTGTTCAGGTGAATGTTGGATATCCCATGAAGGGAGTTGCACCTGATGTCCTGACCAACATATTTATTTTTTCTTCTGATCCACCTCTGGTAGTGACCCTTTCCAAATATGCAATTATCTGATCACCATGGTAAAATATATCTGCTGTTTTTTTTGCTGCTCACTGACGTGAATAACCAATTAACTGGAGGGTTGTTTGCCATTTTGCTGCTTTAGTGCTCCAATCCAACTAACCATTATGAACTTCTCTACTGGCCTGTGGGGAGGATAGGTGAAGTGTTTTAACATACCCAGTGCTTGGGATATGGAATGCCTTGTGGCAGTGGTGGTTGAGGCTGAATCCATATCAACTTTCCTAAGGGACTTAGATGGATATCTCAAAAGTAGTAAATTATAGGCGTATGGGGAAAGGTTCCTGCTATTTTGAAGTCTGGAATGAGTGTTCGATTCTGAGGTCTTAAATCATTGCTTCCATTATGTCACCTTGTCTGTCAGTAGGATCTCCAGAAATAATAATAAATATTATTGATAAATCTAATAATTCCTGAAGAACAATTTAAGCTGCATTTGTACCTTTTTTTTAGGACAGCAAAGTGATGTAACCAGTAAAGAGATGGTTGCATCAATCTTCCTCCCTCCCAAAATGGACCCTTCGCAAGTTATAATAATAATAATTTCATTTGATATAATGCCTAATCACATTGAGATGTCTCAAAGCACTTCACAGGATATATTGTAAAGTGGATTGACTGTATATTTTGTGGTGCAAAACTGAATAGTTTCTAAAGTTAACTGAACAGCAAAACTATTTTGTTGTTGGTTAGTGAAAGGTGTCATGGGAGACCAGGAAGTAATTACGGAGGTTCCTGTGGCATTGAAACGTTTGGCGAAATATGTGGTGCGTGGCTTCTACAGAGTGGAGTATTCTCTCACCCTGGACTTGCTCATTCGCTACCCCTGTGTGAAGGAGGAGGATCTGCAGCTGCTCCTGAAGTTTGAGAAGAAGCAGCTTCGAACCATCCTGAACACGCTGAAATCCGACAAGCTCATCAAAAGTCGCACACAAGTTGAGAGGAGCGCTGATGGGAAAAGCTTCAGGCACAATTACTACTATATCAACTACAAACTGCTGGTGGATGTTGTGAAGTACAAACTAGACCATATACGCAGAAAGATTGAAGCTGATGAGAGGAATTCATCCACTAGATTGTCTTTCAATTGTCCATCATGTAGCAGCATCTTCTCCGATTTGGAAGTTAATCATTTGTTTGATCCTTACACAGGTATGTTGAACTTTGGGACTGGACCATTAAAAATGCATTTATCTATTGACCCAGTATCTTGGGACATTATCCTGACATGAAAGGTGCTATACAAATGTGTTTTAATTGTTGAACTGTACTCATTATGTAAAGTAGCAATTAACGATTTGTTCTACAAATTTTCTCCTTGTCCATTTCTGTCTCTGTAATGTCTACAGGCAACTTAAATTGCACTTACTGCCAGACTGAAGTGGAAGAATCCTCAGTGTTAACTGAACGAGATGCTCAAACCCTTCTGGCAATTTTCAATGAACAGATTGAACCCATCTATGCACTCCTGCATGAAACGGAAAATATTACAATTCCATATGTGCTTCTGGAACCACAGCCAATGGAGATTCCAGAGTTAAGGTATTTTATATTGGAGCATTCCAAAGCTACACCCTAAGCTAAATATTTCCTGGTCTTTTTACTATGTTTTCCTACAATGCATTCTCTCTGTATTCCAATAGTAGATGAGTAATTTAGTTCAGCACAGGAGCATGGAAGATAACTGATAACATGTGCTTTCAGATTGATATCACAGTAATATCCCTGCCCACATGAATTCAGTGATGCTAATATACAGAATCTACGAAGATCACTTAACATGACCAGTATGGCATAACTCGGCTTACTATTTGTTAATGAAGGTATATGGCATAGACTAGTTGACCCTGAAAAAACAATGTTTTTATTCTATTCATTAAATATGACTAATTGTCCTTAAACATCTATGTAAGGAATAACTGAAAAATACTAATGTATGAAAAATTGTTGGTCACATTTCCTTCAGCCAGAATCAGAAGTCATACTCTTTTGTAAATTTCAATGGCTCTGTGGAAAAATGGTCAAGCAAAGCCTCCATTTATGGTGATATGTATGTGGAAAATGTTGACATCAATGTCCAAGACCCTGAAACTAAAAAAATTAAAAACCCTATTAAAGAACAGCTCAAATGGATGACTGAAAATATTGTTGAAGAACACAATTTGGGCGCAATGAGCAGTTGGCCTGGTGAGTACAATATCTGACATGTCGTCTGAGAAATCTATATCAAATTTAAAGATTATTGTGATTTCATTTGAAATGTATTTTTTGAGCAATGATCCATATTCAGGCTAAATCTTACTTTGTTACAATAAATGGAGGACACTGCATTATTTGAGCTATGTCTTTTGGATGAGTTGTTCAATTGACACATTTATTTTTTTAAAAAAGGGCTTTCTCACAATTTCCTGGCCAACAAAATTAAATTGGTTATTGTTTTTTAAAGGAGTTTGTGTGCAAATGGCCTACAAAAATTGCTATACCAATGTGTTACTGTGCATATTTATATATAATAGTCCCTTGTCTCCTTTGTTGTAATAGTCGTAGTAAGGTGCTACTTGTAATGTAAGGCACTTCAGATATTGACATTGGAAATTATGTTTCTGAATGACTATAACAATAAATGTTGAGACATCTTAACTATTTTTTACACAAGGCTGAAAACTTTGATCCTCCTACATAATGTCAACATTCAAAGCAACTGGCAAGTTAAGAAATGAAATGTGTTTTGATTCTATTTTGTTTCTTGATTTCATACTCTAGAACAAATTGTTATTGAAATGCCTGAAACCCTTGATAGAAATGCAAATTCCAAGAGTGATTCCTTTAATAATGAAGTCATCAAAACACTTCTGGTTCATGAGAAAAAAGTGTCTTTTGAAGCTGTTTCCACATCAAATGCCAATCGAAGTGAGGCAGACAGTGATACGAGTGCATCGGAGGAAGAAACCAAGAATGCAAAACTAGGCTCAAATTTGGATCTTGAAGAAGAAGAATATCAGTTTGAAGAAAATGACCCAACAGTCTTTATTGCTGGAAAATCCCACCTCTACAGTGAAGTCAGCCAAAACCCTGATTTAGTATCCTTGATGAATGATGAAGAGCGAGAGAGTTACATTCATATTGGCCAAGAAATGTTTCAAGCAATATGAGTAAAAAAAGCTGTAGTATTTGCTTTCACTGCTTCTGTTAATGTAACTATATTGAAATACATGTATCAATATGGAAATTAAGTTACAGAAGCTATCCACCTTTTTTTTCCTGGGGTAATAATCCCTTCAAAATAAATAAAAAATAATAATTTGGTCACTCAATTCACGACTGTTTGTGGGAGACTGCTGTGCGCAATTGGCTACCGTGTTTTGCCCACAAGTCAATTCACTTCACAGCAATTCTGTGAAGCGCTTTTGAGACCTCTTGAAGACGTGATAAGGCACTATATCAAATGAAGTATTATTGTTGCCAGTGTAAATGGATGGATGCATCAGTGTTTAGCAGTTATGGGCGAAGCCCAAGAGTATGTAGTTAGCTCACAGTAATTAAGATTCCACCAAGTTTCAGGTTTATCATGAGGCTGTCGTGCTTTTTAATTTACCACTAGTAATCTATTTGAGTGCATGAATGCATCTTATATGGTCTACAAATACCTCAAGAACACTGCACACCCCTTCCTGCAACATTTGCACTTCCAGGAAACCTCTTCAGTGCCCTCCATGGTTAGCTCATTGGAACTATGCAGACTCCAAAAGTAAAAAATGTTTACTAGATTTTAAATAAACTTCAAACTATTTTTACAAGTACTTTTTACTAGATGTGGCGCAGGAGTTGGCCCAGTTATGAGATTGGAATTTCCAGTAGATTTTGCAAATCCCATTTTTGAATGAATGTTTCAGTTGCAAAACTATTTGACACTTATAATAATCCTTACATTTGATATAATGACTTAACATGTCTTTGAGACATCTCAAAGTGCTTCACAGAATACACCTTAAAGTTGTGAATTGACTATTTTGTGGCTAAAACCCACACAACAAATTTTGTTTCGTTACTGCCACAACCTATATACTTTGTGTATGGCTTTTTGTATAACTGACTAGAGATGTGAAGTGGCAGTTGTACAGGTGCATTTGGTGGTTGTGCATAAGAATTCTAACTAGGAAACTACCTGATCCCAGGGAGCAGCAGTGCTGCATATAGATGTGTGGATGTCCATTAATACTACTCCACCTTTTATATGTTGAAATTACAGATACCAGAGATTGATGCACTGGCAGTGGGTCTCTAAGATTGTAATCACTTGGGAGGGGACATTGTGACCACCAAATATGTCACATGAAACTCCATAAGAATTCTAACCAGGAAATTAGCTGCTGTTCTGCAAATTTCAATTTCAATTTGACTTCTATACTCTGATTTGTCCTTTCCTGATTTCACTCTTGGCAATGCCAGTTGTCTTCATTGGCTCCTCCTCCCATCCCTCCAGGCCTCTGTGGTCCTGCATGGGGTTCACCTCCGCATGTATGCAGATGATTCGACTATCTCTCAATTCCAGGACCATTGCTGTGCTGACTGGTGATGGCCCTCAGTTAGGAAGTCTTGATGTTCAAACTCGACAGCTAAGTGTCAATAAGACTGAGGCTCAGGGGTTCACTCCTCCACAAGGCACCAGTGTGGAACGTTGGGTGTCTTGTTCAACCCTTCACCTCCCAATGATCTTTCAAACCTTACAACTGGGTTCTCACGATGCTTTCCCTCACCTCAAAATCTCTGTTCCCCTCCTCTGACCTTCTTCCATACCACCTCCAGGCTTGACTAAAGATCAACCAGAACTCCAACCATTATTCTCATCCTTGCTCAACACAAGCTCTCCATCCTCCAGCAGATCAAATTCATGATTTTTGTCTTCGCTTCCAAATGTCCAACTAGTCTGTGACCTCCTATCACGGCCACTTCCTCCAAGCAGCAAACAGGAGCCTGATTCACATTTCCTTGAAATGTTCTGCCTCACTATGGATGGCTGAGTCTTCTGCCATTCTGTTTGATCACAATCTCCAAAATTTACCTTAAAACTTCTTTCACCTGCTGTTAGCCTCCTGAGGTGGATAGATATGTTCAATCAGGGTATCAAGAGATATGGGGTAAGGGCAGGTAATCGAAGTTGAGGTACAGATCAGCCATGATCTTATAGAAAGGCGGAACAGCCTCGAGGGGCTGAATGACCTACTCCTGTTTCTATGTTTCATTTCCCCCCTCCTCCTCCTGTTCAGGCTCCCAGTTCATCCTGTAAAGCAGATATCTTCTTAACACAAAATGTGCTATGTAGATGTACATTGTTGCATTCAGGATTAATTTTAGTCAACTGCTTTGCAAGCATGAAACCTTATAAGCATATTTTTCACAAACAATTTAAGAATATTAGGTGCTGATATAAGGGTTTATGGTTTATTTAAACAAAACCCAGTAGAGTATATGCAATCCTGGGATTCAGCCTCCTCACAACAATAAACTAATGGGCCCTTCCAACTCAAATCAAGAGTGTTGCTTTATTTTGAAATTGCATAGTAAACATTTTTAAATCATACATTACAAAACACAGATTAAGAACTGACCACATAACACTAACATGCCTGTCAGTTTAAATTTAAATTAAATGCAAAACCACAACCATCTAAGAAGACAAAAATACAAATCATTGAAAGATGACCTTAGTTGGTTTAATTCTGCAAAGGCTTTTTTGTGTCTGTTTGCAACCAGCAGAAATAGCACAATTAGTCTAAAGGTTAGTGTTGAATAAGATAATCCTTGTTCATGGTAATCCTTTTCTACTCCTAATAAGATTTCCCAGGCAGTTCTTACTGAAATGTTTTTTTGATTTATACTGTACCAAATTGCAGATATCTGGTTAAATGCATTACCTTCAAGCGATTTAAAATATTTTGTAAAGGATCAGTGTAGGGACAATGGTTGAACTAAAGCCTTTGTTGAATATTATTTCATATTTTTAGGTTCAAGATAACTTGACCAGTTTCAGGAGTAACAAATTGGATGTAACCATTAATTAGATTAAAACACATTTCGCTACACCCTTTGTAATTCTGCAAACAATCTGGGGCCACAGTCAAATCTCAAGACTCAATTGTGACAACAAAGCATTTCTTACGAGGGGGTTCATGTTTTGGAGCATGGAGCTCATCTGCTGACAACAGGCTTGGAGAAAGCATTTGTTGCAACAAAGTATCTTTGTTCAAATATTAAGATTGTACAATGTAATGGTATTGCAAATGTGAACACAGCATTTATGTATCTCAGCCACTAGGGTTTATGGAACTTTGTTCTATATGTACAAATCATAAACTCACTATCCCTTAGAGTGAACATATGTAAAATTTGCTTGCATCCCACCCAACAAATACCATGAACATGCAATACCACCCACCTCCATTATGATACAATCGCAAATCGCCTTTGAGTAAAATTTGGTAGCAGTGCTCATTTTGACACTTTTGAAGACGCAGAGGGATATACATACCATTAGCCTGGTTTATATGACGTGCATAAAAATAGTGTTGTTTAAGAATGGATTTTACAGCAACTGTTGACGACCTCCTGATGTGAAAGACGCTCTACAAATGTAATTTTGTTGCTGTTGACAGTAGAACAGCAATCAGCTCTCTTAAATGTGAATCATATTTTGTCCATTTCAAATTTGTAACAGGATATAAAAGAAAACAGACTAAACTTTAATATCAGCAATTCACTGAATGTGGAAAACCTGTGATTAATTTTCACCCCCAGTAGATAAAAGCTATGGGGTCCTTTTCACTGTTCACGAAGGAGCAGCAAGCTTTTCCTTTAATATACCTGACTGTCAATTGAACACCACTTTAGATCTGCAGAGGCATTTGGTTGATTGCAAGCTTTATTAAATGGACAGTACGTGAAGTGGACATTTCAGCAACCACAGAGGGTCTTATTTATACTGGAATGCAACTGTCCATGTTAAAATTTGAATCATCATGTTGATGTGCAGTATACATAGCTATGCTGAAGTCAACATAAGCCATAGGTTTGCTATGGTTATATGGTTACTTATCTGCATAAAAGCACAGTGTTGACAGTAAAACTATTTACATGCAATAAACTGTTACAAAACAATATCTCCACTTTGAGAGCAGGCACAATAAAACCTAGGTCTTGGTTCACAGCTGGGACTACATGAAAGATCAATTGCCTCAGAAACAAGCTGATCTTCCCAATGCATCTAAAAGGTACCGAGAAGTGAAAATGAATTGCATCACAGGCAGTCTAAAGATCAAATCATAGTGTTGTCGTGGGACTTCAGCTTTTCATTAAAAAAGTTGCTTTAATAACATTAATTAGGCTATTGACCTAGAAAATAATTAAATGTTCTTTACATAGTAGCTTGCACAAGAGCCGACCAAGAAATCCTGGTCAGACTTAACACAATCTATAAAGGAGCAACAATTCTAGCAAAAGGCTATTTAAAAAAAATAACTCTTTAGCCATAAAAGAGAAATCACATTTCATACAGTCAAATAAACAAGAAGTTGATGAATTTCAGAGAATACTCAGTTATGCACTTCTGGCTCCATTTTCTGTAACAAAAGGGAAAAAAATGGGTTAATGCTGAAGGTAATTCACAATAAACAAGAACAAAAACAGCTTTGTTTAATCCACTTCAGCACAACACTGGCCTTGATAGCTGTAGACCTATTCCCTAATCCCAAAGTGCAGAAACATTTTTACAGCAGCAACACCACCCAAAAGATCTTCCAAATTCCTGTTCTTTTCAAAGAAAAATTCCTTTCCAAAAATGACTAACTTTCTTTTTGATTGGTAGGGCGGATGGCTTCCATCTTAATCAAATTAAGTAGCAAGAAATTGCAGCTCATCCAGGCCTTGATGTCTGATAGGGAAGAGGACAGGTCCATCAGTGGACTTCAAATAAAGAGTGGAAATGGAAGTCATCTGCATTACTGCTTGTCCTACCACCTCCACTTTGTTTCCGCCAATGGCTTCTCATCCAACCCCTACACCTGTGGCGGTGTACCTTAGGGCTTGATCAACAATTCCCTATATCTACAGCTCCCACTTGGTGATATCATCCACAAATCTGGGAATAGTATCAACAGTATGCAGGAGGTCAACTGATATCTGACACAATAGGCAAGTCTGAACAAGTCCTGGATGAGTTTCAACTTCCTTCAGCTTAAAGTCGACAAAACAAGTTTTTATAAACTGGCAAGATAGAGAAGCTGAATTGCTGTATAATTTTACAAAAGAGATAATATTGAAAGGCATTCTCACACCTGGTTCCTTTAGAGCTTCCAAGTTGCCTGCAAGCTCTTGTGCTCCATCTACCTCTGCATCCAGCAGAGCACAAGTTAAATTATTATTCTGTTCCTCTTCTGAAATTCTCCTCATCAATTCAGCCTGTGAGAGATCAAAATAAATTTGAAATACCTACATTTAAAACAACAAATCAGTTATTTCCAACAAATGGGAAACTTTACAATGTGTTTAAATGAGCTCTTACCTCTGAAAGCACTGAAAGTCTAAGAGGCAAGTTTTCAACTTTAACAAAGTCATCCTCATCTGATTTCTGGCTCAGATTTCCAGATCCAGCTTCCTATTAAAAGTGAAGATGTGATTTATCATTTATAATTATTTTATTTTTCTCCCATTTTCTGGTCTCATAACATTGACTATAAATTTCACCCACAAAATGCACTTTACATTATATTCTGCGAAGAGGTTTGAGAAGTCTCAATGACATGATAAGGCGCTATATCATATGCAAGTATTATTATTATTATACAAAAAATAGGTAAGCTCATGGCCAGTCTATGCTGTTGGTTGATCTGTGTACCCTCTTAGTGAGGTTCACAGTTTCCACCTAGTACTTTCCCATAGTAGCCAGACTGAAATTAGGGATTGGCAGCATGGAGGAACAAGAACTGACATCTCACCATTGCATGGCACCATATAGTACTCCTTCATGCAACACTACCATGTTTAAAACAATAATTATCTTACAAATCTTTAGGTTCGCAGCTGAAAATATGTAATCAATTTAATGTTTGATATTTGTCGATTATTCAGACAGTAAAGTTAGTCATGTAATTTTATTATTAACCATGCATAACAAGGGTATTTAAATACTGAACCGATCAACCATCCAACATCCCAATTCTAATATCAGTGTAAATTTCTGTGTCCTATGCTTTTTAGAACCCTTTAAGAGAGGGAAGAAGTAGCTTATTGATTCCCTTCATTTATTTACAAGCCAGAGTGAGTGTGGTTCTTAAAGAGTTCAAAAGAATGCAAGTTTTAAGCACTCATAAACTTCCATGTGAAAAACTCTATAAAACATGCTCAATATTGGATGATCTGGACTTACGTAGTCATTAACTAGTACAGGAGAGTCTGTGTCAGGGCTGCCAGCCAATGAACTCTCTGGTGTTCCCTCCAAGTCATTTTCTAGAGACATCTGCATTGATGTTAAAGTGTTAACACTTTCACATAAAGGTAAAGAAGGTTTTAATCCCCCTGTAGTGTTTTCATTATCAGCACTAGTTGTGGTGCTTTCCTCACACTCAGAAGCGAGACTTAAAGTTGTATCATTCTCATTTTCAGCTGTAAAGGAGAGAAAAACAGTTCTATAGTTTTAGTCCTTTTTGCTTAGGTAGATGAACTGAACAAAATTAATCCAGGATTTTAAAAAAATCTACATCCAAAAAATTGTATTAAAAGAGAAATTCTGAAAAGGTTTACCTTTAACTACATCTGTATTTGTTTTCTCTGTCTGACTGACCACATCATTCTTACCAACTTCAACATGATTGCCCTATAAAGAAAAAAAGTATACAAACCGAAGTTACACTATATTCTTGCTTAAATACAGAAGCTGTTAAGAGTACTTATGTTACTGCAACATGAACTAAGTAATCACATCCAGAAGGCTAAGAAAAGTAAATTTTTGAGACTACTGTGGCATGAGCTTGCTTCAACAACAACAAAATTACATTTGCATAGTGCCTTTCACATCAGAAGGATGTCCCAAGGCGCTGGACAGAGTTTCGGACACGAGCTGCGGGTCAGGATCAGGGAGGGTGGAGGGCGGGGGGACGGGGGAAGCAGGGAGATCGAAAGCATGGTCAGAGGAAGGTCTTGAGATGGGTCTTGAAGGAGGCAAGGGATGGGGCGAGGCAGAAGGACTGCGGGATGGAGTTCCAGGGGGTGAGGGCAGAGTGGCAGAAGGCCCGTCCACCAATAGTGGTGCGAGCGAGGTGGGGAACGTGAAGCAGGCTGTAGCCTGCTGTGCGGAGGCAGCAAGCAGGACGGTAGAGGGTAAGGAGGTCGCAGAAATAGGGAGGAAGCAAGGTTATGAAGGTGAGGACCAGGATCTTGAACTGTATCCTCTGTGTAATGGGATTTGAGCTCAGTCAGCTCCTTGCTGGTAGCAATATTTGAATTGCCATCCTAGGAGGAAACTGGCTGTTGTATTTACCTATAAATCCAAGTAAGCCCTATACTGTTTATCTGTAAAGCACTAGAATTATTTACAAGCAGCAGCTGAAAAAGTGTAACAGGCTTAATATTCTGAGATCCAAATAACTTAGAATGAAAGCCATCAATTTTCATTCAAAGCAAAAGCATTGGTGACTTTTCAAGTTATCAATTAAAAATGACAAGTACTGAAATATCTCCCAAATAATTCTAATAGTGAGACACACATAAAAGCATAGTGAAGATAGTCATTCTGAATAAAATTTATCATCATAGTAACTATTTATTTTCATTTGAATCCATTTTGAATCTAAATTTATGTAAAGTTGTGAAACACTCATGGAGAAAACAATTTCCCAGCTGTGGAAAAGCAGCAAAAGCATCTGTTGCTTGCCAATGATATTAATAATGTTAATGAAGATTAATACCTGCTCATTATAGTTTTCATCAGCAGCTTCATTACTAGCTTGTAGTGAAGTTTGAACATCCACGGTTCCAGCATCAAAATCCTCGATTTCGTCATCCTCATTCTCATCTTCTCCACTGCCATAATTAGTCAGCGCTTGAGTCTCGGCCTTAGAGAGACCTGATGATTATTAAAGAATTAAAAGCAGGTCAGCTTCTAAAATTGAAGCTCTTTTCCCTCAAAAAATTCAGATTAAAATATATAATACTGAAGAAAAATTGATAACATCAGTTTCATTAATATAAGCAACCTGCTTATATTCACAACTACCATACCTACCAAGCCATTTTATCCAGATCCTGATATCAGCCTTCGTTGGTAGCCTATCTGGACCATTACAAGATTGATTAATGGATTACTGGACCTACTCTGAATATGACTCTAGTGGTTCAAATCAATGTTAGCTCTATTTGCAGAAGATGCCTTAACTAATCCTTACATCTAATTCAGGCTTCATTTTTTAATGAATAGGAAATAGTCTGCTTTTGCTGTCCTCCCTGCAGCCTTTTCAAGTAAAGGTTCCGTACAGGATATTTTTCAAGGATAAAGCTGGCTAGAGGTTTCTTCGCAGAAAAATGATTTAAATCTTATTTTTATATGCAGATAGACAATGATATGTCGACATATATAGAAGTAAAAAAAATCCCCTTTTTGATGACCATTGAAGCTGTATAACCTTAATAAATAATGATTGTTTTTTTCCAGCTGGCTTCAATATCTTTGAGCTACGTAGTTCATGTTCAATCCCCAAAAAAACATTTTCACTGTGTATCCATGACTTTTCCTTTTGTGATCACCAAGAGGAGCATATAGACGGGGAAAAGGAGAAGACAGTTCCGAGGGATGCCACGCAGAAGTCATTGGAGAAGACAAAGTAAAGACTCGGATAGGCAAGAATGAAACTATGAATGGGCAGAGCAATGGAGACAGATCAAAGAGGAACAGCGATGGTGAAAGGTACAGTGGTCGAGGTAATAAAGGCAGCAAAATGTGTGAGGAGCACAAGGAGGCAGAGGAAGCCTGGTCGCAGGTGGAGAGAACATTGTTAATGATTTTGACCAAGGTACCCTTGGTGATGTCAGATAGGACAGAATCAAGAGTGAGTGAAGGAATGGAGCTGGGAGGTCACGATGGAAAGGAAAAGCAGGTTGGAGATGGGTTAGTTAGTTGGAAAGCATGGAATTAGCTGGAAAGCATGGAGGGATCCACTGAGTGTTTCTTCAGTGGAGAGGAAAGATGTCCATCGCGTTCTCTCATTTGGAGTTGTCGTCAGAACCATTTATGAAAAAATGCTGTCAAACCATTCCAAAGTGGCAAACAGAAGAGTAGAGAAGAAAAAGAAAACAAACTCTTACTTATGGAGACGCATGCTGCAGGCATCCCTTCACTGTCTTCATCATCCTCTCGGTCAGACAGGTCACATTTTATTTCAATCCTAGCTTCAGTACATTCATTTGTTGTAGGCTCTTCTGAGATAGCAGCTTCACTTTCATCCTTATCCTACAAAGTCAGAATTTAGTGAATTTTTTCATAAAATAAAACTGGTACTCCACTAACTAGTCCATATCCGAACCAGTCAATGTCTTCAGTTATTAGCAGGGGGCAAATTTCAACAATGTGATAATCAACACCAGTGTAAATCAATACATTACACTTTCAAATTTCTCATCATCCCCACAATTATCAATAATAGTCACATTTTAGAAAACCTTTTCACATCAAGTATTGATATTCTACAGGCTTTTACAACAACTTACTTTGTCTTCATCTTCAAACTCTTCTACAGAGGACACATCGCTCTTGAAATGTTTTTCCTAGAGGATGAATTTTATAATAAAGCTGCGATAAGTAAATTCAAACCAAAGCTAAATAATAATGTCAAGTCAATTTGTCAAACAGCAATCTCCTGCTGTTTTCTTTGTATATATGTCTTCCATGACCATCCCTTGACGACCCATCAGAAAGCATGAGTAGGGGATACCATTCATCTTCCAAGAGTTTTGAGGCTAGTTAAGACTGGAATTCATGTTCCAATTTTCTAGTCAGGAGTCCAGTACTCAGCAATTTTAATTCATCAAAAAATCACATACATTGTCTATGCTTTTGCTCCCAAACAATATTTACTCTCATGACTGATAATTCGGTCTACAGAAGTTTCGTTATTAATCAAAAACTGACCTACAAGAACTCGATTACAAGGTGATCAAGTCAGTAACAAGTTCTAATTAGTCAATGGGTTGCACATCAGATTCCCTGCAGAAGATGCACTTTACGTTCGGAGATTCATTTTGCAGAAAGACAACTTTTACACTTTTTCTGATAAGTGCTTTTCAGTCCAATTACACTAATAAAAAAATTGCGATATTATTTGCCTCGGATATAGCGCAGGCACAGAGGAGGGTTCTTGAGGCAGAATGCGGTTGCAATGTGTTCCATCATGACCATGATCCTTTTTCCAGGTGTCTGGTCCCTGGAATGACAATCTGCTTAAGCTGGGTATATTAACCAGGCAGCCACCATTGCTGCAGTGAACCAAGTCATGATCAGGGACAATCCAAAATTATGGAAATATTTGTCAAAAATTGTGGGGAAATTCGACAAATTTTGCAGAAAATTGAGGGGAATTGATTGGTGCTACTGAAAGATACATTTTTACTGTCAATCTATAGTTTTTCACCTTATTGCTAAAAATAAACCTGAAAAAATAACACATTAGATTTTTGGAAAAAAATGCTTTCTTTAACAAACCTGGATGGCCCCTCGGGAGAGGGGTGTTGAAATATACACTATCACCTCAGATACATTAATATATTGATAGCAGCAACTGAATGTTCCAAAATAATTGGGGGTTAAAAGTAGCTTTGCTGGATGGGTTGAGGTTAGCTTCCGATTACATTTCATATATTCCTGGGAAGATGTTCACTCCTCTGAGATAATGAACAATCGATTCCTTGAGCATAGATGTAAGAACAATGGACCACAGAAATAAAAGGCCACAGCCTCAGACACCTGCCTATCTCAAGGCTGAGAAACGAACAGACTGTGGAAGGCTGCCCAGAAGAAGTCCACATCTCTCTCTGTGCAAAGGAGCCAGTGAAGGGAGGGGGCTATCACTGTGACAAGGGGAAGTGGAGTTAGAAACAAATAAAAGATGTAACTTTGAAATAATTGGGAGTTGTGTAGAGGATCAGCGCACTTCACAGTGGAATTGATATCAATTCTACTGTATCTATGTGTATAATAATAATAATCCTTGCATTTGATATAGCGCTTTTCACGTCGGGAGGACGTCCCAAAGTGCTTCACAGAACACACTGTAAAGTGAATTGACTGTATATTTGTGAAGGGGTGTATAGGGGTGAAGCAATTTACCTCCAGTAAGTGACCATTAAAAAAAGTAAGAGTAGTAGTAGCACGTAATATGTTTGCTAGGCAGAGAAGTAATAACAGTAGTGGTAATTGGTCCATTTGAAATGCAGAAGTCAGGTTAGGCAGCATGAGTGAGGTGGTGGGCTAAGAGCTGATTGTTTCTGTTGAGTTTGCTGGACCCACTCTCTGTGATTCTGAGTGATAGTTCTGTAATTATGTATTGTTCTTATAGGATTGGTTGTGTCCGAGGGTTTACCGGGATCCAGTACCTATTAAGTTTTGTATTACAGCATCAGTTATCCCTGAGGAATTTCCAGAGGCTGATCGCCGCTGTTCTCGGGCTTATTGTTTTGTCTGGAGTAATGAGCAATTCCTGAGTATGCTGTTGTTTCTAATTTATTTGATTTATATATCTGTGTCGTTATATTGTATTTTTATATGGTCATATGGTTTGAATATGCCACGCCACCCCGGTGTGGAGTTGTTGCTGAATTCAGATTGTTAAACTTTACTGTTTGTCTATATATATATACATACACACACATATATACTGCCTGTCAAATTATAAACGGGGGAGGGAGACACGAACACACACACTCACAAGCACATAGACATACGCATTCACAGGCACATAGAGACGCGCACGCACAGAGATGCACACAGAAACATGCAGAGGCACGCGCGCAGGCACTCACACAGGCACACACACACACACTCACAGGCACACAAGACACACACACCAACAAGATTAATTTGTATAGCGCCTTTCACGTCAGGAGGATATCCCAAGGTGCTGGAAAGTGTACAGCATTTCAGACCCAACCTGGGGTCAGGGGAGGAAGAAGGGAGGGGGGAAGGTGGGTGGCCGATGGCATGGTCGAAGAGGAGGGTCTTGAGGCGGAACTTGAAGGAGGTTACGGAAGGAGCGAGGCGGAGTGATTGGGGGATGGAATTCCAGAGGTTGGGGGCAGAGTGGCTGAAGACTCTCTCGCCAATGCTGGGGCGGGTGGGTCAGGGGAGGTGGAACAGACCGGAGCGGCTGAGCGGAGGGAGCAGGCGGGTTGGTAGGAGGTCGCAGAGGTAAGGTGAGGCGAGGCAATGGAGGGCTTTGTATGCGAGGACCAGGATCTTGAACTGGATCCTCTGAAGGACAGGGAGCCAATGGAGTCGGGCAAGAGTGGGGGAGATGGGGTCATGGAGTTTGGTGCAGGAGAGGACACGGGCTGCAGAGTTCTGGATTATCTGCAGCCTGTGGAGGGAGGAGTTGGGAAGGCCGACAAGCAGGGCGTTTGCATAGTCGAGCCTGGAGCTGATGAAGGCATGAACATGTTTCAGCGGCCTGAGGGGTGCGGTAGTTGCGGAGTCGGGCGATGTTCCGGAGGTGAGGGAAGGCAGAGCGGTCATGGCTTGAATGTGGGGAGAAAAGACAATTGAGGGTCGAACAAGACACCTCGGTTCCTGACTGGCTTGGTAAGTTGTAGTGAGCAACCATGGAGGTTGATGTTGCCAGAGCCTGAGGTGCTGAGGCGCTGACGTGAGGCAATCAGGAGGGCCTCAGTTTTGTTCACATTCAACTGTAGGAAATTTGCCCTCATCCGGGACTTGATGTCCGACAGACAGTCTGTCAGGACAGCAGTGGTCCTGGAGTTGAGGGTGGAGGCAGAAAGATAGAGTTGGGTGTCATCCACATACATATGTAAGTTGACCCGATGGCTGTGGATGATGTCACCACTGTAGATATTAAAGAGAGGGACAAGGACAGAGCCCTGGGGGACGCCAGATGTGACAGTGCGGGGCTGGAGGAGAAACCGTTAGAGGCAACAAAGTGGAGACGGTGAGATAGATTGGAATCGAACCAGGCAAGGGCAGGTCTGTGAAGATTGAGTAAAGCGGAGAGGCTTAGACACACACTCTTAGACAGACACTCTCTCGGAGACACACAGGGACACACATACACACGCATGCTCTCAGACACACGCACATTGACACACAAGAGACACACGCACACTCTCAGACACAGACACACACAGATACACACACACTCTGATAGACACGCAAACACTCTCAGACACACACATACGCACACACACACACACTCTCTCAAGACACACAGAGACGCGCACACACTCTTACAGAAACAGTGTGCGTGTCTTTATAGCGGAGTGGACTGTTTGTAGCAGATATTGCAGAACATTTGCGGCTGCACTTTTCAATTGGCCTTCAAGGAAAACAATTTGGGAGGTTCTAACCAGAGTTTGGTATGGGGACATTCACAGATGAAATCTATCAAACAACAGATAGCCTTCCCTTGATGGATGCCCTTAGGGTACATACAGGAGGTTGCTGAAAGTTTTGGAAATATGCAGTTGGATTGTAAATGATTAACAGCTGGAAAATACAATGATTAATACAAACCTCAGATGTAAAAGAATGTTTAAAAGATGCCACCTCCTTCAGCTTTCTTTTGCATCTTTGTTTTGCGGCCAAACTGCTGTTATCCAAGTCTTGCATAAGTCTAAAGAAAGCAAGCTCATTGAACAGGATCTCCGAAATCTCCACAAGCAGATCTTCACCACATTCCTTTAGTTTTCTACCAGAAAACTTTGTCAAAGAATCCTGAATAGACAAATGCAAAAGCTTCAGGTGTATGTCCTGACTGTTTGAATACAACTCAGTTCAATCAAACTATTAACATAGCTACATGTACCAGTACATTTCAATTATGAAACACTGACATTTTCTCTCTTCCAATATTCTTCCCTCCTGTTCCGAAATTGGGTAGAGTGGCTCCACTAGGAACCCTCCAGTGCAAAGTCTAATTAGGCTTTCTTCTTGTTCGTCATGAAGGACTTCACGTGGAGTTCTGTAGCTCAATGGTTAGAGGACTCACCTCGCAAGTGAGAGACTTGAGTTCGACTCCCGGCAGGGCGAAACTTTGGGTAAATTTCCTTACTCCACATGACTGATAATAATCCCTCAAGGAAAAAAATAAATAAATTGGTTGCTTCAATCCATGCTTGTTTGTGGGACACTGCTGTGAGCAATTGGCTGCTGAGTTTCGCCCACAAATATACAGTCAATTCATTTTAAGTATGTTCTGTGAAGCACTTTGAGACATCTAGAAGACGTGAGAAGTGTTATATCAAATGCAAGTATTATTATTTGGTGCACTGTCATTTGGTAGTTAACACATAAATCAGCTCAATAAATTGGTGTAGATGTTTATAATTGGTTTATAGCTTTATGAAATATAAATGCCTATACTGTTATACTTCTGTGCATTGAGGTTTTGTATCTTAAACTTGTTAAAAGTACACTATGAAGAAAAAAAATTGCATTTTTATAGCACAAAAGTCTCAAAGCACTTCATGGGTAATTACTTTCAAGCCAAAAAAATAAGGCTTGAGCTCACAGATAAGGGACCACAGCATTTTTGACATGCCATTCTTAAGATGAGATATTAAACCGAACTTCAGGTGGATATTAAAGATTCAGTGTCACTATTCAAAACAAGGTTTCTCCCAGTATCGTGGTCAACAAGCCCTCAGAGGGGGAAAAAAAAGTCAATCACTTCATGGCTGTTTATGGACATTGCTGTGTACAAGTTAGCTGCCGTTTTTCATACAAATACAGTAAATCCTGAAAAGTGCTTTGAGAAATCTCAATGACGTAATAAAGCAAGGATTATTATACTGTAGCGCCTATGAATATCTTGAAAATATTTGTAAAGTGAAGCAGTTTTAAATGAAATGGAATCCCACTAATAAAATCAGCAAAAAGACTTGAGTAATGTTGACCACATAAATGAGTTGACCTCATTATCAAGTTATGATTGAAAGAAATTAAGCATATCAAACAACTGTATGTATAATTTGGACATAGAATGTTTCAAAGATACACTTTACATGGATGCTTTACAAACTATGTACAGTATTTGTTTATCATGTCCCTATGGCTTGCGCATTAATGCTTAAAAAGCAATGCTGTTTGGAGACATGATCTTGATCGCCTGTCTGTTGGACACTCTAGAATTGTTCACCTTCTGCATGTCCAGTCCTTTCTTGACAAAATGTCTGTCACGCTTATTCCAAACACTGAGAAAAGCTAGTGAATGAACAATTGGGAGGTTCAGACTCGTTTTCTGGTCCATTTCCTCTTGGTCCATGTTGCCAGCCTTCTCCTCTCAAGACTGCGGATGGCATGTCTTCATTGATGCCATCTCTGCAGTCCTGGTTGTGTCCAGCTATGCTGTCAGTTTCTCCTCTCGTCTTCCACTTCTAGATTTCTCAAAGCTCTTGACAGAATATATTGCAAAGTGAATTGACTATGTATGTTGTGGGCACAACACAACAGCCAATTGAGCACAACAGTGTCCCATAAAAAGTCATGGATTGAGTGTACAAATTATGTTTTTTGGAAGGGATTATTACCCCCGAAAAAGTGAACCGCCAATCGACTAACAACTGGTTTCTACTTACTGCTAGGTAAACAGACGTGTGGAGTGAGGAAACTTGCCTAATGTATCGAATTCAGGTTCTCTCGCGTGCAAGACAAGTGCCCTAACCAATACACTACAAGATTCTACAAATAAATAATGAATACAAATGGCCAAATAAAGCCCTAACCTGCAGTATAGCACCAAGTTGTTTATGAAAGAACTTGACAAATTCCTTGCTTTCATCATTCTGCTGCGTAAGGGTGAGAACCATCCTCCTGATCGCAATTAGCAGCTGCGGGGAGCATAAATCATCCATGTGTTGCTGAAAGAGAGAAACAATCATAAGTAGATACAAGACATCAAAATGCTTGGATAATGAGATTTATGGTTATACCTTTGGTTTCATCTTCAAGTAATTTGTTTCCTTGATTTGGATTATTATTGGAGGACTGCGCTCAAATAAGCACATGGGCACCTGTCTTTTGATGATTAACACCTATTTATAACCCAACGATAACAGGATATAACACCACTAGCGGCCATTGAAGTTAAGACTGAACATTTAACAAGGTGCTGGATATATATCTGAAGGCTAACAATATAGAACCGTTTGGAAAGAGAACATGAAATTTGGATTAGAATATATAGCTTTCATCAGCATATGTTCAATGCACTCAATGAACTCCTTTTGTCCTGTAATTTCTCGTACTCTATGAAAGACAAAACACAAATATAAGTAAATATCAAAATATAATAAAGTAGTGTCAATGATGACTCAAAAGTTAAATAGCTGATTCCACTCAACAATTGACTTCCCTCAAATCATGTGATCCTCAATCCTCTTGCAGTGAAACACAACACCACCAAATTACATTTTAGAACGCCTTTCACTTCGGGAGGACGTCCCAAAGAGCTGAACAGTCAGGTGTCGGTGCCAGAGCATGGGGGAGGGGTGGTGTAGGGGTGAGGGAAGGCGGAGAGGTGGGAGGGAGACCAAAGGCACGGTCGAGTTACTAAACCTCAATATTAATTACTTCCTTTGATAGGGCAATGAAAGTCTCATCACTTTGAGCTCTTCAAAGGTAATTTCTTTAAAAGACCAATCAACAACTACTATAAATTCATTACGTTTGATACTCCCTTCTTAATTTATTAGTTTTTTTTAAACCTATTATGCTGTATAATCTCACAGAATGCCCATGTCCCGTTGATTGATAAACTACCTCAAAAAGACCCAGTTTCATGCCAAATCTGTTGTTCCTCTCAATGCCAACTCTCTATATAGGCCAAATCTATCCAAATCTCACACTTCTGGATAGGTTATAATAAAAAGATGGCAATCCTTCTTTCATAGTTCATATTTCAGAATCTTTCTCATCTTCCTTCAAATATGTTGTTTATATTCTCTTCCTCTTTGCTCACAACATTGCAATCCAATTTATGGAAAAATCTGTTCTAATTCATTCTAATCCAAGACTTCAAATTCATGGAACTGCTTAATCCTTCAGTTTTCTGTCTTTCGTATTTTTCTCACCTTCTCTCATCACCTTTGGTGATGTCCAAAACAAAAGATTTTGGCCTTTTATTTAAGGATACAAATAAAATGTCTTTATAGAAATGGAAAAAGGATTTGTAATACACTATTTGATTCAGAGCTAGCAGATTTGCTGACACTAGCTAATATTTGTAAAACATGAAATATTACCCATTGAAAGTTTGGAAACAAAAGTCAATATGAGAAAATTTGCATTTATAGTTCAAACCAATTGCATCATCATAGCACAAGTCGGTTTACAGTTTAGACAGTTGTGGAAGTGTACTAGAAGTACACTTAGTACACTAGTGCACTTCTGGCATTAAGTGTCCAANTTTTGTCTCCACACTGTAAGAATATAGTAGCAATGGAAAGAATAGTGGCTGCCCCCTACCTCTGCGACCTCCTACCATCCTGCTCGCTCCCTCTGCTCAATGGGCTGCTTCACATCCCCTGCCTCGCTTGCCCCACCGAACAGGCTTTCTGCCACTCTGCCCCCACTCTCTGGAACTCCATCCTGCAGTCCCTCCGCCTCACCCCCTCCCTTGCCTCCTTCAAAATCCGCCTCTTCGACTGTTTTTTTGATCACTCTACTTCCCCTCTGCCCTTCACCCTCCCCGATCCTAAACCCCCAGGTCGGGTCCGAAACTCTAACTGTCCAGTGTCTTGGGGCGTCCTCCCAATGTGAAATGCGCTATGTAAATGTAATTCTGTTCTGTTGTTGGTGCACGAAGATGATACCAAGGCTGACAGGTTATTGCTGTCAGGTTAGACCAAATAGGTTGGGCCCTTTTTTGCTAGAGAAGAGACACTAAGTGGGGGCCGAACAAAAATGTTTAAAATTATAAAAGGTTTTGATAACGTGAATGTAAATAGACTGTTTCCACTGGTTGGTAGTCCATAATAACGGGACACAAATATAAGTTGGCGACTAGGGGATCAAAAAGAGAATTTAGGAGGAACTACTTCAGGAAGGCGGCAGTGAGACTAAGGAACTTGCTGCCTGAAGCAGTGGTTGAATCAGGTAGTATAGATGCATTCAAGAAGAAGCTAGACTTTCACATGCAGAAGAGGGGAGTAGAAGAATATGGGAAGGAACAAGGAGACTCATATGGAGTACAAACACTGGCATACACTGGTTGTTGTGTTGTCAATTTCCGTGCTGTACATTATTTGTAAGTAGCCACTAAAAAGATTTCAAGAGCAGTTATGGCTGACTGACCTGCTGGCTTCCTGTGCAGGAAACAATGTTAACAGCCACCTGACATTCCTGAAGCAGAACGGGAGCCATTTTTATTTTGCAGACTTGTTAAAACAGCTCTGATTTTATAAACCCCAAATACCAAGTTATAAATGGGGCTGGATTGTTTGAAGAAATTGTCACCAGAGTAAATTGTTAACTTCAAGGTATACACATTGATAGAAAGCAGTTTAGGAAATGAATGTACAAAAATACACACCACATGGTTGCAAGCTATTTTATTTCTAAGTGCAGTTCACCTTTAAAAATGGGATCACTTCTGTCATGATGGCCTTTATTTGCCTGTCCAGTTGCTGTGTGTCTATGCGAGGGCAAGGAACATCAGCAGCATCAGTAATGCAATTTGCTGTACAGCCATTTGCAGTCGATTCCATACCTGAAAATATAATGAAAAAGAATGTTTTTTTTTAAAATATATTCTAACAAGGTCATTTCCTGCTAATAAACTCCAGATTACTGCACAAACACAGGAATTAAGCAGTGAAGGTTTTATAGGGAAGATGGTAAATATATAAAAGAGCATCAAACAAGACCGTGGAGGCCAATACATTCTAAATTGCCACCACCGATTTTTGAACCTAGAAACAATGGAGGGGCATATATCATAAGGCGAGTTGGTCCAGCCTTTTGGCTGTTGAGGGCGGATGCTGGATTTTAGAAATGTCCACAGGCCGCATAAGCAATATTTTTGTGCTTCCTTTCCAGAAACATAAGCATTAAGAATCATATAGAAATCCTATAGTTTAAATAGTGTAACATATTACTTAATTTCACTGTATTTTGGTTACAATGCAAACTTTAAATAGGCAATGTAAAAATTCATACAAATTTTAAAACAATACAGCCAGTGATGAGGTGTCTGTCTCTCTGTATCTATATGCATCTTGGCTGCCGCGTTTCACTCACAAAAATATAGTCAATTCACTTTACAGTATATTCTGTGAAGCGCTTTGAGAAGTCTCGAAGACATGATACGGCGCTATATCAAATGCAACGATTATTATTATTATATCTGTATCTCTCACTGTATATGTGTGTCTGTACCTGTGTGTGTGTGTGTCTATCGCTGTCTGTATGTCTCTCTGCTATTTGAATGATTGACAGGTTCTGCTGCTGACTGCCATCTCGTGTCGCTTTGTTTCCCGCTGGATCAGACCAAGCCTGGCTGCGGACACAGTGACTGTGTTCGTAGGCCGGATAAAATCATCCCCCAGGGCGTCTGCAGCAGTGGGCTGCTAAATGTGCCACCCTGTCATCAGGTATTTATCAAACTTCAGAACCAGCCAAAAGGAATGCAATCGTCTTTTCTAGTCTTGTACACTCCCAGATTCAGTTAAGACATAATGACTTCTTCATAAACTTAGCTTTCCAGATTCTGTTAAAATACAATAAATTAGTTAAAAAAGTACCAGCTGTCCTTTTAATCTCCATACTAGGGTACACACCTACCTAATTTTAAGCAGCATGATATTAATAACTTTCCTTTCTAGGTTACCTGCAGCACCCTCCAGGGTGTCGGTAGAAACTTCTGGATTCTGGTTATTTTCAGCCTCAATTTTCAGGCGCTCATACTCCCTCATCCTAGACAATGCTTTGTCTAAATGAATGACAGTATTACCTGTATTTGTAAAAAGCACAAGCTATAGAAAAAGGCAGAAATAAAACTTTATACCTCTGCCTTTATATAAATTTCAGACAAAACACATACAACTCAAACCTGAACACAGGTGATAATAAAAATAATAAATTGGCAGAACACAAAAATGCTGTTTTTGAAGGCTAAAAATGAAACGGTTGCAGTCAATTTCATTTCTACAAGCAGTTTACCTTTAGAAATGAGGTCACATGGCATTGATACAGTATGCAAGCAGAAATTCTCAGGAGAAAAACTGAAAATTTTACAAAACAACTTGGTCCTCATTTCTAGAACAGTATCGATTAGTTACAAAAAACTCATCAGGGTTATTTTCAAATATAGAATCTTCAAAAAACATGACCAGCCCTACGTTAGGTACAACCTGGGCCAACAGAGAAGTGGGCTGCAATTTTTCCACAGAATCTGCTAAAAAAAACACCCCCGCCACTACAAGTTGTCTTCAGTTGTAAAAAAAGCTGTAAAAACAGTCGCTTGCGCCCCCGGGCCTCTGCGCGCTGCCAGTTGTTTGCTCGACGATGCTACTGTGGGTGAAGTGGCTCTAGATGCGCCTGTGTGCAGCATGAGCGGGAAATGGGCTTTGCTCACCACAAGACACCACTTTGGTCATTGTCCGTGTCCCTCTCTCTGTCTGTGAACCTGTCACTTGGTATCTGTGAGAATGTCTCTTTTTAAACTGAGTGTGTGTCTGTGCGAGTCCCTCGGCTTTTGTGTGCGGTTGCAGCCGCAAGAAGTAAGAGGTGGTGACCTTGGGTGTTTGGCAGACCTCCAGGCCTTCAAATGTAGTGCGCTGGTGTTTAAAGCGCACTACTTTACGTAATTATCTATACTTGTTAAAATACTTAATATTCACCTGTCAGGAAAACTTACCTAGATCATCATTAGCAAAAGGCTCCAAGTTGGAAGAAGTAGACAATGTGCTGGCATTTTCCAAGGATTCTATATATTCTGCATCTTCCTTTTGCTGAACATCTATAACCTGGTTGTCAGGAGTTTTTCTGGAGGCTTCCTAATGTTAAAAAGAGTTGGTAAAACTGAACACAACTTGTACTTACATCAGTACTCTGCATTAATAGAATTTTAAGATTCCAAAATAAGGAATTGCACAGGAACAAGTAAAAGAGATGCAGTGGAAATAGAATCATAAAAGAAAAAACACCCAAAGTGCGTGTGGGTCTGCTTCGTATTTAAAGTAGACCCTGGAATTTCCTAAAAAAATTAAAAAGCTGCAGTGTTTGCCACAATCACTGCAACTTCAGTTATTTTTAGTTGGAAAATAATATCTATCGGCAGGACTTAGTAACACTGTGCTAAGTAATAATGGTGCTCACTAATAGGAGTCAAATGTGGTCAAATCCCTTCACTCCCTGGCACCCCCCTATCTCTCCGACCTTCTCACTCCCCAATCCACGACCCAGCACCTCCACATGATTTGCACCGGCCTCCTGCTCGTCTCTCGACCCCGCAATCGGGAGGTCGTGCTTTCAGCCACTATGCCACAAAACTCTGGAACACTCTCCCTCAATCCCTCCGACTTGCCCCCTCTCTTCCCTTTTTCAAGTCCTGCCTGAAAACCTTCCTCTTCGACCGTGCTTACGGCCACCTCCCCACCCGGCTCGGAATCAGGGTCCACCACTGTGAAGCGCTCTGAGACACTACCCTGCGTGGAGGGCGCTATATAAGTGCAAGGTGTTGTTGTCGTCAAGCAGATGATGTCATTAGTGAACGGTGAAGCCCAGACAGAGATAGGGAGATTCAAACAAGTCACGGACAACAGAGACAGATTGTAGGCACACAGACAGAGATAGGGGGGAAGGAGAGACACAAAGTTGGAAAAGGGGAGAGCAACAGAGAGAAAAATGGCAAGGTGGAGTGGGGGAGTGGAGACAGATTGACAGTGAGAGATGGAGGGGTGGGGGAGAGAGGGGGGAGACAGAGAGCGGGCATTAATTTATAGTAATAGTTGATATGGTTTCCTGCCTTTTATGTATTAACAGATATTTACCTCATCACTTGAAACCAAACTTTCACTTGGAGTCAACTCTGAATTTGATGCCATCCATACAGCTGAGGCGTGTGATAAATTGTGCTTTCCTTCCTTGAAGTTCTTCTCTGAAAGATGTCTAGTTACTATATCCTGCATTGAATGACAATGTTTTTAAAAAAATGAACAAAAACAAAATCTTATTGTAATTTAACATTTAGGCTTCAGTACCTGTAAAGCATAAAGAGCCCGTTGTCGAAGATAATCTGAATTCAGCAACTGAAGTTCATGGAAAAGTTCTATGAGAAAATGGGGTCGTGATTCATTCTGAGAAATGAGAGTTGCGACCTCAGAATAGATGGTATCACGCAGAGCTTCAAAGAGTGAAAAGTCACTGCCAGTTTCTGTAACACAGAAAGCAGGATTCAAACAAATTAGCATCAATTTGGTTAAATCTAGGAATTTGTCATCTTCCAAAGTATCTATGTTCATAATCGTCTTTACCAGCTTTCTTTCTTATTCAATACAAATAATAGACCTCCAATACATTAACTGGTATGAGAAGATATTTCATGTTTCAATTATTCAACGAGATTTAAACATTTAACTTGCTCCCTTCCTCCCCTCTTTCAATATACAGCTGAAGAAAAACCTCTCTGACCACACTTTCTGATATCTTTTTCCTTCTTGCTCCCTTCAGCTCCCACTCTCAGCTCCAGTGTGCCCAGGCAGAATTGTCAAGCACTGTGAGACATCCTCAGGCCATGAAAGGTGCTAGAAACGTGTAAATTGTATTCAATTGTCCCCCTTCCAATGAAGTAATATTCCACATTATCCCTCTAATTTAAAGGTAGGGCTTAGTGATCATAGGTCTCTGTGCACATAATGCTGTTCATTCAGCACCATGTGAATTCTTTCTGATATGAAAAGTACTAGAAAAATTTAATTTTGTTGTAGATTTGTAAACTCAGAAGACATGGTTCAGCAATATCGAAAAGTATCCTCTTCTCTCCGCCCTCCACTAAACTCTTCCTGCTAATTGACAAAACTTTCTGTAGAAGCTAGACCAGGTCAATAACATTAGGTGTTAACCACTGATTTTGCAGCTTTATCAAATACCTTATTTTAGTTCAACTTGGTGTAATTGCAAATTTTACAATTTTCACAATTTGTGTAGTAAATTGAGAAAAATAATCAGCTGCAAATAGATCAAAACTGTTGCTTTGTGAAAAATCTGGAAATTGGTAAATTAAGAAAAAAATATAAAGACAACACAACAGAAAGAGCTAATAAATGTCCACAGTTCAGTACATTACCTGGTGCGTCAGTGCATGCATTTCTGTTAGATTCGAGCAGTGTTCCCCTAGCATGTGCTGTAGGAAAGGAGGACAGACAGACAAGTAGTGATTTAAACTAAACACTCTACACTGTACTGGAAAATGTATCTACTGTACTGCAGAAAAGGAGTTAGTGAGAAATGAAGCTCAACAAAGTTAAGAAATATTACATGCACACAAAATTAAAAATAGTGGAGTTATGTAATACTCATTTTAAATAATGGAGCAGCAAAGCATTATTAAAATGTTACAGGTTTTAAGATCCTAAATGTAACCAGTTTTCAAATTCCTTCATTTACTAGAAATGTTATTTCCTCATGAAATGAATCATGGATAATTCATCAGTTTTACTTCAGCAAGTCGAGCATTAATTAGCTATTTTCATGTTTGTTAAATGTTTTGTACCAGATTTGTTTATTCGTGCATGGGAATGAATATTTCAATACACTGCTAAATTATAAATCTCCTCTCCTGAATGCATTTGTCTTTTCTCTTCCCCTTCTGTAAGTAGTAATTATATTTGCTAAAAAGTTACAAAAGCTCCCATATTGCCATTTATTGGCCAATCTACATTTAAATGTGCAGGTAGCATCTATTACTGCACTGAAATATATGCTGAATATCACATTTCAGTGCACAAGTCAGCATGCAAACCTCTTCTAATTATCATTATATCAATGGAAGTAAAACTACATGTGAGAATAAAATACTTCTTTAACTGAAAACCATTAATTTGTGTTCCTATTGACAAACTGGTAGTTTGTGGCTGATGGAAAACCTCCTCGCACTTCCCCGAAAGATAAAACTATAGAAATAATTTGCCTATAAAATCAATCACTACATGTTACATTAGATTATATGAAACACTTTGAGATATCCTCCCAATGTACAAGGCCCTGTATCAAATGCAAGGATATATTTATAAATCATAAAAATGTCGAAATGCAAATGAGACGTTAACTTTAAGGACACTTTATTTAACATTAATTAAGAAATGCGCACATTTAGCATTTATACATACTTTAATTTTTCCAGCACTAAATTCTGTTATTTTATATAAACTGGAAAATTAGTCTTATAAAATGTTCAAGGCACCACCAGTATGAGAAAGTAATCTAGTACTAATGATCAATGAAACAATATTATTTTGTAATTATGTTGAATTTATTTACGTTGAATCACGTTGCTTAAGAAATTTATTTTGCATTCATGAATCTATTTTGTTTTCTCCAGTTTGGAGTATTACCCTGAATCATTCAATTTCTTTGGTCTGGAGATTTCTACACGTGCTGGGGGCTGGGAGGGGGAAAGAGGTGGCAGGAAAGAAGGTCATGGTTATCAAGGCAATTTTTTGAATATTCTGTAAATAATACTAAGACCTTCTAACTAAAGCAGTTAAGTAACATTAGGATAAGGAAAAAGTCACTCTGCAGTATTACCTCACAACTTGTATTATAGCAGCTTTCATATAAAGGAACACCTTGAAGCACTCAACAATAAACAGTAGGGACAGAGATTGATGTGTGAGCAATTCTTAGGTGACTGCAGAATTAGATTTTAACGAGATTATTAAAAGCAAAGAGAGCAGGAAAAGCCGTTTTGGAAAAATGAGTTCTGCAGTTTAGGGGTATGGCAACTGAGAGATTCAGCTCTGATGGTAGAGCAGAAAAATGATCAATAAGATGGAGTCAAAAGAGCAGAAGATGTGAGCTGGAATGCAGGGCTGGAGAAAATTTCATAAAGCCTGGGATTCATAAAGCCTATTTCAGGGATTAAACAGCTAGAATGAGGATCTTGAAAAATAACCAGCTCAGAAACAAGGCATCAGTATCTTCAGGGTTGAATATAAGGCATAGAGATTTTACACCCAAACAAACAAATAAGGCGGTTGATGGAATCAGAAAAATCAGTTGCTGGTGAGACCCCAAAAGGTTTCAGTCTTGTGCCAGTTTAAGCCGTAGGAAGTTGCAGCTCTTTAGGACTTGATGTCATTCAAACAATCAAACAGAACAGCAGGCGTGCAATCCAGGGTGGTGATAAAAGAGGGGAAAATGGCAATGTAATGGCAGATATGTAATCTGAAACTGAGGTGTCCAATTTAGGTTTCAACATTTACAAGGAGGAAATTACATAGAACTTCAAGAAACCAATTAACATCATCAGTCTAGTAGGAACTATCCTCAAATTTGGTGTTCGGATTCTTTCTTTGGAGATCACCACTTGCACCTAGAAACATTTTGAATCTATGATAAAATCATAGCACAGGAGGCGACTTTTCCCACTCTTTACCTGGCTTCTTTTTGAGTAAAAACTAATCAAGCTAAAATCTTCAGAATCAAGTTGGGTGCTCCAAATGTTTCATTTTATCCGTATATGCATGCTTCCAGATTAGCTACATAAATTCTTCTATGGTATAGGTATGAAATATTCTTTAATGCTTAATAATGATAACAAGACACAATTCAGAATACATGTAAAAAGAACATTTTAAAGTACTCTTGTGTCCCAACAACATACCAGAGGAAAGATCAACTGATTTCTTTCGTTTTGACTTTTCTTGCGGTTCATAAGTTGTCTTTGGAATTCTAAGTTTCAGAAATTCTTCTGTCTGAGTGGAATGACAGACCTTATCTTTGCAGGTTTCATTAGTACTGGAGGCACTTCTAGTTTCAAAACCTAATAGATAAAATACAAATAAGCTCAATAATAAGTTCAAAAATATCCCCCCATGTCTAATAACTTATGTATTCTGGCCTACACCTCTCCAGTAAAGGCTTAATAATCTTTCAATGTACATTGCAAGATTGGTCTGTTAAAAGTGTATTTTCTAGACATTGTAGTTTACATGTCTTATCATAACTGTAAACCAACCAATACATTTGTATTAAACAAGAGCAAAGAGGTACCTAGATTTTCTATGATTTAATAGTTGCAATGTGTAGTATTAGCAGTGGCACAGCCTAGTTAAGCCGAATGGTCCATTTTCACCCTGTATTATTCTATAATATTTTGAAGAGTGGATAGGAATGTTTGCAAAACATTGATTTCAAGTCCCAATTTGAGATGTTGAAGCCCATCTGCATTCAATTTCCAGACATTTTCTACAAACCATGAAGCGAGGGAATTAACAATTTAGGAGACCTATGGTAACAAGTCAAGGAAGACTGAGGTAGTTGTTAGATAAATACAAATTTTAAACCCAATATTAAATTTAAGAGTATATTTATCCAAGGAAGCATGCACTGGAGACTGAGTTAGTTTACCACATGTACCTAGATTTTCTTTGCTTTATAAGTGGCATAAAATGCAAGTAGTATTATTATTGTGAAGTATCAGCACTGCACAGACTAGTTGAGCTGAATGTTGTCTTTCCATCCGTAACATTTTCAGAAATCAATATGTCCACTACAGTATTGCAGTATATCATTTCAGACCCTCAGTGGTGGCTGCATTAATCTGGTTCAAGCAGGTATGCCATGCTTGAGGGACAATAACAGACCAACCAGGCTCGATCGTCAGCAGGACTTGGGAGGGACATCAAAGCCTTAATAGGTAAGAATGATACTGGACAAGTCGCTGGATGATTGCCAATCAGTGTTCTCAATTACCAACTGGATAAACAATGTGGTTTTAGCTGGTTGAATACCAGCAGTACCAAAACCAATACCTGGGGTCTCAAAGCATCGACTCTTGCCAACTTCTACCAATTACTCTACAAAATTCTCCAGTGCCTGTTCTATTCTATTTCACATGGAAATTTACATGTATAGTGGAACTCTTTGATGGGTTTTTTCATGTGTCAGACTCCAGACTGGCCAAAACAAAAAACAATTCTACCATGTTTCCACGACAGAAACTAGAAGTTTCTTAAACGAGACCAGTGATGTGGCCTCAAGCATCGTTCAAGGTAACATGTTCGAGCTATTGATTACTCTCAGATTTTAAAAATACATTTTAAAAAGGTATCCTGGTGTGAGTCCTAAATATCACATTCACAACTGTGAATACAAGAAATTCAGTCTATCAAATCTGCACCAATCTCACTGCCCTGCTCCCCATAACTGTTCAAGCCTCTCTACTGTGTATACCTTACTTCTCATGAAACTCACAATGGACTCTGCCTCTACCACCTTACTTGGCATTCCACATTTATTTAATCTATGCTCTCCTTGTGACTATTGTATAACTATGACCCCGAATGACTGACTCCCCTCTGAATGGAAATACATTCTCCCTATTCATTCTGTCAGAACCCCTCGTAATTGTTTACAGCTCTATCACGTCTCCTCTCAACCTTCTATGCTCTAATGAAAAACAGACGAGGCCCCTCCAAAATCTTAACATATTTTCTGAAATGAAGCGCCCAAAACGTCAGTTGTGGCCAAACCAGTAATTTGTACAAAACTTTGCATTATTGATGTGCTTCTGTATTCTATGCCTCTATGTATAAAACCTAGAATACTATTAAACTTCTTGGGTTCTCTTGTCCTGCTACTGTTTCACTTTTGAAACTATTATTCTGGGTTTAGCTTTTTGCATGTTATTTTGCAACTCTCAATACCAATAGTGAAAACAACAAACCATAGCAATCACTTTGTTTCATAAAACTATTTCAGAAATATATATATATATATATTTTAAAAAAGGAGCAAATGGTTCAAACGAGGGATTACTTGCAGCCAGACACCTAGGGAGTGACAAATTATTTTCTGGCTCTGGGTGAAAATGAAATACCTCTCCAATGCATGGCTTGTCCTTAATAGTATGTGAGAACAATTAAGGCAATTGGTAGTGCTCAACTGGTACTTGCACGTGTTCATCTGAAAAATCACACAGAGAACATAACGCCCCACAAGGTTTGCCGAAGCATAGGGCATTTTCAGGATAGTGTAGAAACGAAAGGAAGCACTTATATATTTCTAATTTCAAGCTGCTATATTAAACTAGAATCAAAATCTATTAAAATATTCTAATCACCAAATACACAATCTTAGTAAAAATTCTTTAAAGGTACATATCAAAACAAACTTACCAAAAGCAGGAGTAATACCTGTGCGAATATCCTGGCTCATGTGCCACTGAGTATAGACTTCTTAGTTTTTCCTTTTGGAGTTTTATCTTTCGAAGCTAGACTGGCCTGTGCAGAGGCTTTTCTGGATTTAAATGTTTTAGTTACAGTGGTGGGATCAACTGGATCTGGCATACTACTAAAACTTTCTAGTGATTCCTCTTCAAAATTCCTCCTATTCTTGCCGTGGACATGTTGCTTTGAATTGCTTAAATTCAACTGTGGTACAGATGTGCATGCTTCGGTTTGTCTGGATGGCTGTCTTTCACTTGTATCAGTTAGCCATGCCAATTCACTCCGCTCTGCTTCGTCTTTGGCTTCTTCTTGTACCCTGATTTTAAAAAAAATGAAGTTTGGATATTCAAGTTTTGCATCTATATTAGGAACTGGATAATTATCCGAATAGAAACATAATACAGTAGTTAATGCACTTTATGAGCACTGAGAGAATGTTATATGGCGCGACAAAGGTGCACAGAAATTTCTTTAAGACTTAATCTGTGTTTTGTGGTTGTTAAGAAAGAAGAAATTGGCCTTCTCCAGCATCAGGTTTTGTATTTCCAACTATTATTTCCAGTACAACCATTCTCTATATAAGTGACTGATCTTTACCCCATCCATCAAACTACAAATACAGTCCAATACAATATAGAATACTTTCACAAAGCCAAAGCAGCAAAATACAATGCAAAGTCAAATAATGTGTACCATATGTTCTCTCTGCAGTTTGGAGAATTACTTTCAAATGGTTTGGGGAATGCCAAGTAATCTGTTTTTCCAGAGGTGACATGTTCAGATAGAGGTGGTTGCTGCTCACTGGCTTGGGCATTGACATTTTGAGATGGTTCACGGAACCCAGGAGGGAATACAGGGTTAAAGTTGAAACCTATAACAGCAAAAAAAAGTTTTCAGTAAGTTGCAAAACCATTCTGTACCTTAAAGAAAAGTGGAAAAGCAATACTCATTGATGAGGATAAGATTTCTGGTCACACAGCACTTTGCTCTTCATTCAGGTCATACTAAAATAGTTGCACTTGCGGATCTTACTCTAAATATATCTCACTTAGAAATCCGTCTACCATGAGCAATAGAGTGCTAAAACATTATGGAATTAGTTTCAGTAAACATTTTTGAGGCTCATTAAATGTTCCATCAACTGTGTGTAAAAAAAATCCTCTCCTTTTCCCGCATTCAGTTGTGATAAAACAATCAAAAACAGTATGAACTTGTTCACCTTGAAGGTCTTTTCTGGCCCTTAAATATCTTATGTTCTTCTGAACACATTTTAATTCTCTATTCTATTCCACTAATATTAAACATTTTGCTTACACAATCTTATTTGCACTATCTCAAAAAGCTATTTCTACATAACATTTACCTGGAGTCAAAGGAGAGTAATTTGCAAATCCAGGCATGCACAAAGGATTTAAAGGATTATGAGGGTAATTGAATGCAGAAAAGACAAAATCACTGGGAGAAGGTGGTGGCACTGTGCTATCTCTTTGGTTTCCAGGCTTCTTATCTTGCTGCTGTTGATGCATGAGATCATTCAGCATTTGCTTCAGCCTGTTGGGATGAATTATAACATTTTTTTTAGCATTTACCATCAAGCCTCAGACTGGATCAGTGCTTAGGTGAGATTCATCTTCAGCAAAATAATTATAAAAATATAAGAACTGCATCCATCCAATGCACATCACCAAGTACATTTCCCCAACTCCACTTTCCAGACGCTTCAACTGATCCAGAACTCTGCAGCTCAAGTTCTCCTGCAAAAGGTTCTGCCAAAACGCTAACCAAATTTAAGATTTTGTCCTGGTCTTCAAACAGACTCGATCCCACCATGCCCCTGCAATCTTCTCCAGCCACATACTCTGCAATTCTGTCACTTGTCTATTGCTTGCTCCCCATCCTCTTCACTCCACTAGTAGTGATTGAACATTCAGCCACCTAATCCATTCCCTTATCCACTGGAAATCTTCTAAAACTACTTTGCCTTGCTAGGTCTCTCCCTACCCTTATAAACCTCCTAAAATAAGTTTGCTTTCCCATTTAACACTGCCTTTTGATCATCGTTCTATATCTCAAAGTCCTGCAGCACAGTCTGCTGCCAAAGGGAGAAGCAACAATCTAATGCCGCTTTTTCCATTTGCAGACTTTGCCTTGCACTTCCAAGAGGATGCTTGCACCATGGGGAGATCAGACACATTAAGCAGGCACCAAATGTTCAGAACTTAATTTTCCCCAATCATTGGTACCAAATACTAAAAAGGCCAGGAGATGTGTCTGAATATTAAGCAATTTGCTCCCATCCTTTTTTTCCCTCCAGTTTTGCAATCCGAGCACCAATCCAGAAAATAAACTGTTTTTTGCACATGTACAATGCATTATGCACATCCTTTCACTCCAGCGCCAACTCTTTCATTCTGGAGATGGAGACAACTCACTCTGGCAATGTGACAGTGACTGAGTCTGTGATGTGACAGTGGGAACTTTGTTTGCTTTTCATCATGGATTGCAGACAGATTTTCCTCTGTAGGCAATGTAATATAAAAGCATTTTTAAGGGAACAATAGTTAATTGATTCTTCTTTTCCTTCCTCTACAGACATTTGAGTTAGCTATTAATGTCGATGTTAGGTAAAGGAAGAAGCTCCTTTTCAACATCATAAAGAATTTAAAGAATGAATGTGATGAGTAATGTTGGTTTTATATTGCAGCATAGAGGTGTCCATTGTTTTTAAGTAATTCACCTTGCATTAGGACTTCCAGAAGACCCTTGTAACAATGTGCTGTATTTGTGCAAATTAATTGACATTTAGCTCATAAGTATAGCAATGCCATGAGACAACCACTACTCATAATTTATTTTTGTGATTTTCATTACTCAGTACTAGACGCTGCGAGATGTGTCTGAATATCAGGTGGCTTTGCTTCTGGGTCTTTTTTGCTGTATTATTTGGGTAGTAGACATCCCCAAAAAAGTGTTTCTGATGGAAACCAGCAACATATGCGAGAGTCCAAAAGTATTACAATAACTCTGAAGGCAAACTAGGGATGAAAAAGCAGCAAAAGGCTCCCTTACTAGCTAAACAGCAATTCAGAAGGTCCTCATTAATATTTTAACTATGTACATGTGATAAGGATTTGAGTAACATGAGTCTTGGATAATGGCGCACAAAGCTGGACAACTCTCCTCGTTCCCAGTAGGAATAAAGTATCAGAAACCCACACTAAACTTCTGTGCAAAACAAAACTTTTATAAAATGCCACTGCTTACTTTAATACAAATCAGTTTTTCTACAAAACATGCTAATTGTCTTACTTTTCTAAACTAATTGCCATGTTACAAATTTTTCAAGTAGTAGCAAAAGTTAAGATATATTTCTGCACAACTTATCTAAGACCATAAACACACCTTTGCACATTGTTCTGTTGCCAAGCCAATTGTGTGTAACACTGATTTAACTGGTGCATTATGATGTGCACTTGTGGTGAGCCAACATTACTAGGCATTATATTGTAAGGACCAGTTAGGAAAGTCTGCAGAAGGTAAGAAAGTGCCTGTATAAAAATAAAGAAAATTATTTTCAGATGTATACAATACTAAACTGCAATATGATCAAGGGTCAGTAAAATGAATTAACTTTTAAAATGGTACCCCTTTGTAAATTGAACATTTTGTTTGAATCTCATGGAGTCAAGAGAAAGTCAACAAAAAAGGTTCAGATGATAAAACTTTCGATGGCAACTTTCAGCAAACAATTATACAGCATCGGGCACTTACAGATGCTCAGAAGAAAATAATTGGCAGCTCTTTTATGTTGCTAGCTTGTGTATCTTTTAGATACAAACAAGACATTTTCACAAACTGTCGAGTGCAACGGCCATTTACTTTGAATAGGAGTCTCCTTATTTTGGGTTGAGCTTACAGTCCAAGGTGACATGAGTGCAATGCTGGGGTACTGCTGTATTGTCGGAGATTCTATTTTTGAGAATTAGCCACAAATTGGTCAAGAGTCAAAGTTTGGGGACCTCAGACTGCGTGTTTGTGTACTGCTGGAATTTAGCCAGCATGAAAGAAAATAATTGCTAAATAGCACATCAATTCTTTGATCAGACATTATTTTCCGTTACAGGAACAAACGACAGTACAGGGGAAAACTGGCGTAGTAATTTTTTTAATTGATTTTTTTTTAAACTTAATGAATTTCACAAACAGTTCTGTGGCCAGACAGCCTTTTCTGGCTTTATGAAGCAATGATACAGGCTCTTTTCTAACTGTAGTTTGGAATAATAATCCTTGCATTTGATATAGCGCTTTTCACGTCTTCTAGATGTCTCAAAGCACTTCACAGAATAGACTGTAAAGTGAATTGACTGTATATTTGCGGGCAAAATACGGCAGCCAATTTCGTACAGCAGTGTCCCACAAATGGTCGTGATTTATTATTGTTTTTTTTCTTGAGGAATTATTGTCAGGTGTGTGGCGTAAGGAAACTTGCCCAAGGTTTCACCCTGCCGCTTGCGAGGCGAGTGCTCTAACTGAGCTACAGGACTCCACAGGAGCTTTAGACAGGAATGCCTGTCTAAAGCAATTCAAGGTTGGGATTCGTGCCATCACAAAGAAATGCTTTTAACTGAACTTTAGCAATTTTCAATCAAACCTTCAAAACAGTTTTTTGTCATTGAATGATTAAATGGATTATCAGCAGAACACCCTGGAAAAGGGAGTATGTTTCTACGGTTCTAACAGAATGAAGAAGGCATGGTTACACACAATCCCCCAGTACAGCAACTTACCTGCTGGTCCTGCATTAGGGTGTGACACATGTTTGTACTGAATTCCAGCTGTCTGGTCAATTGATTTACTTGTTCCTGCCAGTGTTCTCGTTCCTCTACATAGGAGAGATCTGCTGCCCACCGCAGATTCTCTTGACGTCGCATGCTAACATTCCGTTGTTTATGTTTTGGAAAAGAACGATAGTTCCCATCTGCAGAATATGGTTGTTTATTCTTTAACCTACAGAAGAGTGTGTGGGATGAGAAGGGAAAGCACAGCAAGTATTTAGCCACCAGTTAAATGTCAATGAAAACTGGTTTAAAAGCTGCAATCAAGTACATACCACAAAAGTCTTGCGATTTTGGTATTGGAATGAGGTAGAAAGGAGAAAATAATAGTCTAAATTGTGAAACAAATTTAAAGCAAAATTGCTTTGATAAAACATCATTTGATAAAATATTCAATTCTTGACTACTGTTGAGATATGTGCAAAAAATGTATGTAAATAAATGTTCCCTCGCAGGTTAAAAGAATAAAGTAAAATCATGTAAATCAATGTCACTAATTACTGGATTTTAGTATTTAGCCGAATGCCATACTTAAACATTAAGTAAATGTGTGTATCTATATCATGTACAATCATATCAATAATATAAATTCTAGTAATATAAAAAAAACAAATCTCTGGGAAACAACTGGAGGAATCCACAGTATTATTTTACCTGTGCCTAAAACCTCTCGAATTACGTGCTCCTTGACTTCTAGTTGGACTTGGATAAACTGTGTATGTTTCATGAGAACTTGTCTCAAGTTCTTCTTCTTCTTCTGCTTGTACAATTTCATCAGATGGATAGTCGTCGTCATCATCATCACCACCACCACCAATGTTTTCTTCCTCTTCATCATCATCATCATCCAGTGCACCTTGAGTTGAACCGCCCCAAGTAGCTGTGGTCCTGCCAACATTAATAGAGGCCTGAATTAATAATCACCACGTTAACTCATTAAGAAGCGCGCTCACCTTTATTTAATGAAAATGTGCTGTATGCATCACTGTAAAGTATAGGGACTGTATATTGGAAGCAAACATGGCAGCTAATTTGCACAATTTGTGAACAACTCATTTTGAGGGCATTTTATTAGAAAGACCTATTATATTGTAAGCAATTAATAAAAATAAATAGTTCCAAGAGCTATCTAGATACAGCAAGGAACAGAATTCATAGAATAGTTTTTAAAGTTTTACGTGTTACTATTAGTCAAGAGACACTGAACATCTAAACATCCTTACGATTAACAATTGTTACAAGTCTAATCAACACAATTCTAGGAAACATGGATGTGACGAAGGTTAAAGGCTTAATCAAATAAATTTGCCTCTAACCTTTCAGTCCTGCTGAGTTGCTGAGTTCCCTGTGTTTCCGCCCCATCACTTTTTATAGATGCGGCAGTGATGGAAGTGGTTTCAGTCAGTGTTTTTTGACGTTGATGCTCAGCCATCAAGGCTTCAAGTTGCTTTCTTCTTTGGCGCAACTCTTCACGAAGGATTTGGTGTCGGCGCATCTCAGACCACAGCTATTATGTACAAACAAAATTACAGGGCCATACATTTTGAGAATAACAATAACAGGCTATGTACCAACATTTCAAGAAGCAGAGCAATCTAATATTACAATATGATATATACCTGAAAAGGTGTCCGATTTTAACTCCTAAATGCAGATGCAACTTACAAACCAAAATCTAAGAACACATTTAAATTTAGAGATTACCTCATTGTCAGGAGGCGGTGCAGCAATTGGATCAGGCAAAGCCTTTGCTGTTGCACCTTGTCCATTGGCTGCAGGAGTAGACGTAACCACCGGCACTTTTATTTTCGACAGGTTTCCTATACTCGATGTTGATAACTGCATACATTAAAAAAGTACAATCATACATAGTGTACAATCATATATAACAACAATCTCCATCATACTTTAAAGCGATTACAACCGCCAAGTTATTATAAAGCAGAAACATGCATGTGTTTTGAAACCATCTGACCACATCATTGGCATACCAATGATTACATAATGTTTAAGTATGACATTCTTACACACTAAAATCCAATAATTAGTGGCATTATCAATTTACATGATTTTACTTTATTCTTTTAACCTGAGAGGGAACATATATTTAAATCCTTTTTTTGCACACATCTTAACAGCAGTCAAGAATGGAATATTTTATCAAATGATATAGAAAAAATAATTAAATGTAGTCGGGTGAAAAAAAAATTACCATACTCATATAATAGTGACCAAAATGTCCTTCTGAATATAGTGCATTTTAAAATTAATTAAAGCTTCCAACCACCTGTAGGTCAGGACATGATCTCTGCAGTTGTTGAATCTTCTCTTGAATCTCCATCAACCGTTTTCTTTCTTCTTGCAACTGCTTCAGTTCTTTCTGCTGTTGTTGAAGTTTAGCTTCATAGAATTTCTCTCTGTTACATAACAAATCCATATTGAGAAGAATTATTCTTAATTCAACACACCCTTACAGTTGAGAAACAAACTCTAGAAGTTACCTCAATACAAAATTTTCAAGTTACCCTGAGCCAGGACAATGTCACACCATAGAATTGTACAAAGTAATAAGATGGCCCCTCAATAAAGGGATTATTAGAATAAGAAAAAGTTGTATGTTAACTAATTTGAGACAAGTGTCAATGCAGTAACATTCCCATGCGTTGCACTGTGCAGTGTTTAGACATGGACGGATAGCTGCAATTCCCTCAAGACAATCAGGAAAGATGCAGCACAGGGGAGATTTCATCTGTACCAGAAGTATATCAATTAAAAATATAAAAATGTTCTAAGATTGTTGATTTATTCTCATTTGATCAATTGAAATAACCAGAATTTTGCAATTAGAATGAACATTGTAGAAATCTTTGCATCAGAAATAATTTCACAATGAATTATAATGAAACGAGATCCAACACAATAATAATCCTTGCATTTGATATGGAGCTTTTTACGTCTTCTAGACTTCTCAAAACGCTTCATAGAATATGCTGTGAAGTGAATTGACCGTATATTTGTGGGTGAAACGCAGCAGCCAATCGCGCACAGCAGCGTCTCACAAACAGTCGTGGATTGAAAATGACCAATTTATTATTGCTTTGTTTTGGAACAATTATTATTAGGTGTGTGGAGTAAGGAAACTTGCCCGAGGTTTCGCCCTGCCTGGAATTGAACCCAGGTGTCTCGCTTGCAAGGCAAGCACTCTGACCACTGAGCTACAAGGCCGATTAAGAAAATAATGAATTGTTTCACACAGGTACAGGGCTGGGCTGTATTGTGCAATTTCTTGAAACATGTTCCTTTGAACTCAAGAGTTAGATTCAATTCGAGTCCAGTTACATTAAGCTTTCCTGCCTGCCAATAAGAACAGACTAGTAACTTAATCATTCGCAATCCAGCTATTCTTAGTTCAAGTCCACACCACCAAATTACTCCTCTATGGTAAATCTAACCACCAAATTGGTAGTTCCATTCAAAAGACTGACAAGCATAAGCAACCAGCATGCAATAATCCCTTACCTATCTTTTTCATCCAGTGTCACTTCTTTTGGACTTCTAGATGAATTTGTTCTAGCGTTGTTTGGTTGCTGACTATTCTGATCTTCGCCAGTTAAGGAAAGCCCAGATACATTAGGGATATTAACACCAGTAGCATCTGGAGCTTCCTGCAAAGAGAAAATGTAGGTAGCAAGGAGAAGCTATACGACCGGCCAGTTATTTTGACCACAAACAGCAACGTGGCACCTTATCAAAGGTCTTCTGAAAATCTATTTATACATTCACTGCATTCCCTTATCTACTTTATCTGTTCTTCAAATAATTTGATATGATTGGTTACACACGACCTTCCTTTAAGCGCTTTAGAAAGTTCTCCCACTGCGAAAGGCACTGTATAAATGTAAATTGTTGTAAAAATTTGTGCTGCCTGCTTTTAATTATATTCTTTATCTCAAGAGGTTTTCACAAGATGTTTACAAAGTTCAGAAAGTTGCTGGGTTCATTCCTCAACCTGCATTGTTAATATGTCCCTACAAAATAACAATCTAGGTGTCACAATCAGTCTCAGCCAGGGATCCCCTCCTGGTGACTATTTAGAATCCCGGTTGAAAAAGTACTACACGTGTGTGATGTGAGGGAAGGAAAATAATCATCATAGCTATAATGACTGTTCAACGAACTGTAAATATATACAGAATGCTCATCTTTAGACACGATCAGGGCAAAAGTACAATAACAAATACTTTTCCACTTACAGATTATCAATACTTTGTATATATCTAGATGAGCAACAACTTAAAAAGTTACAAGATCAGACTTGAAATAGATATTTACCTGTACCATAGCAACAAGTTCCTGCAATTGCCTCAGCTTCTGCTTAGCAGCATTTAGTCTGTTTATTTTCTGTTGAATTTCAAGATCCTGTCCATTTTCTTCAACATAACTACTTCGCCGACTTGATACAGTTCCCTCACTTGCAAGTTCCCCTTGAATCTCTTCTTGTGCTTCATTAACATCTCTATCTTCTTCTTCTTCATCGTCGTCATCATCTTTTTCACTATCATTATAGTGAGAATCTGTATAATTAGTAGAAACATTCTTGTAATATTGCAACACATCAATATGCAAGTTATTCAGTAAAGACTCAATATAGACAATCACAGTAAAAACAAGGCTCAAGAACAACATTGAAAGTTTACTCAGAACCCTTTAAAAATAAAGTAAACCTTTTCACAACAGAATTACTTATTTAGTTTGTGTTAAAACAGCATCCAGTAACCACTGATGTTACATTCAAGATGAGATTATATGAGGTTTACCTGATGCAGGTGGGACATTCAGGCTCCGTACATTTATTGGCCTATTGTTGATTTCACAGTCGGTGTTCAGGAATCGATCATCATGGTTATTGGTTCCGTGAACTGCTGGCAACCTGGAAGCAGTATTGGTTTCAGACCAGTTATCACATCTTTGTGGGTTTCTGAAAAAGTTAAACTAGTTCTTAAAATGTGAATGTAAAATGTAGTCTTCAATAACTGCTCATATTGACATAATCATTACAATTAATTAAGATGAAGTCAAAAATACTAATCAAAATATATTAAGTACTGAAGGCTTTAATCCTGCCAACAGAATACATCCAGTGACCTGAGGGGATCAATTCAAATGTCTCTCATGTTCCAATATTTCAATTCACAAAAAGGCTTATGCTGTAGTAGGCATAGATCCTAGTGGCAATATAGTTGGTTTATCAGTTTGGAGGCTTCGATCATAAAGCCCGATGAGTGATCATGATCCAAGTAGGTCAGAAATAACCAGATCATGGATAGATATAGCAGCAATGTAAACGCTCCGCCTTCTAATTTAGGTCTACAGTGTGGCTCCACTAAACACTCTTTACAAAACTTGTTTTGTAGAAATGGAAGATACTTTTTGTAACAAGTTTTAAGAATAGTGACCAACAAATTCTTCACTGCCAGGTTTCAGCCTGGCTCAGTCAACTGCACTCCTGCCTCCAAGATATGAAAGGGTTCAAGCCCCATGTTGAAGCTTCACAAGTCTAGGTTGAGATTCCAATGCAGTGCAGGGGTATGTATTACATTACCAGAGGTGACATCCTTCAGAGAGGTTAAACTGAGGAGAGTTTCACCTGGTGTGACATTGGCCAATGGCAATGTCCCATAAAGCCAATTTGCCCTTCAGCAATGTCCCACAAACAATCATGAACTCTTCACGATTGTTTGTGGGTCATTGCTAATTGGCTGTAGTATTCGCCTCCAGAATACCCAGCCACTACACTTTACAGGGTATATTTTAAAGCGCTTTGAGACATGTTCCTGACATGAAAGGTACTAATATGAAATGCAAGGATTATTGTTATCAAACATTCTTAGTAGGTGTGCACAAGCTCTTCTCTTCTTGGTCAGATTCACAACCTCCAAGAGCATCTGGGTTAATTTGAGCTGAGCTCAATCACAAGATACAGTAGAGAGACGATGATGGTGATACTACAACAACTTAAATCAAGACACCTAATCGTGCAGCACATTTTATTTATGATTAAACTCACTGGTGAAGCAAGTTTAATCACAAAATAGCTAGCAATAGATTGTCCCTCCATTTCTTCTGTCCCATCAAAGTTGCTTTTCCAAGGTAGACCAATTGAATGAGTAGCAACACGTATCCAATAATCAGATTCAAACTCAATTTTAGTTTTGCCCACCTGATGTTCGTAACAGTTTCTGGATTTTCCTGATCGGAGTAGTACATAGATTCTTCCTCAGTCTCATCATCTTCATCCTCTTTTGTGTTTTCATTAACAGCATCAGTCATCATATCTGAAGTCTGCTGGTAGTAATCAACCAATTCACGCAACTCATTTAGCCGTTTGTGAACTTCTTTCAATTTCCTGAGTAAATAATTTTTATATAACTCATCATGGTGCAATTGGACTCGATCACAAATTAAAGAAAAACTATTTTAAATTTAGTGAGTGGAAACTCTTTACTCAATATTGATTTAACAACTACGAAGTTTGATAGGTAGATTTGCAAGTTATTCTCTCTCAAACGCCTGATATCGTGTTACAATATTTTTTTTGTTAAAAAGTATAACAATGTGAGCAGAACCCGTTTGAAATTGTGGAGAAACTGTAGATATTGCCATAATGCCGCAGATATGCTGCAATTCCTCTAAATTACCAGTTTTAAATTTCTGATCCACGTAAAATATTAAGTACAATGGCCAATATCACTTTAATGACAAGAAACCAAAACACTTAATATTTTTATGAACTCAATTCATCATTTTTACCTGTACACTGTTAATTTGGGGTCTAGGTTTACACATTTTACCATGCTTGCATTCCCATGCCTCCACCTGTCAAGCACACCTGTTCAAATTTTACTGCTCTTTTTCAAAATCTGCAATGCAGAGCACTCATACACTATACACAAAAGTAAATATGGATTGATTACTTATAAACACATTTTAATAATTTAAACTTTAAAAGGTAATTGACTGTACACAGCCACTTTCATCAAAAGGCAAGCTGCTTTGGCTGTTACTGATCTTAGCCATAAAAGCTTTTTAGTTAGGGGTCCTCTGAAGTCTCAAGACAGTGACATACTGCTAGTCACTGATACTCATTTGATCACCTTGCTCACATCTCTTCCCTTGCAAACACCTTAGATAGCAATGCAAGGCATATTTCAAATATAATTTTAGGATAGCAGCTGCAACATATTTTTAGACTTCAGTAGGATGGCACATCTGTGTAGACTAAAGCTCCACCAGAGGTACTGGGTGTGGATCTGCACCTGTGATCTGCCACTCTACTGAGTTGCTAATATTAGCTCCAATTGAGAAGAGGCCAGGCATTTTATGACAGAGAAGAATGAAATGATTCAGCCTCTCAAGACTGATTATTATTATTAAGAATTTTTTTTGCCCTCCACCTTGCTTGATTGTAAACACTTACTTCCCAGCATTTTGTGACATCCTTCTGACATGAAAGGCGCGATATAAATGTAATTTTGTTGAGAGATTTTCTCCATATGAACCAATCCATTCCTACTCTCCTGTTTGCTCCCATTACCTTTTAATATTCTTCTTCATGAATGTATCCAATCCCTTTTCAAACAACTTATGAAATCTACTTCTACTCCAGTTTGGGTCGATAATGCTTGTCTTACCACCTTCTGAGTAAAGAAATTGTTTTGAATCTTTTAATTTAAAAAAAATGATTTGTGTCATCTAGTTTTTAACTCACCGACCAATAGAAATAACCTCTTACTATTTACTCTATCATACCCCTTCATAATCACAAAGGCATCCATTAGGTCACATCTTAACCTTCTCAGCTCCAGTGAAAACAGCCCTAACTTTTCAATGAATCTCCATAAACTTAAAATCTCTTCTCATCCTTGATGGCCCTCATCATTAGTTACAAGCTCATAAATTTATGCTTTGCCTTTTCTGTTGCATTTATATTTTCCTGTCATGGGGTAACGAAAACTGTGCACAATATTCCAACAGTAGCCAAACCAAGATCTTGAGCAAATTCAACAATAGCTCCTGACTTTTGGATTCTATTAAGAGGAGAGAAATCAGAAAGAGGAACAAGGCACCAAAAATAACTTGGACTTCTAGTTATTAAAATGTATGAGTTTTGAAGTTCTAGATTCCTAACAGAAAATATTATGTTTTAAATCTATACTGTATGAATGTTGAGCTCTTTGAAGCAGAAATAAAATCTTATGGTTATTTGTTATTCTCAGAATAGTATTAGCATTGTAAAGTTTAGCTCTAGTTGCAGCACTAGAAGACATAATTGGACAATTTCTTTGGTGCTGGGAAAGGATAGAAAGCACCAGAAACTAAGAAGTTGTCCACATTACTTACCCTGAAATAAATTCTGAATGTAACAAAACCACAAAAGTAAATTCAAACAGTTCTCACACAGGAATACTTGTCCATGTGAGATTTGTCATCAGGAAGCAAATCATAATAAATAGATTTTACACTGAAGAGTCCTCAATTGAACTATTCACTGCAACTCATTGTGTATAAGAAGGGCCATAGCAACACAAGTGAGTGTATTCTGACCAGAGATAGTAACTGCAAAACTTTTGATGCATTCAATGGGTTTTAACTAAATTATGCTCTAAGTCATACTTCAGTTTCTCCCTGGGGTTAGGATTTTCCTCCTCGTCACTCTCATGATGTGAGGCTATGGAATCCAAAACACAGACTGAAGAGGCCATGCTGTTGGGTTCTCTATTGATTAAAGCAACTGTTCCAGTTGGTGCTGCAGCTGTGCTTTGATCGATGCTTCTCTGAGATGAGCCAGATGCAACAGGGCCACTTGATGGAACTAGAAAACAAATGAACAACGACCAAAATTTAGGATCGCTGGAATAAACTCAATAATGACTGGATGTTTACTTTGCACATCTACTTTTAATGGTGGGCTACCCACCTTGCTCTAAGGTATAATCTAAACAATAGAAGCCCTAACAACAACACCTTAAGTACTCTGCTTGCCATCTCCTTTAATACTGGTAGAATTCCACATATAGCTATTCTTTCCATCCTCTCATCAGACAATTTCTGATCCACTTTGTTACCTCCCCCACCCCATTCTATTCCTTGTCAATCAATTAGCTGAGCAGCACTTTACCACAGGTTTTCCTAAATTTTAACTTTATAATATCTGCTGAGGTGCCCTGTGCACCAAGTCAATTATTTGAAGAAGTCTATTACTTTGTCAGACATCAACTACCTTCCATAAAAACATTCTAATAGCCTCTTATTATTCCACATTTTTATTGCTACTTCATTGTTCTCATTCAGAACGTCCTATAATGCTTCATCAGTTCACAGGTTTATCTTTTGCTCTTACATAAATTGATGCTGTAAAATTTGACTTAAGGCACGTCATTGAAACCCATGAGCATGAAACACATTTACTCAGCCCCAAAAAAGTTAGCGCTGGTCCCATCAGTGCCTCAAAAAGCAAAATGACCATTTTCCAGGGCATGAGGTCGTCATAAGAAGCTGGAAACAACCCTAAAACCCAGTATGTACAATTTGATGATACTATGTACCTCCCTCTATAAGGGTTTAAAGCATGACTCCCCTTTCAAGGTTTTACAATTTGCCTAACAATTGTTTTCCTTGAATATATTTATTAAAAAGCTTTCAGGTTGTCCTTCCCCACATCCAGTATAAATATCATTCAGTCCATTATCAAAAAATGTTAAGTTAATAGATATGACAATAGACATATTTTCACTGGCAGTATAGACCACCCAATTTATCCCGTGTAAATTGAAGTCAAGATTACCAATTACATTTGATTCCTTATACACTTTATTTTCATTTGAATATGATACTCCAGAGTTACTCATTATTGACTGGAAGTCTGTAGTCAATCTCAAAAATGACTTCTTCCCCCCTCTTTAATGTCAGTTCTGTTAACCACAACCTTTCCACTTCAAATCCATCCGATTGTCCCTTATTCTGTTCTGCTTCCTCCTCTCCTACCCACCTCAAAAGTTTAGATCCTCTCCCGAAGCCCCATTTTCCCTCTTTGATGTAAAAAAATCAAGTTACAATTATATAATCAGTAAAGTCAGCTACTCAGACCTCTACATTGTGGTTACTAACATAACCCAACATTGCTTGCAAGAGTCTGACAATAACGGCTGGACATCTCCATTTACATTGTGCCCCTGAAGACAACAAGAAAAAACTGTTTAAGCTTTGAGCTCAGCCTTAAGCCAACAGCAACCTCACTTTCCTGCTGAAAGGTAAATGCAATGTCATTCTAATATCGACATACAAGCCACTACACTGAAGATTTTGTCCAAGCACTTACTGGAATTGTTAAGATGCTGGTCTCTTAGTGTATGCAACTCATCCAGTAGTTTATCCATTCTTTCTTTTTTCTCTTGCAAAACTTTCAGCTTATTGACCAGTTGGGCTTTTTCTTCAGACAAATGTTCTGAAGTTAAGGAATCTCTGCTCCTGGAAACTTCTTGCGTCAAAGACAGAGATTCCGCTCGTCTCCTGTTGTCAGGGACGGGCTGCGACTAAAAAAAGTTAACATTTGGAAAATTCCATTGGGAAAAGCTTTTATAAAATTTCCTTAAACCATAAAAGTTTATCCAAATATAGCATTATTAAATTGAAATTATAAATATGAAAATGAGCTCCCGATACGCTGCATTGATGAGTCATAAAGGAAACGCTCCAGGGATCCGACTGGCTTTTCACAGTCAGTAGATGTAAAAGCAATTTGATTATCTTGCCGTTGATGATAAATCATAACCAAATTGGTAAAGAGAAAAGTTTTCCCTAAACAGAAAACACAAGAACATACAGAGGCAGAAATTAAACTAGTCAATACCCTTCACATGCTTTTTGCTTGGTCTATATTTTCTAGGAATAGGAAGGATCTGAGGTTAAGGCTCTTGAGAAGACTGAGGTGCTTAATATGAGGGGGAGTGACAAGTGAGATAGTGGTCAACTCTTCCCTCTGGTAGAGATATCCAAAAAAGGAGATACAATTAGAGAGCTCCGATGGCTAAAAGTGAAATCAGACAGATGTTAAATCTCGATTTGAACGATTTGATTTATTCCTAACTTATTCGCATTTTTGATCAGGCCCTAATTGTTTCCTCCATCAACCCCATAAAGGAGCTCTTCAGCTTTGCTAATCCTGAACAGAACCAGAATGACCTCTGCTTCTGGGAGAACTGAACTTGGACATTCCTGTAAATAGGATCATTTTTCAATTAGTCACATCAAATATTTGTGCTAAATTTGGAGCAAGCTTTTGAGAAGCTATGAAATACTGGAAAACAGCCAAACAGTTGTTACATCCATCCATCAGAAAGATTTTGAGGCTGTGTAAAGGGGAATGGGGTGTCAACACACCCAAATGAATTCAAGCCTCAAGTGAATAAAGCGCAGCAATCAGCCAGAAATATTATAGAAGGTTTAGCATGCATTTGGATTGGGTCAACTGATAGCAGTCCCGCCTCCGGGTCAGGGGATTGTGGATTTGAGCTCCAAATCAGCACTTAAATTCATTGTCTAGGAGGACATTGTCTAGGAGGACACTCCAGTATCATAATGAGGAAATGCTATATTATCATAAATGTTCGACTTCAGAGATGTTACCTTACGATCAGTACTTTCTGCTGCAATTATTAGGCTTTAAAGAATAGGAAATTCCTCCAGTTTCCTGACAAATACTTCTTCCTCACCAAACTACATGGTTTGTGGGCCAATGATGGTGAAAATGAGCAGCAGCATTTTCCTATATAACTGCATTTTGGTGCTTTGAGAAGTTTTGATGTGATTAGGAGCCATATCAAATGGAAGTATTATACAGCAACATCCAAAATGCTGCAAATCAAACTTTGAAAGTTGTTACAAATTCATACCCAGACAGCTGCGTTAAAAATGTCTGTACCTGTGAGTTGCGAAGCTGATTGTGAAACCGTTGGATCAAATCATTCAACTCTTCATTGAGTTCTGAAGTTATACTTAGTCCTGAAACACTTCCAGTTGTTTCAGTTACAACTATTGGAAAAAGAAAAATATTAATTTGTATCTACGTGAGAAACAAGAAGATATGCACAACAGAGCAGCAGGGCCAACCTTTTTGGTTGGCCAATGAAATACATTTTTCTTTATTGAATTTTTCTTCATTTATGGCTGCACCATGGGTATCATGGATCAGTAGCTAAGGAACCAAGGTACTAAGTTTGGCAAGGTCTTGTCTGGACTGGTGTGGGTGTTCAGCAAATCTCTACATAATACTGGAGCAGTGTCACCCCTAGACAATAAGCACTTCTCTAAATCTACTCAGTCTAACAGTGAATATTTTTTAAAACTGTACCTGACTGAAATAATTTCCAGGTTCAATAATTTTTTTCCATCAAAATGTTATTTTCCTCCAACTAATTCCTCAGTATTTTTTTGCTGATATACATTTTTCCAATGGCCTCCTTGCCGGTTTCCCCAACTCTACCATTCTTAAAATCCTAATGATTGAAAACTCTGCTGCATCTGTTCTCATCCATACCAGGCTCCAAACCCCCAATACCCTGTTCTTGCCAGGCTCCACTGGCTCTCCATGACAGAACAGTTTTGTTTCAAGAACCTCATTCATGTACAAATCACTTAATGCTCCAGCATCTCCCTACCCCTCCAACCCGCTGAAACCCCACTCCTCTACCCGCCCACTTTGCTCAACTGGCTCCAGCCTGCAACTGCCCCATTCCCACCACTTCACCATCAGCAGCTATGCTTTCAGCCACTGCTCCCCCAAATCTTTGGAACTCTGTCTCAATCCCTCTGTCTTATCCCTTCCTTGCCAGACTTCAGATTGCAGCTGAAGCTCTCCCTCTTCAACCGTGTCTAGTCACTTCCCTTTTCTCTGGCTCAGCGTCAAATTCCGTCTACTATTAAGCGTACTGTGACACTATCCTGTGGGAAGGGCGTTATATAAATGCAGGTTGGTGTGGTATATTACGGAACTGAAAGAAACTTAGTGTTACTAGCCACAACATATGTAACTACAACCCCAAAAAAGTAAATTGTGACTAAGGTTGGCATTTTTCAATTTGGCAACCAGCAGCATTTGAATAATATTGCAGTTAACAACTGACTGAAATGTATTGATTGATCCTCTTATTAAACCAAGCACAACATAATAATTATTCTTGCATTTGATATAGGGACTAATTTTTAAGTGTATTCAAGATCTTATTCATAGGCAAATACAGCAGCTAATTTGCACACGCTGCACAAACAGCTAAGTGAATGACCAATTTATCTTAAATATTGGTGCCTCAATGTCATAGGATCTTTAACATCCACTTGAACAGGGAGATGGGTTGAACGGTTTGTCTGAAGAACACCTCCAACAACAGTTTCTCCAGCAATGCACTGGAGTGTTAGTTTAATCTAGGAGCTTAAATTTCCAAACTGGGGCTCGATAAAGAAAATTATTTGGTTTAAATAAATAACTCTTCCCTCATCCAAACTATTCCAGCAGTGTCTCCCACATTTCAGATTTCATCTTGCATCAAGAGGGAACTTAGTGCATTGTTAAATCAGTCAAAAGAACTCAGGAGCTGGCACAGAACTGTATGAAGCACTGTATTCAATTGTGATCGTCACCTACCCACTCTCCCCGGCTTGACATCAACCTCGACATGTTAAGACACTCCAAGACAGTACCCACACAAAGAGCATTTTTAAATGCATGTTTTTGGTAAATTTCCCACCACAAAATCCTCTTTTATGGCTTTCTCTCATAATTGCCAGTTTTCATTATAGAAAGCTTATTAACCAAATGACTTAAACGTTGGAATCTGATTCTGCATACCAGACTCATCCATTCCAGCTATGGTCTGCTCGGCTTTGTTTTGCAGTGCCAGAAGTGCTGCCTGTCTGCCCTGAAGTGCCCTTAGTTGCTCTTGTTGTTGCAACATTCTTTTCAGAAGTTCATGTTGCTTTTTCAAGTTCTCCAACTCTTCTTTTGCATCATGACGCTGATCATCTGTCTGTAAAAAACATAAATGAACTAGTCAATACAGTCTGCAGTTTATCGAAAAACGTAATATGCAATTTGTAAAATATTTGCAAATAAATGAACCACAACTTTGTACCAGAATACTGTATTGTTTAATTTCTTACAAAATAAATGGTTGTCTGCAACACAACAATGAACAAAAATCACTAATCAATAAGCTACTTTGTTCAACATGTTTAACGACAACCCCTGTACCATAGGGCATAAACGAGAAGAATCCTTGATTTGCTCTCAGATTTGAAGTGCTGTGAAGAATCAAAAGAGAAAGGATCACAGATCTGATAGTAAACATTAATTTTCTGATTTACCAGTGAAGGAAATGAAACAAGTCTGGAACTGAAGTCTGAATTAAATTCAGACACTCACTTTGAGACAAGAATATAGGGAGGCTACTATGCCTCTCAAATAGCAATGCTGGTAAGTAACCATGAGATATAGCTCACTCAGTTATCTATGGAAATACTTTTAAAAACACAAGCCTTTTAAGATGTTTACCATTATTTGTTATGTCACTTATGTGACCTCTTCAGTGCTACATAAAAGGGTTGATTTCCTAAAGCTTCAGTTTCAATGCAGAAAGTCTTTTTCACAATTTATGAGTAAAGAGCTCCAAGGAAAAAGAACCCATCAAAGCTGACCAAAGTGTCACTCAGTCAGACACCTAAATTAGTTAATTAAATACAGACAAAGGGGCAAGTGTCGTAAATGTAGATTTGCTACAAGATGAAACAATTTTCTCAATACCCTAGAGGCAAAGATATGGTCAAAGGAGAAGTACTTTGCAGTGGTAGTTTTTTCATGAACTTGAAGCCTCATCTCTGAGGTCAAAGTGCCAAGAAAGGAAAACATCCTTGAAATCAACTACAGCCAAAACTTGTGGTCCATACAATGCACACTGAAAAGGAAATAGCTTCCCTACACAAGTTTCTCAATGGTGAAGTTTGAGAACGACTGTGCTTCTTGCTCAGTCTTCACTTGCTGGCTCGGAGGATACCAGTTTTTAGGAAAATCTGACTCAAAAAAATCCTCAAATTAACTGGCCAGCTTCTCAGGCTTCACAATTGAGAACATCACGGGAAGGGGAGGGGGAAAGGCAAAGGCAAAGGAATGCATTGAAGTGATAAATATCACATAGAGCACAATATTTGATCCAAATATGAACAAAATGAGTTATGAATCAATAATTCACTTTATGTATAATTGCAGAATAGGTTAGTTGGTGGAGGTGTGACATGTTTGTAATAAAATGCTGAGGACAGGGGAAATTAAGCAATGGACACAGATCTTCTTTTTCTCCAAGAAGCAATTTTTTTGACAAAGATTGGCTCCAGAGGAAATTTCACACACCTCAAATCCAATTTAAATCAGAATCCCAATTGCAAAACTTTAGTACCCATGTTTACACAGCACGACCATCTCCCTCATCTTCTCTTTTAGTAATAAACAATGTACAAGTGTTCATACTTGATGTAGTAGGGTGTGCGTGAAGACTGTAATATTGACAAATTCTCAGTGTAAAACGAGAACTTGAAATAAATGATATAACATTTATTTCAGCTGGTACATTTTTGCCATCCTTTAAATTCCAAGTGTTTATATATTAAATTAGTTCAACCCAACTCTTTCACTCTTAATTTTAACATGCAATTTTACATTCTCTAATGGCAGAAACAGTGTAAAATGTTCAAAGTAAGGAAGGATCAGGAGAGGGTTAACTGTAAGATTTGAAACGATTAATGCATTAGAAGTTTCACAGACTATGCAATGAAATGGTACCTTGGAGGAAATTCCATGCTCTTGGCCATTAATCCTATTATGCCAGAATCGCCTGTCATTCAGACCAAGCCTGTCAGTTTCCCTTTTTGGAGTTGAAGTAACTGAAGAACCCTGTGCTTGTGAGGCTGTATTTCCTAGATTGTCCTCAATGCGGGGCCGAACTCTCAGACTATGAGATGCCTCCTTTATCAAACAGTTTAGTTAAGACATTCGTGAATAATTAAATCACTAACGAAAGCTTTAAAAAAACAGCTTTTACACAAAATCTGGTCTAACTTTAAACACACTTCCTTCACAACAAAAACAAAAGGTGAAGAAAATATTTCAGCGTAACCTGTCGTCTCAATGCTTACAACCTAGTACTAAAATTTAGTCTGCATTTTATAATTGTCTATTAACTTCAAGTATTTTAAAACCAGTTATTTATGGAGCTTATCAATAAATACATTAGAACTTACCGTGGCATCTGATGCTTCAGATTGTACATCTATATTCAGAGATGTGCTATCAGCCACAGATCCAGAACCAACAGCTGAATCTGTTGTGCCGACTTCATCTTCTTCATTCTCTCTCGCCTGAAACATTTTAAATTGAAAAATCAAGTTAGCAGATTCATGCAATAAATTTAATGATTTTAGTTATCAATGACACAGAACAATAACATCTGCTACTGAATTATTTTACTTCAATGGCATTTTCCCCATTTCCTATGCCATTCATTCTCATGGACTTTCAGCAAGATCACCAATCAACTACTTCGCTGAAAGCAGAATGTTGCTGTGAATTTGCACCCACTAGGCACTGGATTTAGATTACCCCTAATTTAGGATAGATTACCCCTAATTTGGGATACTTCATTATTATTTAGAATAAAAGATAGAGAGATGAGAGAGAGAGGGGGGGGGCACTGAATGTATTAAGTATTAAGTGAAAGTATAACTCCTGATGGCAGAATTTTTTTTAAGTTAGGACTGCCACCAATTTGCATTTTACATATCTAATTATCCACACTGTTTATCCACAATAGTATTGACCTCAATTAGTAATGGATGTTTTTTAATTGTCAGATTTAAATTCCAGGTGTCCTGTAATTTAGTGGCTAAAACACCTGGTAAGCAAGATGACCTGGGTTTGATTTCCAGCAGGGCGAAATGTTGGGCAAGTTTCCTTACTCCACACACCTCTGCTTACCTTGCAGCAAGTAGAACCAACTTGTTTAGTCGACTGGCGGATCACATTTCTGGGACTAATAATCCCTTAAAAAAAAGATAATTTGGTCACCCAATCCATGTCTGTTTGAGGGACAATGCTATGCACAATTGGCTGCCGTGGTTTGTCCAGTCACTACACTTTACAGCACTTCCTCTCGTGCTTTGAGATGTCCTCCTGATGTGAGAGGCACAAGATCAAATTTAAGGATGACTATTATTAATAGTAACCAATGCTGGAAATGGATAAGTGGATGTGGATAGCAATCATATCACATTTAAGTTGTAATATATCCCATGGTTAAATGACCTGCTAAAAGTCTATATTCACAGAATAGCCACCTGAGTATCTGTGAAATTGTACCCAACAAGAGCCACCAACATCAAGTGGTGAAAAGGGAAATGGAGGCTACAAAAAGCTGTAACCCATATACAAATAGGTGAAATCAGGCTGTACAGGCAATGTGGGAACTCTTTGCCTTCATTGTGAAAAGTATACACATTTTTTAAAAAGCAAACATACCAGCATCTTCTGCAAAAATTTCATGTAAGACTTTTCCTGTTCTTTTAGATGTTCTATCAGCTGAGACAGACGCTCCACATTAGCAGATCTTTCATTTTTCTCCATAAGATCATCTCGCATGGAACGAGCTTTGCAGATATAATCACGAATCTGAATAAGTCTGCTTACAATCTATTTGTCAAAATCCAAACATAAGTATATCTTAAAAGGAGTTGTGTGATATTTTTTGTTGGTTTTATTCATCATGGTCAATCTTCTAACACATTGATGTCAAGGAACAATTACCTTAACCACCTGCCTCTTTCTACTAGATATCTGTGACTGACTGAATTACAGTCAACCCTAAATCAATTGCCATACATTATCTAAGAAACAGCTTGACAAAGACACTCAGCTGCAGTCTGTTCCACATCACTGATTTATTTATTAAAAATATATATATATGCACACTTGAATTTAAATTTACAGCACAGAAGATGGCGATTCAGCCCACCACATCTATACTGGCTTTGAAAGAGACATCCATTCAGCGCAATTTACATGCCTTTTCTGCAATTTGGACCAACAATCTCCCAAATAAGATTGATCATTCACTTCATGGATATTTGTGGGACATTGCTGTGTTCAAATGGACTGCCGCATTCACCTACACACACAATCTCTGCACTTTAGAGAATATCCAGAGAAGCGGTTTGGGATGTCCTTCCGACGTCAAAGGTGCAATTCCAAACGTAAGAATTATTTATTGTTCATTATATATATATACCTGCAAATTATTCCTTTTTAGATAGCCCACCAGTTACCTCTTGAAAGCCGACATGGATTCGGTCTCGACCACCTCAATTAGCAGGGCATAGTTGGCACACAGTTGTACAAATGCTAAATTAAATCTATTATCTTACAATCAGAAACTGCCAAACTAAGTTGTGCATCTTGTCCTCCCTGAAGAATAAGTTAACCCCTATAAGGAAATACTGTGGAAATTTGATAAGCTTGGGTGCAAAAGAGAGAAGAGAATAGAAAATGCAAGGGAACAATGCTTCATAAAAACATCTTATGCTGATAATTACCAAATACAAGAGGATAGAAACTTTATCCTTGTAAGGCACATAGTTTCACAGCCATCTTGGAGTTTCAGAAATGTAATTTTGTTGTTGTACAAAAGGAATACATGTAAAGTGGTATCACTGCTTTACAATTATTAATGAACATTTACTCAAGAGTTCCCGCATCACCTTTGATGTGTCTACTTTACGAATTTAGTTTAAAATGTGTTTTGGAGCTTTGTGAGTACTTATTTCAGCAAACATTTCATAGAAAAGATTCAGAGTAAAATTGAGCATCAGATGCCTTTCAGTACATCTGTTCTTCCAAATGTTAATCTCTTTTTACAAAGCTCCTAGATTTTTGGTTTTCAGTTCTCCCCAAAGTTACACTCACGGAATTTAAGTTAATGTAAAGTGGAAAAAAACTCATTCTGCTAAAGCTTGCACCAGTGAATTAGCTTATCAAATCATTTCCAAAAATGAAAGGAGGTATGCATCAATGATAGATCTTATTCACATTGTTGCCTGAAATGACATTTACAAATTAACTTCCTGTGTTTTTTTTGTGTAGGACAGTGAATTAGACTTTTCTTCTCTGCACTCTAAGAGTTAATCCATCTCACACTGAAAGCAATCTCTCTGCTGTCTGCTCAATGAAATAAGATTGGGCAGAGTCCCCCCAGAGTTATGAATCCACAGCAGAAATACACCCAGAATTAAGCACCAACTGGCACCAGCCCTATATCAGGGTTTTGAGGTCATAGTACAAGTTCACTGGAGTGTGAACCTGTACTGTAACCTCACGATGCTGATGTAAGCCTGGTGCCAATTGATGAAGTGCTGGAGAGCAATGCATCGCCAGAAATTTTGTTCTTCAGATTTTAAACTAGTCTCATCTGCCTATCCAGGTGGACCACACTGGTTGAAAACTGAAGAAAGTTTCTCCAAGTGTCCTGGCCAACACCCCCCTACAAAAAAGTAATTTACTTATAATCACTGTATGTAGGATATTGCTGTGCACAAACTGGTTGGCATTCACCTACAAACACATAGTCATTGCACTTTTACAGCAAATACCTGTGAAGCACTTAGAAACATTGACTTTATAGGCAGTTTCAAATACAAGGATTATGATATTCAATAATTCACAATTTATTCTGAGACACTTTACAACTGTAGAATTAATGTTTTAATCAAACTAATTTATTTGTATTACTTCATCACCCAGTCAAAAGAAAATATACACTATTTACATTACTTAGGTTGCCTCGTTTACCTACATTTACAGTCATGAAATGAAAAGCACTGCACTAATAATCCTTGCATTTGGTATAGCGCTTTTCACGTCTTCTAGACGTCTCAAAATGTTTCAGAATATGCTGCAAAGTGAATTGATTGTATATTTGTGGGCAAATGCACAAATAACAAACTATCACAAATGCAAGGATTATTATTATTAGCCAAGAGAAACTAAGATTAAACTTTTAATTAAACCACTGAAATATCATACCTGACTGCTCTCTATAGCAGGTTCTCCTCTTTCATCTGCAAGCGAGAGCTGATCAATTTGCAATGAATCCTTGGTTACAGAAACAAACAAATCCAGTCTTTGAGCAGTAGTTCTCGTTTCTCTGCTTCGTGGACTTAACATGGGTGCTTTGCTTTTATTGCTGTTAATCTGCTGTTGGAGAAAGTTGAATGGCTTCCTATTTTCAACAGGTGGACGTTGGTTGTTAGCAGCAGTCGCTCGACCATGAGAATCACTCCCAATGCTCCGCTAACCAACAAATGTTACAATCAATATGCATTCAGTGTTAAAAAAAACTATAATATGATGTATCTGCATTTCTATTGTTTCCTTTATAGCCGAGTCAGTCATCAAGTAATCTAAGAGTTATTGAACAGAATTAATCAAGTGTTCCCTTAAATTAGTCAATTTAAATTATAATTGCTCACAAAATACAGATAATATATTCTGTGAAGCACTTTGAGACGTCTCAACGACACGATAAGACTCTATATTAAATACAAGGGTTATTATTATAAAATTAATTTAGATTTCTGGTTAAATGTAGATTTTGTACCATGTACACTTTGAAGCAATGAATAATAATAATCCTTCAATTTGATATAGAATCTTCTACACAACTCAAAGCGCTTCACAGAATATACTGTAAAGTGAATTGACTGCATATTTTGTGGATGTATAAACCCTTCACCAATGGTTTCTTCACAAATTTCACATGAAGAGAACAGTTAGCAGTTTTAAGATTTAGCATACAATGCAAAATTACACTTGTATAGCGCCTTTCATGTCAGGAGGACATCCCAAGACGCTGGACAGTCACCGATTTGGACCCATGCTGGGGGTTGGGATCATGGAGGGTGCCCGAAGAGGTTTTTGAGACGCACCTTGAAGGAGGCAAGGGAGGGAGTGAGGTAAAAGGAATGTGGGATGGAGTTTCAAAGCGTGGAGGCAGAGAAGCTAAAGCCTGACCTCCGATGGTGGAACAGGCCACAGTCTACTGAGCGGAGGTAGCGGAGAAGTTGATATGGGGTTAGCAGGTCGTAGAGGTAGGAAGGAGAAGCTTGTGGAGAGCTTTGAATTTGAGGACAAGGATTTTGAACTATCCTCTGGGGGATGAGAAGCCAGTGGAACCGGGTGAGGGTGATGGGGCCTAATGCGGGAGAGGACATGAGCTGCAGAGTTGGCATTTTGCTTTTTGAATATTTCCGGAATGATAATCAACTGGGTATTCAGCAGTGGTTAGGTCAAAACCATGCAAATCCACTGGACTAAAAACTGCTCGCCTGAAAACTTATTTCCTCCTTCAGTCTGCATATAATAGACTTCAAAAATGTACACGATTTCAATGAATCGTTGCTTGTAACAAATATTTTGTGTGTTTTTTGCCATCTTCTATCCTGTATTACTGTCTTGCTACACTCTAAGACTGTCAATGACCACGTGTTGAAAGAGTTTCAGTTGCTGAAACTTTAAAAATGTTCTTCCCAATTGTCGCAGGGCAATACAGCTCGCTAAAGAAGGAAGGATGGGGCAAGACAGAGGGATACAGGAAGAGTGTTCCAGAATTTCAGGGCGTAGTGGTTGAAAGTGCAGTTACTGATGGTGGAACGGAGGGCATGAAGGACACGCAGAAGGCTGGAACCTGTTAAGCGGATGCAGCAGGTAGTGGGTTGGGGGGTAAGCAGGTCAGAGAGGTAGGGAGATACCAGGGCATGAAGGGATTTGAAAACAAGTGTGAGGATCCTAAAATCGATGGTGTGATGGGTGTAAATCATTACACACATTTACACAAGAAATTATGGAATTACAAGAAGATATGTAAACTTTCCAACTGTGGAAAGTCCAAGTCAGAACCAACTTATCAATTCCCAGATGGTTACTGAAGTTTACAGGTTTGGACACCTTCCAATCAACATCCATGACTGAAAATCATGCCAAGCAAAGTCACTTTCATGAAATTCACTCTTGTCAGCCCGATGAGCCCTGCGAACACAATACCTAAAATATGTACCCACAAGAAGGCAATGAAATACAATCTGTTTTTTAATCTATTCATTATAATCTATCCTGAATAACTTTTTCAAAATTTTGGCACAAGTCAATCATTGTAANTTTTTTTATAGCAACGTTATTTTAACAGCTTCCAAAATCTGATGCTAATTTTATTTGTAAAGCTCCTGGCAGCATTCCCAATTGTCTTGGGCCAAGGAATACAAGTCACCTGAGCACGATTGGGCAAGTGCAGCACACCTCCCATTTCTACACTGTAGATACAAGCTGACAATATTACTGAATTAATACAGTAACTGGTCTTAACTACTTAGGTACGTGCAAACGCATTACTTTTCAGGAAAGATGATTTTGTAGGTTTTCAACTCATGGCAAAAAATGTTACTTCTGACATTTCTGTAGCTTTATTACTACCTTAATAGAACACATTTCCATTAATAAAAATTATTGAATGTTAATTCTGATTATTGCATGCATAATTCCTTCTTTTTTTCATTTTTAGAAAAGAATTTGCATCAATCTAGCACAATCTATCTTTTTACTACCTTGATTCTCAAAGTGAAAGCAAACTCAAACTGGCAAGACCCCAACTAAGCCTTAGGCTAGTTCAACTTCTCAAAACTAGGAATTCAATTGGAAAACCCCATTGTACAAATAAGTTTACTATATCATATATTCATTTTTTAAAATAATTTAAAATACACAAATTGTTTAAACGATATCAGTCACTAACATTTCGAACAGTTGATAAAATAACTACCAAAATAAAACCTCCAAAAAAAGCTTACATTTACATACCTCATCTAAATCACTGAAGTTTATTCGCTGCTTGAGCCTCTCAAACTCTGCAGAGTCCGGAACAGAAAACTGAGATGGATGCTTTGTGGGTGGATAAGTCTTTGGAGTTTTTGTCCTACGGCGCCCAACCCCGGGAGAGGATTCAGGAGAGATATCATTTGTAAGTCGGCTTTCACTGCCTGCACTTAGCTTTTTCTTGTTCTTCTCAGATGATCGATTCGCTTTCTTATACTGAAGACCCCAATCCTGTGAAAAATAGGACATATATGTTCCATCTCTTTGACCTTGGCCCTTTACAACACGCTGGATTTTTAAAATGGTAGCACCATTGATATTTAGAAAAATCAAAAACATATTATGAAATGTTTCAATTTCCTTTAGAAAAAGACACCTGAGATTATTTGAAGAACTCCATTAAAAGTATTTTATACTTTTTGAAATTGCAAACAGAGTTAAAACATAAGATACGAAAACTTTAAACAGATCAATTTTCCATTTCAGAGCAACAGACCCTGGAATATTCATAATAGCCATTAGTGGATAAGATTGTTACACAATGACTGAGCTGCAGCAGTTCAGTAAAGGATTTATACCTTGCTCTTGCACCTCGTCTCCGCAGACAGGATTGCAGGATTCAAAAAGAAAAATTCTTGCTACAACAAAAAATTCATTGCAGCTGAAGAATATTCAACATTACAAACTCTACTGAAATAAACTCTTTTAAGTTAATTATTTCAGTTATAAAAATACTCAGTTACTACTAATAACAGTGAAACTTCATTATGTTTAGTTAGAATTCAGGATTGCTTTTGAATAAAACTGGCGTGAAAATGCGGTCAATAAGCCGGCCAGTTCACTTAAATAAGTCAGTGGCGATCTAACCACACAGAAGTAGATCATTTTAACTTCTCAATACTAAAAAAGATGATTGGGTCTCTACTGAAGTAATTCCCTGCACATTATGAACGTGGAAGAAGTGATATCAGCAGTGACCTGAACCCAGAAAATCGCCATTTTGTCGCACAGAAAGCTGGCCATGCGCAGGAAGCTCTGTGCATTGCACAGGTCAACGATTGTGCCCCATCCAAGCTCTGTTTGAGAGTTTATGGGGCTCTCTTCACCACTATGTAATAAAAGGATCTACTGCATATTATGTCCAGAGCAATGTTCCAAAACATAATTCCACTTACGAGTCATGAGAGAAGCTCTCAAATGCGCCACGATGTGTCCCATGGAGTTAACGGGATGCCACAGATTCAGATGAGACATGCCTAACAAAGTCAAGCTGATCTTCAGCAACTGAAAGTATTGGTTACAGCTAAAAGATCCTTCTAATTCTTCAAGACATGGAGCAGCAAGACATGTCCTCCACCCTACAAGCTAAAGTCCAAACTAAGAGAGTTGAGCTACCTGGAGCACAATAGAACTGAAATTGATTTTAGTGATTCTGACTGGCAAGTTTTACAATTATTCATCATGTTCTACGTACAGATTTTATCAAGACCTTGATGTTGCAAAGAAAGAGAATATGCCAACAAGCAACATACTGTAACATTGGAGTATTGTCCTAAAATAAACATAGAAGTTGCTGGGAGAACTCAGCAGGTCAGGCAGCATCTATGAAGAGAGGAAAGTGAGTTAACATTTCAGGTCGATAACCTTTTGTCAGTTCAGTTCTGACAAAAGGCCATCAACCTAAAACATTAAACAGATTGCATTTATTTAGATATTTCAATTCAGTAGATTTAAAGTCCTGAAAAAAATAAGTAGCCTAATACAATTTCTACATCACTACAGATTCATAAAAGTTTCACTAATTTAACATTAACCTAAATTTTTTTAAACCCCTAATAAAATAATTCTATCTTACCCTGTTATTAAGTCGATCATCGAGACTTCCACTGTTCACAGTACGGTTGGGCAAGTCTTGCCCTTCAATGCCTTCTTCAAACAAGGGAGCGCCTCCTGTCGCCATCTTTGTTCACTAAATATCAAAGTCAGTATTTCAGTTTTTATATTTAACAGGCGAGTACAATATCATTACAGCATATTCTAATACCATCAGAAACATTCTGCATTAGATATTAAAAATTGGAATCTATTATAAAACTTTTCATTGACCAGCATTTTCATATGCTGAAAACTCAAAGAGTATCTTGTGGGTTTTGCCCCCAAAATATACAGCCAATTCACTTTACAGAATATTGTGTGATGCGCATTGAGACATTGCGAAGACATGATAAGGCGCTGTATCAAATGCAAGGATTATTCTTATTATAATATGAGGAGTTGAAAAAATTATACATTCAGTAGTCACATGTAAGTTGCTTTCCAGGTTTCTTTCTCAACCTTCATATTCTTTAATTAGCAATTTTGCTGCGTTAAATACATATCTTCACGGATACTATTACTAAATCATCCGAATCAATGAACTCTCCTTTTTTTTTAAGTATCGCATCTTCTCAAACGTTTTTATACCTGCAGGTTTCACATACTAATCTCTTCTTAAAAAGGAAATGCAATATTAAGTATTATTTACAAACAGCAAATGGATTTCCAGTAGTTGCTAAGATCAAATTGTAAAACGAAAGAGCAGATTCTAAACCACCTTGCTTGAACAGCGGGGGGTGGGGGGGGGGAACATAATTCACATCATGTTTATACAATCATGAAAAAGTTTCCCGGTTTTCAGGGGTGACAATACCCTATTATAATGATGTTTTGCCACTGCATTTATCATGTAGTATTAATAATAATAATAATCCTTCAAGAAAAACAAAACAATTAAACTGGTCACTTCAATCCATGACTGTTTGTGGGACATTGCTGTGTGCAATTGGCTGCTGCGTTTCGCCCACAAATATACGGTCAATTCACTTCACAGTGTATTCTGCGAAGTGCTTTGAGACGTCTTCTAACTGAACCAGACCAGAGTCACATGAAAGTTCACAAAAAGCACTTTGAGACGTCTCGAAGAGGTGAAAAGCGCGATATCAAATGCAGGGTTTACTATTACTACGCAAATATCCTTCACACATCCCGACGTGATGCTACGTTACATATCCCGTAAACTTTTAACTCGCGGTTTGTTTTAAAAAACAAGTAAAAATTAATCAACATTCCGGGGCCGGGGTTTCGGTCGTCGTTGACAACCCGACTCTCAATCGTAAAAACAAGTACGAGACGTTCAATTCACACCATTGGCTTCGGACTAAATCAGAGCGCAGTAAAATGAAAGTTCACAAAAAGCACTTTGAGACGTCTCGAAGAGGTGAAAAGCGCTGTATCAAATGCAGGGTTTATTATTATTATTATTATTATTATTAAGCATCGAAGGATGAATTGTCACGGGAAAGAATCCAATGGAAGGAAGTATGTTTTTCCCAACACGGTGGAGTTTGGGACAGTTTGGAGCGGGAGGGCGCGGAAAGCAGAACAAGACCTTTCCCCAAACCGCCCGTGTGGGGCCGAGGCCAAAGCGCGGCTCCCGCCTGAGCGGCGGCGGCGGGAGCACTGGGCGACAGCGAACCCGCCCTCCCGCCGACAAACCCGGGCCCTCGCACAGAAGGCGGACCGACAAAGCCGTTGAGAAGCGGCCCCGCGGGCCCCCGGACTCCCTCCCTCAGCCCAACTGGTACCTGCGTAACGGGGGCAGCGCAGCCGCCAACATCGAGAGGAATGGATCCCCGGTCACAGCTCGTCCGTCACTCGCCGCCGCCCTCTCTCTCTGTGTGTGTGACTGAGAGCCAGTAACGGTCGCGGCCGAGCGGCCTCCAGTTGCCGGGCTTTGCGGGGCTTCTCCCGCGTTAACCCCACAACCGTGACCAGTAACTCCTCGCCTCCGCTAATGGAGCCGTTACTGAAACCATAGAGACGGAACCGGAAGAGGGGGGGGTGGGGGGGGCGGTGCACGCAGGCGCAGTAGCCGCCGCCGCCGCCCGCCACCATTTCAGGCTGAACCTGAGGCAAACTTCCGGGTAGTGCCACCGCCTCCACCACCCGGAGATCAAACACTGCGACCACCAGCATCGCTCTGCCGGTTATTCACATTCACACCCGGAACAACTTCGCTTTTTTTATTATGCACTCAACTGCTCCTCTCTACGGATCATTGATTTTCCCAGAAACTGGTTCAGTTTTTCAAAAAAAAATTGTTGGGGGGGAGTTGGATCAGATCCGAACCCACAGACATAGGGTTTATTTCTCCATCTGTGAAATGCTCAATATAAATTACAATTCTGATCGTTCATTCCAAATATTTGAAAGTATAAATTTTAACCTGTAAAATCATAGAGTATTACAGCATAGCAACAGGTAATTTGGTCCATAGAGCTTGCTGTTTTTTTCCTTCCAATGAGCCTCACAAGGGGGCATGAGACAAAAATAACCTGTAGAGAGTAAACTTAACATATTGGGAAATGTGACCACTTTTGTTTCAGAATACCAATCCTGTGCAATGCGGTGGTTTACCATACAAACACATACAAATATTATTTATATTTAAATTAACTGGTAGAATTCTGCACATAGCGATTGCAAAAAACATTGTTTCAGACTTAAGTTTCACTTATTTAGAATAGCAGAACATTACACATGTGTGTACCCAACAAAACAAAGAACCTCTAATAATTTAAATGATTTTATAATATTTAAGACTGACTCAGTCGGTAGTATTTTTGACTCAGAAGGTTATATGTTAAAGCAGGTGTGTCCTGTGTCAGGATTTTGAGCTTACAGTCTCTAGTGGGGGAGGAGTGGAGGAGGGATGGGGAAGGGGGAGATAGTATGAGTGTGAAAGAGAAGTAAGAAAGGAGGAGAAAGAGACTGTGATGGGGGGCGGAAGCAAGAGAGGAAGAGAGCAGAGATTGAGAGAGGGGGAATGTGAGAGTGGGGGGGTGGGAAAGAGTGTGAGTGTGAGAGTGAGGGGGGAGGAAGAGTGGGGAGATAGTATGTGTGTAGTATGTGTGTGAAAGAGAGGTAAGAAAGGGGAGTGAGAGAGAGATTATGTGAGGGGGGAAGGAAGAGAGATTGAGAGAGAGGGATAGAGGGAGAGAGTGATTGAGAAGGGGAGATGGAGTGGGAGAGGGAAGAGAGAATGTGAGAGGGTGTGAGAAGGGGAGTGAGAGAGAAATTGAGAGAACGTGTGAGAGAAGAGAGTGTGTGTGAAAGAGTACGTAAGAGAGGGTAGAGAGAGTGATTGAGGGAGAAGAAGAATGAGGGAGAGGGGGGAGAGCCGAGAGAGAAAGGGGAATTGAAGGCAGTGTTTCGTGGTTCACTAACAGGACCGACGATCAGTTTCCCACCAAGGGGGATCGAGGGCAGACACAGAGTAACGTGCCCTCTCTCTGGAGTTCCATTCCTGAAGTCCCTCAGAATCCCTCCCTCCCCTCTTTTAAGGCACATTACAAGCTAACTCTATGACCACGCTTTCTGTCACCTTTTCCCTTCCCCATCCCACCTCTCTCGGCTCCCACCTCCAGCTAAGGTGCCCAGCCGACAGTGTCAAGATGTCCAACATGAACAAGGTGCTGTGTAAATGTTTTTGGAAGGGAAACACAAAATATTGCTTATGCAGCCCGCAAGTAGGGGATCCTGCCCAAAAGATTGGACCACCCTGCCATAAACAATATGAGATGTGCAGCTTTAACCCACAAACTTCTTACTCAGAAGCAAAAGTGCTACTAACCAAGTCAGGCTGACTCAACAAAATTTGTAGAGGAATAAGAGACGAAATCAAAATTGTAGCTGCTCTCTAAGAACTTGTAGCACAAAATCATGATTTTCTGAAATATTCTTTTCTTCAAATCGTTTATTCTTGCAACATAGTTGTCCAGGCCCTAATTGTTAAAATACTTTATGCAGTTTCTCTGAAAAGGAGAAATAAAGAAGTATACAGTGAACAGGCTGGAGAATGGGATTAAGGAGAGGTGCAGAAGAGCCAGGTGCAGGCACGATGGACCAAATAGACACCTTCTGTGCTGTATATGTCTATGGTTCTATTTGTCAACCAAAGCATTCAGCTACTGCAGAATTTTCTGATTAGTAGCACCAATAAATCACAACCCTTGGGAGTTAAACCAACTAAGCAGAGCTCGGCAGCAATAATCACAGTTTAGGTCGGGAGTATCTAATTCGAGATTCCTATTTCTACTTGACTAGGATTGTGGAGTCCTGTAGTGGTTGGAACACACGCCTCGCAAGGAGAGACTTGGGTTCAATTCCCGGGAGGGTGAAATGTTGGCCAAGCTTCCTTACTCCACACGCCTGTTTACCTAGCAGTAAGTCGGAACCCGGTTGTTAGTGGATTGGCGGATCACTTTTCTGGGGGTAATAATTCCTTAAAAAAAATAATAAATTGTCACTCAATCCATGACTGTTTGTGAGACACTGCTGTGCGTAAATGGCTGCCGCATTTTGTTCACAAAATACACAGTCAATTCACTTTACAATATACTCTGTGAAGCAATTTGAGACATCTCGAAGACTTGATAAGGCGCCATATCAAACGCAAGGATTATTATTATTATTAAAATCTTAGCATGGAGAAAATGATTTTTTTGAAACGGCAAGAAGAATCCAGACATGCTGATCAGAAAATTAATATTGTAGAGGAAATGAAAGGTATTCATTATTGAAGTGGAACATCAGGATGACAGCAGTGTTCACCACAAAAAATCATGCACTCAACTAACAATGCATGAAGAAACAGATCTGCAAGGAAAGTGGTTGAATACCATTTTCTCCAAATGCAATGTTCGGCAGGTGGTCCAAACAAGTTTAATGACGAGCAAAGAATAAGTAGTGTTCATCCATCATGCCAGGAGGTCGAGCAGAGACGTACTACAGTAACGAAACATCCTTCAGAATCAGAAAAACCTGTGATACAATGTTTTGCCCTCAGGGTGCTCAGGGTTAAGAAACAGCAAAGAGCAATGTTAGTAACTATTTGGCTGTTAAAGCTAGCAGCTATTTGAACCAGATAGTTTATCATATTTCTTGGTAATAGTCTGGTTGCTGAGGTAAATGTCTGTCCATTACTGAAAATCCTGTCATAAATGTGGATGAAAAAGTTTTGACTGTTTTTATATTTATGTGCCTAAAACAGTTTCATAATGCAGTAGTCATCTCACCTCAGGAACCAATAACATCAATCTACACGAATGCAGCCTCCACCTCACAGCGCCAGTGTGGAACCTTCAACTCTCAACTGCCGTTTAATTTCCACATCCGTTCTCTGCCCTGTTCAGCTTTCCTCCACCTCTGCAACATAATAATAATCATAGTAATAATCCTTGCATTTGATATAGTGTCTTATCACGTCTTTGCACTTCACAGAATACACTATAAAGTGAATTGACTGTATTGTGTGGGCAATACATGGCAGCAGTATCCCATAAACAGTCGTGGATTGAGTGACTTTTTTTATTACCCCCTGAAAAGCGATCTGCCAATCGACTAACAACCGGGTTCCTACTTACTGCTAGGTAAACAGAAGCGTGTGGAGTAAGGAAACTTGCCTACCATTTCGCCCTGCCCGGGAACAGAACCCAAGTCCTCTCGCTTGTGAGGCAAGTGCTCTAACCACTCAGTTACAGGACTCCACATATTGCCCATCACTGCCATTACTTCTCGACTTTGGCTACCGAAAGGCTTCTCTATACATTCAACATATCCAGGGTATATTATGTCAACTCTCTGCTTGCTGGACTTCCCAACTCTTCCCTCCACAAGCTGCAGACCATCCAGAACTTTGCAGTTCATGTCCTCTCATGCACTAGGCTCCGCAAGTATACAATCCCCATCCTTGCCCAGCTCCAATAGCTTCCCATCCCTCAGAGGACTGAGTTCAAGAACCTTGTCTCACTTTTAAATCCCTCCAGTCTTGCTCAATTCTACCTCTGCAATTTTTATAATTTTGAAATCTAATCAACCTGCCCACTCCCTCCATTCCTCAAGCACTGGCTTGCTTCATGTCCCTCGTCCTACCTGCCCCACTATCAGGAGGTAGGTTTTCAGCCTATCCACCCCTACTCTCTGGAACTCCATCCTGTAGTTCTATCGCCTTGCCCTTTCCCTCACCTCCTTCAAGATCCGTCTCTTTGTCCACGCCTTCGGTTATCTTTCATCCTGCCAGCACAACAACAACAACAAAATTACATTTGTATAGCACCTTTCACGTCGGGAGGACGTCCCAAGTCGCTGGACAGAGTTTCAGACCCGAGCTGAGGGTCAGGGTGGGGGAGGAGGGGGGGGGGGGCAGGGTGGGAAGCGGGGAGATCGAAAGCACGGTCGAAGAGGAGGGTCTTGAGGTGGGTCTTGAAGGTGGCGAGGGAGGGGGCGAGATGGAGGGACTGTGGGATGGAGTTCCAGAGGGTGGGTGCAGAGTGGCGTAAGGTCCGTCTGCTGTTAGTGGGGCGAGCAAGGCGGGGGACGTGAAGCAAGCCAGAGCCCGCTGAGTGGAGGGAGCGAACAGGATGGTAGGAGCTCAGGAGGTTGGAGAGGTAGGGGGGAGAGTACAACTCCACCTGCGCTGAAAAGCCTCAACTGTCCAGTACCTCGGAGTGTCCTCGCAACGTGAAAGGCTTTATATAAATGCAATTGTTATTATACTCTTCTGTTAAAAATAGGGCAAAATAAGTTGTAATACTCTATCTTACCACTGGATGGCAATGTATTATATTTTCTAATAAATTATACCTTTCTGTTGTCCTTCTACAAGTTACGTAATAATTCTTGCACTTGATATAGCGCCTTATCACATCGTTGAGACGTCTCAAAGCACTTCACAGAATATACCTGGAAAGTGAATTGACTGTATATCTTGTGGGGAAAATGCAACAGCCAATTGCACACAACAGTGTCCCACAAACAGTCGTAGATTGATTGACCAAATTACTATTTTTATTTATTTATTCTTTTGAAGGGATTATTACCCCTGGAAATGTGATCCGCCAATCGTCTAACAAACGGGTTCCTACATACTGCTGGGTAAACAGAGGCAGGTGAAGTAAGGAAACCTGCCTAAGGTTTCGCCAGGAATCAAACCCAGTTACTCTCGCTTGCGAAGCAAGTCTCTAACCAATACGCTAGAACTCCATGGAGGAACTCAAATATACTATATACCACTTAGGCTGAACCAAAAATATACACAAAAGTTTGTTCCTACCATCAAATGTGTTGTATAAACAGAGTGTCAGGAAGCATTAATTGTACTGATGTTGCACACAATGACACCTGGAACAAATCAAATTCAGCTCATTCCTATTTTAAATATAATGGCTGGGAAATTTAAATAAAGTCACTTTTACATCTCTTCAAAAACATTTTTAAAAACACAGCAAAGCACGAAAATGAATGGGGGAGGAGGAGTGGGTTTTATGTCTTCCCAACCTGATTGAAGGTGGACAGAACATTGGTGGATTTTGGGTTGCAGCAAGAGGTGGAAAAATAAAAGTTGGCCTAAAATCCACATACATATGGAAGTTGATCCCATGTGTGCGGATGATATCACCAAGAGGGAACATGTAAATGAGAAAAAGAAGGGGTCTGAGGATAGAATTGCAGTTGACAATGCACAGGTTGGAGAAGCCATTGGAGGAGACAAAGTGATAACAGTGGGTCAAGTAGGACTCTCTCAAGTAGGTGAATGGGGTCCCATTGATTGGATAAGGGAGGAAAGTGATAGCGGAGGTCTATGTTGAACACAGCAGAGAGGCAGAAGGAGCCTTGATGGCAGAAAGAAAGAAAACATTTGTAACTGAGTGCAGTCTCAGTTCTGTGGGCACAGAGGAAACCAGCTTTAGGGGCTCGAGCAGGGAGTGGACGGAAAGGTGTGAGTGAAGCTGGGTGGGAGCAACGCAATCCAGGGCTTTAGAGAGGAAGGGCGAGTCTGAAATGGGCCAGGAGTTGGCGAAATTGGATCAAGTAATTTTTTTGAGGAGGACGAATACAGAAGTTTTACGGGGGAGGCGCCGGGGGAGAGGGACAGGCTGCATGTATCTGCCAGCAGGAGGCAGAGGGGGGCAGTCCAGTGGTCAGCAGTTGGGTGTGGAGGGGATCGAGGGAGAAGGTGGTGGGTTGAGGCCCTGAGGGCAATGGCACGGGTTCACCTGGCAACAGACTATACCCAGGAGCAACCGCCTGGGCCCAGTGGGCAACCTCCTGAACCCCAATAGCAACCACTGGAACCCTGTGGGCAGCCACCCACACCCAGGGGGCAACCGCCGGGGCTCAGGGGGCAACCGCCGGGGCTCAGGGGGCAACCGCCTGAACCCCAATAGCAACCACTGGAACCCTGTGGGCAGCCACCCACACCCAGGGGGCAACCGCCGGGGCTCAGGGGGCAACCGCCGGGGCTCAGGGGGCAACCGCCGGGGCTCAGGGGGCAACCGCCTGCGCCCCCTTCCGTCCACGAGCAGCGAGTGGCCAGTGGTCACTTCACAGAGGGACTAGCTCCTGAGCGCTTCGGGATACAGCGCTGTCAGCTGCTGCGTTACGCGGTTCCCGCCCCCTTCACTTGGCGGATGGTTTCTCCTTCAACCCCCTTCTTCACCCCAAAGCTGATGCCGGGCCGCGCGGGCCGGGCCGGGCCCACCCGACCTGACACACCACATGCACCGGCCGGCCTCCCTCCCTCCCTCTCCCTCTCTCACTCGGTGGGAGTCTCCGCGCTGTCCTGTCCGCGGGGCCGCTCCAGGCGCCGGTATTTTCTCGACGCCCGTCCAGCGTGAGCGCGCTCCGCCCTCGGCAACCGCCAACCGCCGACAGCACTGCGCCTGCGCGCTCCTCCGCCTCCGCCGACAGCACTGCGCCTGCGCGCTCCTCCGCCGCCGCCGCCGCCGCCTGCACCGCGCCTGCGCGTCCCGCCAATCCGCAAACGCACCGGGTGTCACGTGTCACCAAGGCTCGTGTCTGAGGTGAGGCTGGAGATCATCACCGCCATCAGTGCAGGTGTTAACTCACACCTTCACTGCATAGGCTTTCACTTCAAATTCCTTTCACGCCCTCTGACACCCCCATAACTCCCCCGAACCCGCTCCACCGGCTCCACCTTGTCCCTCGTCTCTCAGTTTCTCTGGGTCGCTCGCCACCTCTCTCCCTGTCTGGCTCCCCTTGTCCGTCGTTTGCAGCTATCCTGCCCCGAAAGCTTGGGAACGCTCTCCTTCTGCTTTTCCCCCCTCCTTCCCCATTTGCAGATTGGGCCTGAAGACCTTCCTCTTTGACCGTGCTTACCGTCACTCCCCCCCCAGCTCTGGTCTGGTTCTGCCAGTGTTAAGCGCTCCGAGAAGCTGCCCCATGTGCGGGGGCTGTAGGAATGCTCGTTGTTGTTAATGTATTTAATTCCCTTTGAAGGGCTGCTATGGACTCAGCTACAGCAGCCATTTGTGGTAAAGCATTGCCTACTGCCCTTTTTTCTCCCCCAAACATAGTGCCTCTCTACGTGAGTATCTTTGTTGCTCAGTGTCACTTCCTCTCAGTTTCTCTGGGTTTCTCTCCATCTCTTTTTCTCCAATCTCAGAATCTCTGGATCTGTGCCTGCATGTCTTTGTATCTCTTTCAATCTCTTTATATCTCTGTAACTCACATTTCCTGCTGCTGGTTATAATGAGCACATTTGAAATATTTCAGTGCAACATTTTAGGCCAACTTACTCCTCCCAACTGTCCACTGGAGTGATTCATGTTTTGCCTGAATTCCTTGTTTAGACTACAAAAAAGAGAACAACTCCTAAAAATCCTCAAAATATATAGATTACCATGTCCAATTCCACTTGGGGAGTCTTACTGTGTTTGTTGATTCCTTAATGGTAGATAAGTACTGTATAAAGTCAGATATTGCACCATTTAGGTTACTGTAATCATTAATTAAGTAATCAATAAGCTTGATTAAATAATCCTCTTTGGGGTCGAGGGAAGTGTGGTCTCCTTGGAGTTAAACTGGCTCCAAGGTGATGTGCTTGGCAATGAAATGTCAGAGTCAATTCACCCCTCTGTGCTGCCATCGCTTGTCTGGTTCCTGAGCCAGGCGGGACCGTAGTACTCTGGGGCACTGTTGATAACAGACCAGCCAGCCTGGATGATAAGTACAGCATGAATTGACAGACTGGTCAAAGGGGGCACGGTGGTCCTAGCTAGAGAAGCAACTGTAAGCTTTACAGACAATGCTTTCAATGGCAAACCATGCAGTTTTATTAAATTCCATGAGTACTCCATCTCACGCCCCTAGATCTCCAAACCTTGATCTTGCCACCTTACATCTAATACTCTTCATAATTAGGGAACCAGGATGATCCCTATAAAGGAGAGAATACACTTTCCATTCCAAACACAGGCATTTCTATATGAAGGTGGGATACATGGAACTCTCCATTTGGTTTGAATACTTTTAATCATGTCGATGGGTTCCTGCATGTCGGACACCCAACTGACCAAAAAGCTTGAGGTTGTTTGAACCGAGCAGTCAAAACAAAGGAGTCAAAAGTTCTTCCTGTGTACAATAGGGACTTTGAAATCTGCCTTACTCAAATAAAAAAAGCCTATGGGTATCAATTCTGATCTTTTGCCGAGTTGACTATTTTACAATTAAAGCAAGTAATTCCAGTGGTTTCTGAGCTTTGATTAAACATAACGTAGTTATGATGGGTAAGCTGTGACTCCCAACTGCTATCCACAGGAATTCCATATTTTGAATGAACTTTTGAACTTTCATCAATTATAAAGTTAGTAAAACATCACAACACAAAATAATATGTTTTAGTGATTCCATACAATTTGTAATACAATTTACATTTGTATAGCGCCTTTCACATTTGGGGAGGATGTCTTTAAAGTCCTTAACTCTGTTGGATGGGCACCTGAGCTGGAGGTGGGAGCGAGAGGTGGGTCACTGTTGATAACAAACCAGCCAACCTGGATCATAAGTATGGCATGAATTGGCAGACCGGTCAAAGGGGGCACTCCGCCACTGCCTCAGCCCTCAGGCTGCCGAAATCCTCACCCATGCCTTCGTCACCTCAAGGCTTAATTACGGGAACTCCCTCCTCATTGGCCTTCCCAACTCTTCCCTTCACAAGCTGAGAGCTCCAAAACTCTCACGCACCAGGCTCCGTGATCCCATCATTCCCACCCTCACCCGACTCCACTGGTTCCCCATCCCCCAGAGGATCGAGTTCAAGATCCTAGTCCTCACCTTTAAGGCCATGCATGGCCTTGCCCCCTCCTACCTCTCTGACCTGCTGACTCCCTACCAACCTGCCCGCTCCCTCTGTTCATCGGGCTCCGGCCTGCTCCATGTCTCCCGCCTGACCCGCCCCACTAACGGTGGACGGGCTTTCAGCCTCTCTGCTCCTATACTCTGGAACTCCATCCCACTGTCCCTTTGCCTCGCTTCCCCCCTTGCCTCCTTCAAGGCCGGTCTCGAGACCCTCCTCTTCGACTGTGCCTTTGGTCTCCCTCCCACCTCTCTGCCTTCCCTCACCCCTACACCACCCCTCCCCCATGCTCGGACCCCCACACCTGACTGTTCAGTGCTTTGGGACGTCCTCCCGAGGTGAATAGCGGTCTATAAATGTAAGTTGTTGTTGTGGGTGGGGAGAGAAAAGAGAAAAGATGTTCAAAAGCACGATCAAAGAGATACATTTTTAGATGTGCACTGAACAAGGGGAGGGGTGATAAGTTCACAGAGAAGACACGGGCTTCAGAGTTTGGGATATTATGTAATGAAATAATAGATGTGATGAAGAAATAGATAAAACCACCCTATATCTCAGGCATATCTCAAACGATCTTATTTTGAAATCCTAATATTTCAATAAGCAATCTTTGTGTCCATTGTTTTTTGTAGGTAAAATGATTATTGAAGAAGGATAAAAGAAGTGTTCATATAATACCTGTAAAGCAGTTTACAAACTAAAAAAGATTTCACTCTCGAGTCCAGGCCCTTGGGAAGTCCTTCCGACATGAAAATTGTTTCTCTCACATTTATTCTTGTTGGATTCAACTGTAACTTAGGCTTCTCAATTTAAAAAAAAACATATCATGTTAAAAAAGCATTGATTATTGTTGACCAATATTACGTAGATTAACATGGACTACAGTTCGTCAATGGATCATGAAGAAAATTTGTTATGGCTTCAAGAATGACAATGGAATCCTTTAACAAGAGTGCAATTGTGTGTTGGGGGGATGGGAAAGAGTATGCATGAGGAAATCTATTTTGCTCTGAAAACCTATTTAATAGGCATTAGATCCTTCTTCACTAATACTTGACTCTTAATAACCAATAAACACAACCAAAGAATGGTTACTGAAATATTGGGATCAGATTGAAAAATAGACAGTATATGTCAACATCCATTTCATCACATTTGCCACCACGTGTATTATTTATTTATGACAGAAAACTGAAATTTTACACTGATGTTCAAAAACAGACAAGGTAAAAAGTACCTATATGAATTATAAATCTTTCAGAAATTGTTTTGAGTTGAACCAGAGGGTTGTTGGAAAAATAAAGAATGTTCAAAACGTTTACAGTTCTTCCACAACATGGTCACTACTTTAGAGTATTAATAACCTTTGCATTTGATATAGCTCCTATCATGCCAGAAGGACATGTCAAAGTGTTTTTTTCCCCATAGGATTACTGTAAAGTTTAGTGACTGTATATTGTAGGTGAATGTGACAGCCAATTTGCACGATGCCCCACAACATGAGGCAAATGACAAATTTTATCAATTGTTGACCAGGAGTCTGGGACACACTCTTCTCATTTCAACTAGATCCAAAGGATCTTTGACTTACCCCTTTCCATTGAAACAAGACCTTCATTTAATGTATCATCTGAAGGTTGGCTCCCCTGACACTGTAATGCCTTCACCAACACTGAACTGGAATGCCAGCATAGACTGAGTCTGGACACAAGCCTTGAACCTACAACCTAGGTACACACACAAAGTTGCTACTAACTGAGCTAGGCTGAAAGAGAATGATAGGTTAATGTTTCTGATGATAATAATGCTTGCATCTGATATAACGCTTTATCACGCTATCAAGATGTCTCAAAGTGCTTCACAGGATATACCATAAAATGGTGTGACTGTGTTTTTGGCAGCAGACGCGACAGCTAATTTGTGCAAAACAATATCCCACAAACAGCCTTGCTTGTCAGGATATCGGGAGAAACTCCCTTTGAAACATGGTGATGTGAGACATCATCATAAGTTAACCTTACCCTGGTTAAATGGATTCCAACTAAATAATATCAAAATAACATTTAATTTTTTTTTAAAACAGCACTTTGTCCAACTGACCCTCATTCATCCAATGCCTCAATCCTCATTATATTATGAATAATGCTGATGCTTTCACCTCTCGTAGTCTGTTTGTATTCAAAACCTTCATTATTTATTTCAGACAAAACATTTGTTTTACAGTTTCTTAACTATTTGTTATTTTCTACATTTAATGACTAAATTTGGGAAACTAACATTGTAAAACAAGACTGGCACTCCCCTTTAAGACTTTCTTCAATCAGAGCCATATGACTTCATTGCTGTTTTGAGACAATTCTCTTGACAGGATTGCATTTGCTTTCGAAATTTAATAAAGCTAGTCTTACCCGGTGTCTTGGCCAACAATCCCCATATGAGATTGATCAATCAGCTGCTGCAAACACAGATGCTTCAATGGTTTAAAACATTAATTAACCCAGGAAGGGAGATCTAATAATAATAATCCTTGCATTTGATGTAGCTCCTTATCATGTTG